TAATCTGCATTACTTAGCATTAAATTAAACTTTGAATTATACATTATTTTAAAAATGTTGTATTGTATTTTATCATTAAATAGAAAAATAGAAAATTTTAAATGTTTTCAAACTGGCATCCTCTCGTCTGCCCATAGGCCTTGCAGAGAGCGAGTCAAGTGATCGCAGAGATCCGTGAAACGCACCTGTGGTGAAGACCTGCGCTGATGTACAGCCCCTTTCCCTTCTGCTCGAACCCTGCGGTCTGCGTCACCCGTCTCGATTTCACAGACAGCCAACTTGAAAAATGCACTGGTGTCAGTTAGTGTGTATTGAATATAGTTTTATGTATGCAACGGACTCTTCTCGAACTACATCAAGGCAGCACATATCATGTCACACCTGCACACCGTCCCAGCAGTGACCTCTTTCATGTATGTAAACTGTCATATACGCTGCAGGTAACGTGTGCGGCCTGTTAAAGGACCATGTGTCCCTGATGTAGTCTAAATTAAAGGTAGTGATATAAACCGATCAAAGCGTTTGTCATTATGTTGTAGCTTCATTTGGTATGATTGGATTTCTTAAAAATATCTTTTTGCTGTCCAATAAGACAGTGAACATGGGATTACATTGGAAAAATCTAGGACCACCACACTACTCGTTTCTTTTGTGTAAATGTGCACCTTTAATTTCATAGCATAAATTGATACTTTTTTTTTCATTGTTGGTCATATAAAATAATAATGAGTCAAACTTTGAGATTTATGTAGTTTGATGCAATGTTGGTGTTTATGTGCATGATTGTCATACATAACAGTTAATTTTATGCTGCACTGCAACTTTATATATTATAATATATTATATTTATTATACATTTTTAATCAAATGTTGCAGCTATTTATTTTGAATTTACAGATAATATAATTTATTAATATTATTGACATCACTAATGAGTACACCACAATGAACAGTCAGCAATAGCATTTATTTATGGCAAAATGCAGAGCAAAAATGTACAGGCAAGATTTATTTATTTATTTTTTTTTTATGTTCAGAACAATGAGTTTTAAATGTCACCATCAATCAGACAAACAAAACGAATGCACGAGGAAAAAATCCTCTCACATCTTCTGCTGTCAACAACTATCTCAGCCTTCCTCCCATTTTGCCTTTGCCGCGTCCCTTGGCACTAAGAGATAGAAAAGCAAGAGTTTAAAAATAATTTTTGGATATAAAACCGAATGACTCAACACTTCTAGCGGTTGGTGAGATGTGAAACTTGTGATTATTACCTCTGGTGATCCTGGACGCGGCAAATGAGCTGATTTATCTGTGAGAGACAGAAACGTGACAAGTGCTAACAGGATACAGTGATAATGAACACAACCTATTACCTCAGTCGGTCCACGCTCCAGCCGTTGAAAGTGAACTGGATTTTGTGAATCTGTTAATTGCTGCAAAACCTCAAAAACGACCTTACAGAAGCGCCATAAAGCCCCACAAGCAATTTTAAAGTAAGTAAAAGAAGTTTAGATATCACTTACATCATATTTCTGGCGTTTCAGTTTTTCGTTGAGATCGTATTTTTCTGCTTCCAGCTCCATCAGCCACTGCCACAACTCATTGGCTTTGTCTCTGCAACGATTGACAGAAATATTAAGGTGGGTTCACACAGAAAGCGTTTTGTTTTTGAGCATTTTTCTCCATATAATGCACTTCGATGGGAACCAACGGTTCAAAGTCCAAAAGACACTTTCAGTACAAACTGCAAACTGTTCAAAGGGCTTTAAACGATTCCAGACGATATTATTATTATACTCTATATTTTCATACTCCAGGCGTGTTTAGACCTTTATTTTGAAATAGTGTGAACATGAAAAATCATGAAAGAAGGGTAGACACTTCAGTTTGTTTTCATGCTAAGTACATAGCATCCATTCAATTATTTAGAAAAAAAAGGTCTAATTTTTTTTTTTTTTTTTTTAATATAAAGACAAAATATATAGATTCACCATTTGTGGCAGAGGTGGCAGCGAGCCATAACGCACATAGGCCTAACTTACTTGTTATTTTTGTATGTTTCTTAGAGGTTGAATTCATATCAAAATCTGCCAAACTTCTCATATTACTTCTAAATAGGATGTCTACTTCATATATTGTATGAAAATTGTGAAAATAAATAATGGTTCACATCACTCAAACACATATGGAAACGCAGGTGCCCTTATATGGGCAGTAATGGAGTCTGGTTGTGCCCTAGTGAAAAAGTCTTACTGAAAGCTCATTTTTGAGATATCGACCTGAAATTTGAAACACAACTTGTTCAGATTTTTGGCTTTTTGATTTGAGTCGCCCAGGTTTTTGAAAATATGACTAATTAAATTGTCATAAACTCAAACTTCTTTAACTTTTTTTCTGTTTCACTTTCTTCATTTATTTCACTTCTACAAAAATCCGCCAAATGTCTTCTATAAAACGAGACTGATCTTACGTCTATAGTCCAAAGAATTCTGGAATCACACAACCATTTAAGTTCAGTACAGTAACAGGTTAATGTAATTAATTCCTTGGCTTGCGGTCACGGTAGGCTACTATTATTTAGGGTTCTAAGAAATTTAATTATTCTCATTCTAGTTCTAAATAATGAATTATTTCCTGCAGGCCTGTTTCCTGCCCTGTCCTTAACAACAACTAAATAAAAATACTGTTAGAAATTATTAAAACGTTGGACATATCAATCACTTTGGTGTCTTGTTTTTTTATTATTAAAATGTTATATAGGCTATAGTATAGTAGTATATCGTACCTGAGTTTGTCGTCACTCAGGTGGTCAATATTCAGTGGTTTTCGGCGGTCGGCCAGGATCTTCTTCTTTTTCTCCCTCTCGGTTTGTTTCTTGGCACCTTTGCGTCCTTCACCCTTTAGTTCAGGGATAATTATAATATTAGTGAAAGAATCTGCAAAAATAATCATGTAACTTGACAATATTTATTTACAGCCTTAAATATGATGAACACTGACCCTTTGTTGTACGCCACCGTACTGCTGGGTCATGTTGGTGAGAGCTTTCTTCTTCTTGGCATCTTCATCATGCTTCTTTCTTTGCTCTTCCTGCTCCTTCCTCTCTCTCTCTTCCTGTAAACAGTTTAGATTGTAGATTGGTTTCATCTCTGGTAGGAGTCTGTGGTTCATTATTTTACTTTACTGACTGGACAAATTCATTTGGTTTTGTAGAAATGATTCAACACCAGATTAGTTTGACAATATAGGGTGGATTTTGCTAACATCCTCCACAAAGGTAATTCAAAAGTGCAAATTCAAGACTTCTTTTCTGGGGACAGTGTTTGAAACTGCCTTTTTACAATTTTTATGATCATATTTGCATAAAGCACTGGTTTGGCAGGTGTTTGTGCAGAATTTGACAGTAACTCACAGCGAGTCTGGCCTGACGCTCTTTCTCTTTCTCTGCTCTTACTCGCTGCTGTTCGGCCCTCTCTGCTCGCCTCTTCTCCTGTTAAAACACAAATTTACATAATTCTGTTCAGAAGTTCCTCTTTCAGGATCTGTGAGGTGTTTATCCAGTTAATGTAGTTCTGCCTCTTTTTTGATTTACACGTTTAACAAAAACATTCATGAGGAAAACACTCACGATTCTGTTGACCAGACTAATGAGTTCCTCTTCATCTTTCTGTCTCTGGAGGAAATGAGCCTCTATAAGAGACTGTAGTTCTGTTAAATCCTTCTCCTGACGCTTTTTTTGGATGTCCTACATATACACACAGAGAGAGATAGAGATTTTAGGGTTTGAAAGTGAGAGGTGCATTTAAAGGGAGTGTAACAGAGAGGCAAATGTCCTACTTACATCAAAATCGACTTTATCTCCCTCTGGGATCTTTGGTGCTTGGATATTTGATAGATACCTGAAGATAAAAGATTAAGACATTACATATATATATATATATATATATATATATATATAAATTTAATCTGATATATAATGATGCATACAAGAGAATAATGGAACTTACTTTGGTTTGGATTTTGATTCGTCCACTATATATATTGGAGAAATATGTTTTTAACAGCAATTGATTACAACAGTTACAATAAACAATTAAAAACAAATAAAAGGTTATCATTATTATAATATAAGTATTGTCGATTTTTTTAAACTTTGCTCAGATTTACCAAATAGCATCACTTTTATTTACAGTATGAATTTACTATTTGTAGTTATACTTGGTTTAAACAATATTTAACAATGTAAATGTAGGTAAATGGCCACTTGCATTGTAATAAATAAATACATTTTGGAATTATATATGTAAAATTATGTATATAGACAGTGATACAATACCTTCCTCCCTTTTATAAAATTAGATTTAAAAAACACACACAAACACACAGACAAAAAGATTTATAAGCACATGGAATTAATTGCAAGATTGATAACTTTTTTTTTAAATATTTGCGGAATTAAAACTGTTACTCACTGAACCCCCTCATCCATCACATCTTCTGTGTCAGACATGACTATAACGGTCAAAGATTACATGTAGCATATATTAAGCAACAACAACAACAACAAAAAATATATGCAATACAAAATGCCAAAATACATAATGCTCATTATTCCTATATAAGGGATTGGGTTTGGAGAATATGCTGAATATACTGATTTATCTTGAAACTCTTACCTGGGTTGTTCCTCGGTGATCTCAGTGATGGAGCAGCTCTCTTTTAGAGTGCGTTAGAGCATCGGCCCTCAGTCTCAAGGCTAACATACTAACACACCACGTGACCCCATTGTCCTCTCATTGGCTTGTGCTGAAAGCCTTCTTCTATTGTTAGACTGTCAGATGCATTTCTGTCAAGTTCTAAAACCAAACATTCTCTTCGACCTGCTCATAGTCGGCCTTGTTTTGTCACCCCGTGAAATTCAATCCATTCAGAGAAAGGAGCAGACAGCTTGTCTCGAATGACAATGAGTGTAGAACAGAAAAGACACAGAGGCAATGTGTGCATGTATCGTTACTTTACTGTGTAGGATTGCTTGAAAATACAATAATTGTACAGTTGTTGGGATCATCATTCATCACTGAACTGTTCAAGTAGGAAATATTTAAAAAATGTATATATAGTTTAGCTATATTACTTCCCAAATACTTTATAATGCTATCTTTGTATGATTTTTATTACTGTCTTAAGGGGGGGTCACACTACACTTTTCGTTCCATTGACTTCCATTCATACGGTATGCGTGTGTATATGTCAGGCCTCAAACGCAAGCTCATGCGACAAGTTTTGCATTTTGATGCGTTCCAAAGTTCAAGTTTGGGGAACTCGGACCTTCGAATTCGCATTACGTGACGTTACTTTACATTTTGAATGTACGCCTATTACTATTTGTTACATGTTGAATTCATGATTATAATTTCCTTTATAAAAATGTGACTAATGTGACCCCGCGGATTTATCAGATCTGTAGTGTTCATAACATGACTTCGAGACTCCAAGTGCAAAGCATTTGAATAAAAATCATACTGGCAAAAGCTGCATCAGCAAAGCACAATCAAACATCTCAACCACAACATGTTTCAAAGCATTAAATCATGTGTCAATTCAACAGGCCATCTGAAACCCCAGAGGGAAGATGAGAAGTTCAAAAGATTTTTCTGTTGTATTTTTATTATTATATTTTTATCACTATTCCAATTAAAATCAATATTAAAATTACTCACAAAATTGTCACTAATGTGACTGCATCTATTAGTTATAATGGTTACTGGTAGCTGTTTATATAGTTAAATGTTTATATAGTTGAGATTGAGATTTTTGTTCAAATTTGTTTTCATCTTATAGCATTATGAACAGCAGGAAAAAAAATAACCGTAAGCATGCATTAGTATAGCAAAATAAATAAGCTTATTAATGTTTAAAACGGAGGTGAAAACACTTTCCACTTAAACACAGCGTCCAATCAAACTCTACAGTGTTTTAGCGTAAATGCACATGTCTCTTGTTAATGTTTGTTAGTAATACTAATACTTTATTATGCATTATTGGAAGATATTTTTGTATGATTTATGTTTTGTACTGTGTTTGGTTGCCACTTGTTGTAAAATCTGTGTTCTGAAGTTGCGAAATGATGCACATATTATGCAAGCGTCTTCCATTTTGGCTGATCTGGGGTTATTCGGATGTCCTTATTTTCTTGTTCCTGTAGAACGGAAGGCAATGTGTTGTTAAAGTGTTAATGAGTTCGCAAAGAGACAATGCAAGAGAGTTACATTTGCTCTACATACGTCATGTGTATAACTCAGCAGGCTTTTTCAACACATCCTCAAATACACGAAAGCAAATAGACTAGCCATCCGCACCTGTTCCCAGTTAGTGAGTTAACGCGTTGGGGCCGTGACCCCGACGAAAATGCACAAGTGACATTGTAATGGGTGTCTCAAGTTGTTCCACAAGTCGGACAAATATCTAGTTCATTGTCATCTATGTGACTCTCAAGGACAGCTGAAAGAGAAGGGAGGATTGCTGCCACTAGCTTCTTTGTTAACATCTTTGCTAGTATCTTTGAATGAATAATAATACATCACAAAAAGCCGAATCCCTTAGAATATGTGCTAGATGTGGGTGTTAAGGCGGGTAATTTGACAATGTGATACTTTCATCCCTCCTGTAACTCTAAATATTAAACTGCTTTGCCATGGGACATCATGCTAATCCAGTGATTCACGTCTATGCAGGGGCACGACTGAACAGCTGCGGGAGGGAATGCGATGCGTTATGATGCTACACGAGAGGTGCTGGGTGAAATGAACACACTGGAATTATGCCTGACACGCCAGCGGTTCGTGGAGTACCAATGCAGGAGAACAAGGTCGGTGCTTTAAATATAGAGTGGCGTGATATGCGAACGAGAGATTTACAATAGCACTAGCCAGTTAAAGACATTTGCTGTCACCGCGCCGCTGTCAGTTAAAACAGACAGCGCTCCCACTCCCCATGTTTTAAACTGTTAAAACATTCTTCATAATATCTCAAAGTCTTTTGTATATACAGTATATGAGGGTGAGTAAGTGATGACAGAATTTTCATTTTTAGATGTACGATCACTTTAACAAATGTAAAAAAGGGCCTATATAAATAATGATATTTGGAACTGAATGAGAAAGAAAAAACTAAAAACTACAGGCACTCACCATTTGTGACGAATTTACTTTTGGCTGCGAACACCTGGGGAAAAAAGCAATGTATTATATTTTGAAAAAGTCTTGAATGAATGAATAAGGCATTTATATAGCGCTTTCATGTGTACTACTGTACACCCAAAGCGCTTTACAATCATATAAGGGGATCTCTCCTCAACCACCACCACCATTAAAGCAATGTCTTGCTTTAGGTATTTTAAACCTAAAACAAGGCATGCACTAATATATAAAATGTGGCCTAAAGCGATAACCGATATTTTATATTTGAAAGCCAATAACCGATACTATTTGAAAGCCGATATTGATACTTTGTACTATGGCCAATTTTCCTTATATATGTAAAAAAATCTATTGCCATACACATAAATAATATAATGCCTAAATAATGCCACCCAGTCATTGGATAACATACAGTATGACAAACTAAAATAATCCATTATTTATCGGCTTTAAGATATCAGACTTTTTTTCTTATTGGACCGATTACAATAACATAAAAAATTAACATATAGCTACCGATACCAATGTTCTGGTGGCCAATGTATATTGTGCATCCCTTATTCGTACGATGTGATTTTTAGAAAAAAGATCATCACGAAGGCCCACCCCTAAACATTAACTTTACTTGGCCATAAGCAGATTGTACAAAAACGTACTAATGAGATTATACAAATTCATACTAATTAGACAATATTTCACCAAAATTTAAAATAGTTACAAATTGCCATGAGAATGTGTTTTGTGAATGTGTGAAAAAATATTATAAGAGCAACTTTTGGGGGGAAATTAAAAATAAGAACATAAGCAAGCATTTTAATCTGACAGAATATTTTAGTTATGCCTGAGAAAGGGACAATATAAAATCAATATGCAGTATTAAATGAACCACTGAGATAAAAGGTCTTTTTGGAAACAGGGCCATCACTTGAATTAATTGGCTGAGGGCTGAGATAAATCTTTCACATATATTCAGCAACTTAAAGACTTGCTAGTTAATTGTAAAGTTGGTAGGTGAGCCAATAATTTGTTTGAAGTGAATAATTATTCATAACATCAACAGGTATCAGACGTGGTGTTCCCGTTATACCTCGAAATCTGTTAATGTCTTTTCTGGGCTGGTGAATGGAAATAATAACTGACTTTGATGGATTGAACACGTCATTATATTTCAACCTCAGCTCACCTTGGAAGGTGTGGAGCCCTTTGTTTCCCATGGGCCACGTGGTTTAGTGACATCAGCTGGCTTCTGGTCCTGTCAAAACACAAAATTACAAACCAGCCTCCATTAGATTTGCATATATATATATATATATATATATATATATATATATATATATATATGAAGAGTTCAGATGCAAAAGCCTCTAAGTGCCATTTGAAATTTTCTTCTAGAATGATAATTTTTATCAAGCTTGTGTATTTAAGTTCAGTAATTTCACTTAAATGGCAATGAAGATTACCTATAAATTGTCATTTAAGTGAAATTACTGAACTTAAATATACAAGTTTGATAAAAATCATTATTAAAGAAGAAAATTTCAAATGGCATTTAGAGGCATATAGATTCCATGAACAACCTATGTTTCCTGTATTAAAGCTTACGTTTTTAGAGGGGGAAGATGAGGGTAGAAATGTGTATACAATCATATACATATCTATAATTCTAGCGTGTCTTTTTTGTGTGGTGTGTGTGTAAGGATTTTCGTTTTTGCCGTAGTTTTCTATTTATTCCCCTTTTTTATTTATTCAGTTTATGTTTTCTGTTTCTTGTATTTGCTGCCTTGTTAAATATTTTTGATGTATATAGAATTCGCTTTTTCTAATACAGAAAACATTTTATTTGAAAAAATTGTGATTGCTGCAATTCTTAAATCTAAACCAGAATCAGATGGTCAAATGCAATACACTAAAGACTCACTGGAGGGCCACCCTGCACCATACAGAATATAAGAGTGTTTACTTACACAACCTGTGTAAAACCACTCCTTACTGTTCCAGTGAACGTTTTGCTTTCTATGATTTCTTAGAAAATGTAGATATATAAATTATATGTTAAATCATGTAAACCTAATGTTCTACTTTAAAGACGTCTTGAACATTCGGGGGGACCGAATGTTTTTTTTTTCTGTTTTTTTTTTCTGTTATTGGTCTTTTTAAATCATTTTAAAACAACCATAAAGATTTCACTAATTTAAAAAAAAGCTGAAATAAAACAAAATGTAAATGTTACATGGAAAAACATTGTTGCCTTGGCATCTAACTGAAATAAGTTTAAATTGAAGTACTAAAATGACACATAAAAAAACTAAAACTGGAATAAAAAATTTAATAAAGAAATGTTAAAATGACAAAAGCACATCACAAAAACGTTTAAACTACATTTTAAATAAAACTAAAATATAAGCTTTTTATAATAATAAATACTATAAAGATGGATGGATGGATGGATGGATGATAGATAGATAGATAGATAGATACAGTAGATAGATAGATAGATAGATAGATAGATAGATAGATAGATAGATAGATAGATAGATAGATAGATAGATAGAGATAGATAGATAGATAGATAGATAGATAGATAGATAGATAGATAGATAGATAGATAGATACAGTAGATAGATAGATAGATAGATAGATAGATAGATAGATAGATAGATAGATAGATAGATAGATAGATAGATAGATAGATAGATAGATAGATAGATACAGTAGATAGATAGATAGATAGATAGATAGATAGATAGATAGATAGATAGATAGATAGATAGATAGATAGATAGATAGATAGATAGATAGATAGATAGATAGATAGATAGATAGATAGATAGATAGATAGATAGATACAGTAGATAGATAGATAGATAGATAGATAGATAGATAGATAGATAGATAGATAGATAGATAGATAGATAGATAGATAGATAGATAGATAGATAGATAGATTAAACTAAGACTCACTGTTTTGGCTGGGGGTTTTTCTGGTTCAGGGGCTGGTTTCGGTTCAGTGGACTTCGGCTCTGGAGTCTTGGTTTTCCAGCTGTTAATGCGCCCAGCCACGCCGATGTTCAGACCAGCTGTTTCCTGATCGGACATTTAGGACATTTTATACTTCTGTTTTCAGACAAAATAATCCTGCTGTATCGGTTTCTTTCAGCAGTCATGTACTAAAACAGCTTCTCTCCTCTTGTACCTTGGTGACCGCTGGGGGGCTTGCAGGATTTGGGGTGGGATTGACCACATTCCCCTTCTCCCACATACTCTTGATGCTCCGCAGCCCTTCAGCCACAGGTACGTCCACAGGAGATTTGGGTGACCTGGTCAACTCTTTGGTCTGGTGAACAGATAAAGAGTCTCATACTGGGTCATAAGCGAGAGATGGCCGCTCTAGTGTTCGCGATTCCTCACCTGAACAGCAGAAGTGTACTGCTCCAGTCTGTTTCCAATCTTGCAAACTAATGGAGTGTGTGACGTTTTCACCGGACTGGATATATATAAAAAAAAATAATCAACTGAGTATATCCCAGACCCCAGTATTTGGTCAACTGTTACCGCATACTATAAAATTACTTCTTACCTTTTTAAAGCAGATTTGTTAAGAAATTCAGCTTTCTCACCAATCTGTCAAATACAGCATAAAGTGTATCACATTAAACGCATTAGTTTCATATCACCCAAAAACATTGTGCTTTTTTTGTAAGTGACACTAGAATAGGTCCGAGAGCCACTGACTTTTGCAGAGGCGCTCTTTGGAGCGATGAAGGGTGCTTTGCTCCCTTCTTTCGACTCCTCCTTCTGTTTTTTTTTCTCGGCTGCCTCTGATCGCCTTCGCTCAATCTCTTCCTTCATCTTCCTCCTCTCTTCCTGTTCATTTTAGTGGAGAGAAGACGACAAGGGCCACATTATAATAATGACAAAAAAGTAAACCTATTTTGTTTACCCTGGAACAACATTCCTGTCCGAAACCATATCCCTTCCCCTAAACCTAACCCTACCCATAACTTGTCCCTAAAATCAGAGGCAAACGATAGGTGAAAAAAATGTAGAAGCACCTATAGGCTTACCCTGGTTGTAAACTTGACATAAACTGTAAACTTTACTTGTCCCTCAAATCTGATTGGTTGATTAGAATGTTGTTCCAGGATCAACAAAGATTATTATCCAGGAACATGTTGCACTTTGTGAAATCAGGTTCTGTGCAGCCATCACATCAAATGTTTTGTGCAGTAATTAGTTTGTTCACAAGATGGCAACACTGGGCTGACCCGCTTTTTCACAGGCAAAAAAACCCAACCAACTACTGGAGATGGCAACAACAATAGATGCCCACGTTAAGCGCTTGTGTGACAAGTAACAACTCATTTTATTAGTAATGACTTCTAGAGATACAGGACAGGGATGAAACTTTCTAGTGCACGTGCCAAGCGCCTGTGTTCGCACACGCTATCAAATAGTTACTCATAATCCCTTTAAAGCAGATCATTTCACTCGGCGGCCATCTTTGAAACGTCTCTCTGGCAGGCAATTACAGCTCAAATCTGTTTGAATGGGGAAACATCAAATTCTCCAAAGCTGTTATGATTTTATTTCAACTTTGAAACAACCAATGAAATCTGACAAAAACTGTCTCATAAATTTTCTATCTAAACGCTCCAATCATGAGGAAAAAAAAAACAGCATTTTTCAGGCAGGACTAGCTATGCATGTGCAGTCCTAAGCGTACGTCTCAGAACACTGACTGTTTCTAGAAGCTTCCGAAGGCAATGGCTTTATACCAATTAGTTCATTTCTATTTAGAAGGCGGGACTTATTGCACCATATTGTCCTATTCATATAATATAAGTGTCTTTGTATATCTAAAGTCTTTGGTATACTTTGGAAGCCTATGTGTTTGACAGTGCACAATACACTAAAAACCGGAGTATACTTTGGGGTTTAGTCTTAGATTTTAATTCTTGACAATTTGATTGATTCCAATTCAGACACTATTTTTACCAGATAGCATGCCAGAATAGAACTAGCATTCATAGCAAAATCTTTGAGAAATCTACCCAAAATCATTTGCACTATACGTCAGGTTATGCTACCTATCTCACGACCAATTCGTACGAATTCGACGAATGATTAAAAAGTGGCTAATTCGTACGACCTCACTCGTACGAATTCGTACGATTTTGTCTAAACCCACGTGATGGGTAGGTTTGGGGCGGGGTAAGGGGTAGGTCATTCGTATTGAATTGGCCAATTTGAAAAATATGTACGATTTAGCAAAATGGTACTAATTCGTATGAGTGAGGTCATATGAATTGTTACGAATTAGCCACCTCGTAAAATTCGTACCAATTCCTGTGAGATCAGGCTGGGTTATGCATTAGTATCAAGTTAACTAAATACTGCTATACTGTCTAAATATATACTTAAGAGTACATACTTTCCCACCAGCAGCACAACACTTTTAGTAAGCATAATTAGTATGCAAATTAGCATTCAGCCATACTTTATCCTTTACAGGTAGAAAAACAAAAACAAATCTACCTCCTCTTTGGCTTTCTTTTCTGCCAGCTGTTGTTTCTTCTGCTTCTCCTCCTCCTCCAGAATCTTCTTCCTCTCCTCCCTCTTCTTCTTCAGCTCTTCCAGTTCAGCCTCGGCCACTTGCTGCTTCTGCTTCATCTTCTCCAGCGCCTCGCTTTCCGTCTCGTTCCGCCGGCGCTTCAGCTCCTGCAGCTTGCGTTCTGCTTCCAGCTTGGCGATGGGATCCTGCTTCTCTGTTTCAGGAGAACGCAAGCTGGTTGGACTAAAATGTGAAGAAAAAAAGGCTTTACACTCATTGTGGCTCTCCAAAAACAAATAGAATCAATTGTTAAATGACAAATCAATCTGTCTGTGCCTTAGTGTCTTCTCTGGTTTCTTGGCTTTGGCGGTGCTTTCAGCTACATCTTGTGGCTTTGTTGACACTTTTAGCTTTGAATGGAGAAACAGTAAATTAGCTTTGTTATTTTATTTTCATGTTGAGCTGTCCTTCTGTCAAACACAAACGTTGTGATGCTATTTGGACCATTCACTTACTTTGTCACGCAAATGGGAAGGTTTTGGCTTTTCCTCCATAAACTGAAGAGACAAAAACAAGCACCATTAGTTTGAACAATTGATTTTCTAACATAGCAATCAATGGGTATTGCATGTAGAATTGACCACACTGCATGCAAATTACACAGCAAAAACAGAGCAACACAGGCAGTCTTGACACAAATATTGCATTTTCAGAACTGTATATTTGTGGTCAGAATGATTGGCAGCCCAAGTAAATGTGATCAATATGCATTGTTTATCCTTTTAATCTTTCATTCAAAAAAAATCGCACAAATCTAACCTTTCATTGAGGTAAAAGAATTGTAAGTGGGGGGAAATCACGTTATGAAATAAATGCTTTGATCATATTTACCAGGGATGCCAATAATTATGACCAGAACTGTAGAAAAGTGATATGTGATCATAAATGGGTAAATCTTATGAAAACATGTCTAGGTGACATTTCACCACAAAATCAAAAGGAAAATTAAGCAATTATTTTTTTTAACTGTGACACACTCTAAAAAAATGCTAGGTTGTTTCAACCCAAATTTGGGTCAAATATGGACAAACCCAAATGTTTGGTTAAAAATGCAATTGAAAAATATACAGTTGAAAGTGAAAGTTGAAGTTGGTTTAAAATTTTAAATTACATTTTTAACCCAACATTTGGGTTTGCCCATATTTTACCCAAATTTGGGTTAAAACAACCCAGCATTGGGTTAGAGTGCACCCCCATTGGTAATTCCCAATATTCTCAATGCTAATTCTCATTAGATTATTATTACTGTAATACATAAATTTTTTAGTGTATTACAGAACAAAAGTTGTGTACAACAATGATAAACCAGTATTAATTAAATGAAACAAATACAACTATGATTTATATACATATTTAGATTATAAATCTTACAATTTAAATAAAAAAAACATTTTGCATTAAGGGAATGAAACATCCTTTAGGGGGTGAAATGACCTGAACATGTTCTTCACAGGTTTCATGAGATTCACACTGTGTCCATTCAGTCAAATGGAAATGCGGATTAAAAGCGTGAGCTGTGCATACTAATGTGATTTCTATGCATCACTCGGGGTAAGAGGCGAATACCTCCTCCTTTTTTGATTTGACTTTTTCTTCAAGTTTGGCCTTCGTTTCTTCAGCCTCTTTCTTCCATTTTGGCTTTTCCTGAACCTCTTTCTTTGGAGTCACAGGTTTCTCCTCAACCTTCTTCTTTGGTGTTGATGGTTTTTCTTCAAGCTCCATCTTCAGTTGTGGTTTCTCCTCTTCTTTCTTTGGGGTTTTGGCCTTCACTTCAACTTCCCTGAATGATTTTTTTGGTGTTTCTTCAACAGATACAGGGGGTTTCTCTTGCTCTTTCATAGGTTTCTCAGCCGCCTCCTTCTCTGGAGCTTTATCTTGAATTTGAACCTTCAACTCCACAAGTTTTTCTTCTTCAGGTTCCTTTGAATGTTCGTCAGGTTCCTCAACATGTTCTTCTTTCGTTACCTGCTTTTCTTTCTCAATCTCTGGTGTATCTGGCTCCACTATGACTTCCACCACTATTTTGTCCTCTTTTGCTGGTTCTTTTCTTGATATCGGACTTTCAGATTCTACATTTTTCTTTTCTAAATCTGGACTTGCTAAATCTACATTTGTTTGTTCTTTAGTCTCTATATTTTCACTAACAGATTCTTCCTAAAAATATAACACATCATTTCAGACAAATAACTTAATTCAAAGACATTCACCAATTTTTTTTGTTATAAACTCAACTTTTAAGAACCTCATACCTCATTTGGCACCGCTGGTTCTTTGGGTTTCTCCTCCATGGATTCCTGTAACAAATGAAGTGTCAGAATAAACGAATAATGCAGAAACCACATGAAATGCCTCGCTAATGTACTGAACCTTCATCATAAGTTGGAATGACAGCAAAAAATGTTGAGGAAATGACCTGTTCTCTGAGGTAGGACCTCTGTGGTCTGTCTTCCTCTTCTGGTTTGTCTATCCTCTCTGATGATTCTTTAGGTTCATCTGCTGCTGTAAATGACATCGAATCCTCCTTTACCGCGATTGTCTCCTCAACCTCCACGTTGCTTTCCTCTATCTTTTCCTCCTCTTTTATCTCTTCCTTTTCCTTCCAAGAATTGGTTTCCACTGAGGAAATGTCATTTAGGGAGGACTCTAATTTGTCGTTTCTACGACTTGGCTCGTCCTCTGTGGCGGTTGTGACCGTTTCATCCGTGATGGTGGGATCAAGTTCCTTCTGTCTCTCCAAAGCTTCCTTCATCCTTTTCTGTCTCCGCTCCTCTCTCTTGGCGATCTTCTCCAAGAGAGTCTGATCATCATCCTCAGCTGGAGCAGAACTAGAGATCAATGAGGACGTCTCTGTACTGAAAACAACACCATTATCAGTGTAGCCGAGTGCTTTTATGAGTTATAAAAATATTTTAGATTTTATATCATGCTTTGGTTAAGTTTATAATTAGGTTTTTACATTACATTTACATTAAATAAATAAAAAATACACTTTATTTTAAATCAAAACATTTGATGTAAAGAAACTTTATAAATGAATTCTGGTAAAGTTTTGTAAATAAATTTAGATTGGTCTACAAATGTGTTTTTGAGCATTTAAGCCTACAACTTAGTAAAAAGCTTTTCATTTCGAAAAGTTTAATTTTTTTTTATATAGTACATGACATGCAGAAAAACATATAATTTGTTCCCTTTTAATTCATTCCCTCATTTTAGTAAATCGTGGCCATGTTATGCTTGTTTGTAAAACGAGGGAACACTTTTTTAATTTGTAGCCACGATTTAACTAAAATAAGGGGAGGAATGAATAAAATGAGGGAATGAATTCTCAATTCATGGCCACAATGTTTATATACATTTTTTATTCCAGCATTTCATGTGTAGTGCTTTGTACATTTTTTCACAAAATGTATGAAAAAGATGCTTTTGGATGGATCTACCTGTTTGTTTCTGTTGTTGTGTTACTCAATTCCTCATTCTCCATATTGCGCAGGCGTTCCTGACGGGCTCGTCTCCGACGCTCCCGGGCCACTTCCTCATCATCATCATGCGAGTTCATCCTGTAGAGGCGGTGGGACACAGACATGAGTTACAGTAAGACTCTCATTCTTCCGTATGAATGCAGACAGACAATACTGACAGATTTATGAATGCTTCTTGGCTTAGCCCTGAAAGACCATGTGAGAAATAAACATCACCGAAGAGTCAATAATGATAATACAACCAAATGTAATCTTAAATATACAGAGTCTACTAAAAAACATGATCAGATTTTTAAGCTAAAAGAGTAGAAATTAATATGTGCATAAAAATGTATTATTATTAAATTATTTAAATTTAATAATTGTATTAATTAACATAGTTAAGAGTATTCTTTAAAATGTAGTATTTAAATGTATTGTTTTTTTATTTTATTTATTTGTTTAATACATTAAAACATTGACCATGCTAAATGTGGTTGTTTATCTATAATATTTTATATTACTAAAAAAAAAAGTTAATTTTTTTTAACTTTAAAAAGTATAAATTACTGTATAATTGAAAGTAAAAATCTATATTATCTTCATGCACTCTTACAATAAAGTACTGTTTATAAATACAAATTGCGAGTTATTTTATACTTTATTATTAGAAAAAATGTTCCCAGAAGTCTCTATATTACTATGAAAAGGCCACTTGTTACTTTTAATTTCCTCTAAATGTTCTTTAATTTACAATATTTATTATAATCATACCCAGCATTGAAATGATTGAAATGTATAACCACGTTACATCATCAAAAAACACGGCGATCCAATGCCAATGCAAAATACTTTTTTTTTAAGACTTTGAGATTCATATAAACAGTTTCTTATGTTTATTTATGTTTGGTTTACCAGCTTGCTTAAGATGCCAGTCAGACCCGAAAACCTCAACTGTAATGAAATCTTTGAGGCATGGGAGTATACAGAGAGATGTTTGTACTGCAATCTGAGGGGAAATCATTGTTAGCATCTTAGCGTCATGGTAAATTAGCCAGATTGTAAATCTTTATCCCCTTAGAGTTGCCTCATTGTCGGTCTCAGATGTTGCACCCACAATGTTGTGCTCAAATTCTCTCTCTTGCTGCTGAAGTTGAGCGAGTCCGTCCTGGCTTGAGTTTGTCATGGCATGTTGGTGTATATAAGGCAGTGAGAGCACTTGAAATGACCAATTGATGGAGGATGGGTTTTATTTTTTTCCCCCATCTCCTCTTCACTTCCCTTCCCAATCATTTGCAGATGTTGTAGATGATAGAGAGAAACCCATAACAGGGACCGCAATTTTGTTTCTCAGACCTAAAAGCGGAAATCCGAAACAATCCGGTCCTCTCAGGGAGTTCCATTTGGAAAAGGTCATCCAAAAAGACAGTCAGATGGAGTATCTGTGATTTTCTTGGAGGAATACGTGTCTTTTGTAAGAAGTGTTTCTGGATGAATACAATAGCTTTCAGCCCTCCCGTGCTACAGATGAAATGCAATGAGAGATGGAGGGAGAAAGCTCACACTCCTGAGAGATACTGAAACATTTTGGCTGAATCTTGGAATGAAAGCAGCAGTCAAAACATTCCTAAGTCTGTGGAGTTTCCTTTACCTGTCGCAGAGAGACTCGGCACAGTGACAACCCTTTAAACGATAACCTGGGCTGCGTTTCCCAACACCATCGCAAACCTAAGGGGACCGTAGTGGTTGTTGGTGTGCTTGTTTCATTTCACATAATATTTCATGTTCATTTATTATAATGTACAGTCAATCTGTCATAAAAGGATAAAAGATGCCTCTGCTTAAAGGTGTAGTTCACTTTAAAAAATACTTTTGCTGATAATTTACTCACCCCCATGTCATCCAAGATGTCCACGTCTGTCTTTCTCCAGTCGAAAATAAATTAAGGTTTTTGATGAAAGCATTCCAGGATTTTCTCCATATAATGGACTTCATTGGGAACCAAACGGTTCAAGGTTCAAATGAGAGTTTCAGTGCAGCTTTAAAGGGCTTTAAACGACACCAGACGATGAATAAGGGTCTTATCAAGGACCCTTCGAGTCATGAGTCGCAAAAAGATTTGTTCATATTGATGAACGAGTTTGAACAGGAGAGTAACGAATGCTCATCACAGAACAGAGCAAGGCGAGCATTTGTGCTTATAAAACTTAAACTTTTTTAAATGGCCGATCGTTTCGCTAGATAAGACACTTATTTACCGTCTGGTGTCGTTTAAAGCCCTTTGAAGCTGCACTGAAACTCTCATTTGGACCTTGAACCGTTTGGTTCCCATTGAAGTCCATTATATGGAGAAAAAATGTTTTCATCAAAAACCTTAATTTCTTTTCGACTGAAGAAAGAAAGACATGGACATCTTGGATGACATGGGGGTGAGTAAATTATCAGCAAAAGTTTTTTAAAAGTGAACTACTCCTTTAATAACATACCAAATTCAGTAAAAATCTATATTACATTCAACAAGACAATACTTGTTCACTTACAATACAATATTGTGAGTACAAAATACAAGTAATTTTAAAATGTAATATGAAAAAACAGTATAAGCATTCCTTTAAGTACTATAGAAAGGCCACTCATGATGACCAAAAATCCTCTAAATATGGACTGATACAATAGATTGAAATAATTTTTGGATGCCGCCATTGTGGCACAAAATGAATGTAGAATGAATCCATGTAATTCACATGCTGAATACTGTATTAAATTAGAAGCCACACACCATTTCTTTGACGGTCTAGTTCATACTCGGATGTTTGAAAATTAAATTGGACAGAATTATGATGGCATTGTTCTCTGAAGTGGTAAAATTGAAAGAGCAAACACACTCAGAAAATATGCTGATGCATCTGAGTTGTTTAATCAAGCACAAGGGATTTAGTGGCGATGCCATGATCCCTTCCTTTGACAGAAATATGCGGGTGCTCTCCGTTGCTGTTTTGAACTGGAAACCATGACAGGCGGCTGGGATTTGGGGGAGTTTGGATTCTTTAGCATCAATAATTTTCATAGAGAATATTTCTTTTCCAGATATGATTCCAATAAAGTTTGTTTTCTCCACTACAAAGCCAGTGGATGTGGTAGAAATGCCTTGAGGTTTCTTTCTTGAGACTCATCCATCTCAATAAAGTTTTTCTCTGGGTCATTCCAGCACATATGCACTGAACAGCTTCTGAGACCAGACTGAAATATGACATTGTGCAGCAGAAGTGAAGGATTACACAGAAGAGAAATATATCGCCCTCACTCAGAGTTTAACATGCACACAAAAAAGCAGAAAGTGTCAGAATTCATCATTTCTCTAGAAGATGAAAGGCTTTTATTAAGGCGTGGTGCATTTGGCTTGCGGGAATCAACTGGATTCGAAAGTTCCTTTTTAGATCGGATTGTTGCCACAATGAAGGCCCTGAGGATGGTTGTATCACCGAAAGCTTGGCATTAAATTTGGCTTGAAGGACTCAAGTGTGCAGACAATTTGTTCTTTTGGTTGCCACAATGAAGCTTAAAAGTGATTTTTTTAATTTATGTGTAATTTTCAGTCTATTATCTCATAGTTTAATGTGCTGAGACCACAGGGTCAAAGACAAGATAATCTATGATCATGAAAACGAATGATGACCATGATCTTTGATGCGTTTCTCATTTAACACAACAATGACTTTAGAGCCAAATTTAATATGTGATTAATTTGCAGCTAATTTGATTATTATTCGATCTGCATGTAATTATCATGTAATTAATTATATATATATATATATATATATATATATGTGTGTGTGTGTGTGTGCATGGATGGATGGATGCATGGATGGATGGATGCATGCATGGATGGATGGATGCATGAATGGATGGATGCATGGAGGGATGGATGGATGGATGTATAGATAAGTAGATGTATACATATTAGGGCATATATGAAATTACCCCCAAAAAAACATTTAAATTAAAGTAATTATTGTGTTAAATCAAAGAGAAAAAACATCAAATTGAAAGTAGCTTTAGAAAAAAAAATACATATATAAAATATTTTTTAAAATTCTTTTAAAATTCTTTCTAAGACTTCTATTATTTTAATTAGGCTCTTTATTCATTATGATATCAGGACAGTGGTGATTTTTGACTTTTTGCCATCAAAAAAAAAAATGTATCCAAATGAATTTTATGCTTATCATAGAAGTGTCAGTCTTTCAATATGAAATGTATTTTTCATGCATTTCTAATTAATTAACATTAATCATAAGAGTCCATTTTTAACCAGATAGTCTTGTCCTCCTTTATCTGAATATATATCATAAAGACTTTTGTATAAAAGAAAAAATTCTCGCTGTAAACACTGTGATCTTCTAGACCCTAAATATTGCAATTGCAGAAACGGAAAACATGGGAAGTTTAAGACTAACAGTGTATGCTATCATTAGAGCATCTTCTTGCACCCTTGGCACAGACACCATCCATTAACCTCACTACCTTCCACAATTACACAAACAATACGAAACTGTTCATCTGCATTCCAAGCTGTGCTAAAATATGATCAAATGTGCTGACAGTCATGTGTAACATTAGTAAATGCTGTCATCTGCTCTCTGGACTGAGTATTGCCCCTCACAAAGAGCAGTAAAGTATCTGTCATCTCCAGATCAGTCCTTACATGGAGCTCTGGACAGTGGGAGTTGTAGAGGGATGGAGAAACTGCAGCTCTCGGTCTATGAGTGGGCCAAGTCATCGTGAACTATAAACACTCCGAACAAACCTGGCCTGCCAAACCCACTGCACACATTACCCATGCTAATAGAAACTTTTGTTGTATTTCAAGAATTAATATGACGGGAATAAAGGGTTGCAGGCCTTAAATGACCATTTTAAATGTCCATACTTTTCATATTACACAAGAACGTTGATGTTCGCTGCTGGAAAGGACTATAAGCGGTTCTTGAAATAAAGACGGATTTCCACAGAAGGCTTGCGTAAAAACAGACATGCATAAATAAATCTAATCTGGTTTATACAAACCCAGTGCAAACACAGAATAATTGACATTTATTGTGTACAAAAGACCTGTAATGCAATAGAATGCTATTTCTCTTTTCTTTATAATGACAAACATTTCTCCCTTAGTAAGCTGCATTGTATCTACTAAAAGCAACATGAAATCATAACTAAAATCTTAGACAGATAAGTAGGTCAATTTTACAAAATGCACAGGTCACCATTCGCAAATAGAAAAATATTTAAACATTTTTTAAAACGTATTTTATTGTAAAAAAAAGTCTCATAAAGAGAATTAAGCCAGTTTTTTTTTTATTCTTGTTACATTAGTTCCATTATTGTTAAAGGTAATTTTTATTAGAAAACTACTATAAGGTCACATAAATAATAACTAATGTAAACAATACCTTATTGTAAAGTGTTACCAAAATTACTATAACAAATGTATTTTTATTGAAATCATTACTTAAGCAGTACAAAACAAACATTTAAATAATAGCATATCATTACTTTTTCATTACAACTAGGATAATCAGGGGGGAAAAAAAAGCTTTTCTCATTTCTTTATCTTAGGTTTTGCGGTAAAACTTTGCGGTTTTAACTAACTAGTCCACATCCCATCTGCCAGTCGAACCATTCTGTGTCCGAAAGAAACCATCACACTCTTAAAAATATATACCCAATGAGCGTCTGTCCAAAATCACATATTATCTGGATTTACTCTACCGCCCCATCAACTGTAACAAAGCACCGTAAACATAGGAAGACATTTACAAGCATGTCAACCTTTATAAGGAATAGAGAGGCGAGCAGAGGCTCTGTTGTTTGGACCACGCAGACACAGGCCTCTCCAACTTGGCCAGACTTTTACAGACAGCTCTTAAAATAGTATTCAGTTCATCATCGGGATGACAGTGATCTGAATTTTATTGAAATGATGATTGATGGTGAAATCGATTGACTGTAAATTCAATGTATAAAAATTGAGGTAAAGGCAGTGTGTAACTTACTTCTCTGCCTCCCGCTGCATTTCTTCTCGCTTCTGTCTCCGTATCTCTCTGCGACGCTCGAAATCGAACTCCTCGTCCATGATGATTCACGCAGAGTTCTTTGGGTGCAAGCTGAAAGAGAGGAAGACAGTCAGACAGTGTGGGCTTTATAAAGATCTGAACTGTCCTGATCACTCTAATTCAAAGTCAAGACGCTCCCTGTCAGCTGTTTGGCTTATAACTCACCAGGACCAACCACAACATTCCAGTTTCTTGATTCAATTTCCCTGGAACAACTACCAGGAAAGGCAAACTTTGCCCACATTCAACTTAACCACTAATCTTCCTCTAATATTTAACATTTTTGTATCTTCTTTCCATTTTCTCACCTTTCTCCATACATTGTACTTATCATTTAGGTTGCACTTTATTTTACTTGCACTTATGTTTACCTACAGTGTACTTGCCTAAGAAAGTACTTGACATACAGTAAGGTAACATGGGTTAAAGAAAAGTTTAATAGTTATTACCCAGTCATTGCAATTGCTATATTTAATACATGGCATTTACATGCAGTACAGGTTTTATGTCCAACATATTGCATGTTTTATGTGATTTTATGTCCAACATATTGCTAAGAAGGAAATGACACATTTCAGTTAAACCGTGCGCATTCGCTTGATAAAGACAAAAGCCAAAAATTGTATTATGCATGAAGAGGCAATCTGCCAAGACCCAAGTGCCTTCACCAATATAAACAAAAAAACATGCATTTTTGGTATAATATATAATATGTATATATATATATATATATATATAATAACTTGGTAATTCAGTGTTTAACTAGCAGCTCCAAACAGAATTTGCATAAATTTGGAGATGGTTCTCACTGCAGAACATTAAATCCACGGGGAGGAGTCCTCCCACCTTACATACACCTAAATGTACTCATCTCCGCCCCCTAATCCCTAAACCCAACCCTAATCCTACCCATCTCCACCCCTTGGATCTTGATCCGACTCCTCCCCGTGGATGTACTGCATTGAGGTGCTACTGTAAAGTTGGGGTGCATATAGGTTGCCACGTGAAATATTAAATTAACACAATTTTAAATTGCATTTTAAGTTTCTTTTCTTTCTATTTGCTAATTTCTTGTCTTTGTCGTTTGTCAAATGCTTTTCTTCATTGTAGAATTCTATTGGACAATTCACTTGTAGGGGCAACCATACCATTCGAAATATAGTAGACTGTCATTGGACAGTAAGATGCATCCATTTATTTATTTTTATTCAAAAAGATTCATTAATTTTATTGTTATCCATTTATTTAATTGATCTTAATACACGACAATAACTTATTCCTTCAGTTTATTTTTTAGTGTCACTGAACACTTGAAGCCATTGAATTGGTTGGTCAGCACTTCAACATCCAAGATGGGGAACCTTCTTGGATAATTTTGTTAAGCATTTTATAGTCGTCTCTCTCCATTTCATATTATAATACCTTTGCATCGATGTGGGAACAATTAGGTTGGTGGTGTGACAAAGCCTGTTCTGTGTTCTTCTCTACATATCACATGTGTGGAGTGCTGGGCTACACAGCAGGCTAGAGGTGAGTGGACTTGTTGGACGGCTGCTTCCACCAGAGCTGCAGGCGTGTTTGGTTTGGCTTTCCTCCAGAGGCAGAGGAAGAAGGCTCTTGCACCACAAGAGTCTCCATATGTGCATAAACTGAAAAAGTCCTATAATAGTGACCTCATGTGAAGGCTTTCTGGGTGATAGACGCAGACGGCTTTCCTGAACCTTCTTAACCTCTGCCTACAACCCGTCACATCTGTCAACAGAAGGCTGATGTGCTTTGACCACGGGTTGACGCATAAGACAATATGTATGCAATTTCCTACATTCGCATTGGGCTTTTTGAATAACATGGTGTGAGAACGTTTTGGTGACCCCAGTGGCAAATTAGCAAATTTATCGTATTTCAATTGAACACTTTTCACTGCATTCATTAAATGCTACTAAAATGCAGTTTTCAGCACTTTTTAAAAATGAAATTTGTGCAATTGTCTAGTAAAGTAACCAGTGGACAAGAAGTGGTCCATATAAACCTTGGTAGAAAAGGTAATTTAATTGTTAAAAATTTGCACGAGTTTGCAGAAATGTAAGTTTAAGAATTGAAATGACCAGCATAACAAAGGATATATCAATGTACTAATATACTGTGTGATACTGAAATTACAAAAATCAGAAAAATGTAAAAAAAAAAAATATATGAATGATTTAAAAGCATTAATTATTAGCATTAATATCATATAATATCATATTCTAAAACTACTTTATTTGCACTGTTTATTTATCAGTTTTAATGCCTTTGAACCCCACTGCATCAGAATAATATTTTTTGTGATATAGTTTTAAAAATCTATTTTTATGTTGGAACAAAACTTTAGGAACAAATAGAGACATTGACGATTTTAGGAATTTTACCTATGTAAAATAGCTGATATATAGGTTAATTAATTTCTTAAACCTATTTTCCACTTTCTGCTCATCTTAAAGGGGGTTCCAATAAAACTTAGCTGATTATACAAAAATTGAAATCGCTGCTACCTGACTAGACAAAAAAGGCTGTTAGATTCCCTTTTGCAAAATAGGTTGGAAAACACCCATAATGCACTGGGCATGTTGCCGTCCAAGGCCACTCCCACCAGTCTGCTATAGAACCGCTTACCATTAAAATCCTGCCTTGCTTTAGTATGAAGTACTTCTTAGCAAACTTTTAGTATTTAGCACTTTGTTCCCAGAGTAAATGTGAGTGATTTAGAGTGAAATGCCTTCGGTTTCCAGTGAAGCATCCAGCACGTTGTAGGCTGCAAAGCTGCGACGGAAATTCTGAAAAACCTCTGTGTTCGTAGTGAACATTTCCAACTGGATGTATGTTCCAAAAGTATGTCATCCAGCAGACTTTTGCTTACAAATAAACATGAATTTCTCCAGCTAACACAGACAATGACTAAATGTACTCATATAGTGACGCTTTTGACAATGCGTATACATCCAACGCACATGGCACCTTTTAGCATCAATTTAACATGCTTCGGTTATGGGTAGGTTTAGGTCTGGTGTAGGGTTAGGGTTAGACCACTAGGAGGCGCCTTCTGGATATCTGCGTCTCATATTGACGCTAAAGGGTGCCATGTGCGTTGGATGTATACGCATTGTCAAAAGCGTCATTATATGATGCCTTGGGATGAGAACGGGCTGATACTACCGACATTGTGACAATATAAAGCAGGTTGAAAATGGCGAAGCTACACTTTAACTCTTACATAGAGAAATCACAGAACGCTTTTGGGTATAGTAGGCATGTTACACATTTCCCAGACTCCCTTTCCATGTCTAGTCTTCCTTCCACAAAGTATCGTAGGATCCACAAATCATTTCCACATGACAGACGGAGAACATATTCTAACTTACACATCTGCGACTGATTCCAGGTCCTGGGCAATTTGCCCTCTTCATGGTTTTCATTCTTTACCCAGAGTGTTTGAATGCACTATAGACTCTAGTAGGACCAGCATAATGCTTTTGCTCTAAAGCGCAAACAGATGAAAAAAAAAAACTTGATGATGATGTCCAAATGCATTAAAAAGATGTATATACCGTATCCTAAGCCCGTAATGGAAGCCTGTGTGTTAGGAAGTCAGAGCAACCACCCAGGTAAGAGTGGGTGAAGCCGTTTACAATGACATATCGAGCTGTCTTGTGGGTTTTCTATAAAGCTTTAATACGTGTGGACAGGACAAATGTGTGGAGCCAGAATACACATCAGGGTGGGATCTATACGTCCTAGCCAAAACCAACAAGAGCTGTCCAAGATGCTGAAATGGTTTTCTAGTCACTGTTAGAGTACCTGCTTTCTACTTGATTTATTCACTTATTCAGACCTGTTGCTACAAAGCATGAGGAATGATTATTACATTAGGAAGTACCTGTGCTATAGTTTAATCTCTGTAGCATCACTCTGGGGTCTCTTTCTTCTCATATAATAAAATAATTTCAACTGAAATTAACATCTTATGTCCAATATATATATATATATATATATATATATATATATATACAGTATATATATTACAGTATATATATATATATTATTTAATAATATATTAAATATATATGTAATATATTATAATATATTTACAGTATATATATTAATATTTATTATATATAATATATTTATTATATATTAATATATTTATATATTATATTTATATATATATTAATATATTTACAGTATATATATATTTATATTTACAGTTATATTTAAAGTAGACATGTAATTAGGATAATATGTAGGATAATGCAGGCATTTTTAAACATTCTGATATCATTTGCTGTACAATAATATAAAGCCCATAGTTTGTGTTGGAGTGAAATGTGGAATCATTTCTCACTCGCTCTTCGTGTCGGCGCACACCACAAGAGTTAAACAATAAACCAGAATAATAGATCATTTGCTCATCTACAGCATATTTGCACAACTTTTGAGGACAAGATGAAAGATTTAATTTATGGCATGTCTGTCATGCTATTTCACACTATCAAAGGAGGCTGTGAGATGTTATGTTTTTCTTAAACCCGTCTTTTTGATGTGTAATTAGCATTAATGCTGGCAATTACACGAAAACCTCAAATCACATCAAGATCATCTCGCCCTAGCAGTAGAAGCAGCTGTACACTGGCAGTGAATCAAGCCCTCTCAATTCACTCCTCTACTTCCGTTACACCAATCTCCAGATGCACAAATCAGGGGAACCCCAAACAGAGGTGTGCTGAATCAATGGCTAGGATCGTAAAAGTCAGACCAGATAAATATGTGAAGGCTTTTGTACAATGATGTGTAACAGGACGGAGTTTCTGCTGACTGGTGAGGCATTGCTTAACCAAAAATGGCTAAAGATGCTCACCCTGCGAAACTAACATGGGCTTCAGTTCAGAGTGGAAGACTAGTATCTATAAATAACTATAGTGTATATCACGTCCAGCACAAAGACATGCTTGTTTTTATTGCTTTTTGAGAGGGTTTGTGTTTTGTGCGTTAGCAGCAAGCATAACTAAAAAAGAACATGACACTCTTACATTGCTAGCAATGTAAGCCTTTATTCCCCAAATAATATATCAAGCAAACTCCTGGAGCAATCAAGACACTTAGATATATATATATATATATATATACACTCTCAGAAAGAAAGGTACAAAAGCTGTCACTGGGGCTGTACCTTTTCAAAAGGTACACTTTTGTACCCAAAGGCTGCATATTGGTACCTTAGTGGTACATATTAGCACCTAAAATGTACATATTAACACCTTAAATGTACATATTACCATCTAAAATGGACATATCAACACCTTAAATGTACATGTTACCACCTAAAATGTACATATTAGGACCTAAAATGTACATATTAGCTCCTGAAATGGACATATCAGCACCTAAAATGTACATATTAACACTTAAAATGTACATATTAGCACCTAACATGTACATATTAAAACTTAAAATGTACATAAAAGCACCTAAAATGTACATATTAACACCTAAAATGTACATATTAGCACCTAAATTGTTCATATTAACACTTAAAATGTACATATTAGCACCTAAAATGTACATATTAGCACCTGAAATGGACAAAAATTTACCTTTTGAAAAGGTACAGCCCCAGTGACAGCTTTTGTACCTTTTTTTCTGAGAGTGTATATATATATATATATATATATATATATATATACCATAACGGAGAAATTTAAGAAATACATGCCTGCATCTTGACATCCTTTAATGAACAGAAGTAGCAAAAACACCTGAATAGCAGTGATTCATGACTCTTGATGTTTTGAATAGGTTTGCCCTCTATTACCCTTCTGCCTCTGTGTGATGCCTCTCATTTCTATACATCAGCTGTTAAACATTGAAAATTTGGGGAAATGGCATTACTTAGTACACCCCTGAAGCACTGGAGCACAAATTGTCCTCAGAGTCCTAAACTGTAGGGTCTCGATCATTTAAATGAGTCATTCTCTTTCTCTCTGGCCTGCCCATTTCCTCCTGAATTAAGGGTAGCATTTTTACAGTGCGAAACAGGAGGACCAACTTACCCGTAACGCTAATGATTTTGAAAGGAAAAGCAGCCGTTTGAAATAGCCTATGGTGAAGTGAAGTTTTGAAGCATTGCATTACTATTGTTTCAAAATATTGCATTTGTGCTCTCAAAGTTCCTTCCCTAAAACTCTCACTAGCATGCAAAGAGGAAACATTTGCAGACTTCTGTCTATTTAATGCATTCCAGCAGACCCCCTCAAGCTGCATGAGTCGAATAAGAATGTTTCTGATTATAATCAGATCTGTGCATCCTACCCTCAAAATTTAAGATTTATTCATTTGAATTTCACATACAATTTCCTTTTCCATTTGGATTACATAAACTAATAAATGTAATGTGATGCATATTTGTCAGCAGGTAAAATTTCTACACTCAAAAAATTGTGGCATAGTTTATTATTAACTATTTGCATCTATTTCATTGAAGATAAATAATATGTAAATACATTCAGTTTATTAGTAATATTACAGAAATCCTACCCGTTTAATATATGGATGGCTGTTATGTATCACATTAAGTTTATTAGTTAGTTCATGTTAAAACTGAGATGCAATTCAAATACATTAATCTTAAATTTAGATCTAAATATTTTTGAGTGCACAAATTATCAGTCATTTCCAGCATGCCATATTGAAGTAAATATTAAAGCATTTTAAACGTTTCAATGTGCTATTGGACAGGTGGCCGACTATGACCAAGAATGGTGTTTATTTAGCAAAACAACCCAAAAAAGGTAAGAATGATCCCACTTTTAACTATGTTAAAAATTTAGCAAGTAAAATCCTCAGTGTACAAATTGGTCTTGAGAGTGCAAAGGAGTTGGACTGCAGAACACCGAGATGCTTGGAAAGAAACCTCAATTGCAGTTAAACACATTCCAAATTTCCTGGGCAACAAGACATTGATCATGGCCAGACGGATCCACATGTGTCGGAAAGGAGATGGTCTCATGCCTAGTGGCTTATACCATGTAAGGAAAAGACCTGACTTGGCACACACGCACTCGAGCGTCAAAGCTTTTCCACAGCTTGACACCTGGATAACGTATGATAAACAGTATGTTGCGAAGGAACACATTCAAGGAGTAAACCTCAAAACGAATTCAGGATTACGGCCTTGCGCACAAAACAGCTGCAGACTTCCCCATACATATTTTTGATGGACCTACCCTAAGAAAGTTCAGCTTTGTTTCACTCTGACCTCACACCTTTGGAATGCTACATGTGCCAATTGTCCATCATTTTTGGTTAAGTGGTACACTCCAGTTCCAATATATATATTTCCATCCCAAAAAGTGTTTGCTGCATAATTCAAGGCAGCACTATGGAAAATTTGTCTTCAAATTACCTGCTTTTCAACATCTGGCAGCAATGAACTGTGAGCAGTCTAAGGAATTGTGTCTTGTTATATATTACTACGAATGGTGCTAAAAGTCCAAATCCAGCTACTAGCACAACTGAAATAACTATAGATTACTTTGAGTGCATAGTCTGGTCCATCTCCAATCCTGATGGATTAAGCTGACAGGAGGTTTCAACAGAAAATGTAATAGGTGATTGTGATTTTTAAATATCCCTTTTTAGTTTTGAATATTCATACTGGAATGTCTGCCAATCAAAGCAACCAGTTTGATATCAATGTCACTTTCCGTGTGGTTGGATGATTCCTTTGAGCACAATGATTCTACCTGATCCTTAATGGGCCCCTGCTGACCCAGCATCCCTTGCTCTCTGATTTCCCCCCTGAGTCTGGGCACTGAGGGCCAGCAGCATTCCCAAGCTTGATCCCATCCCACTCCGGAAACATAGGGCAGTACTCCTAACATCCTGCCCGCAGTCTGTGCCAAGGCCCTGTTATCGCTGTGTGCTGAATTGCCTCCAGATTCTGTTCAGCTGCGCAAAACACACACACTGCCGCTGTGCATTCCATACACTGCTTCATCTGTCACCAGATCTGCACTCTGGGATATAATACTGAGACATTCTCAAAAAAAAAATGTCTGTAATGGTTTATTTACTCAATCTTAAAATGTAAAACTGCGCGTTAAGTCGCATGACATGCATTCATCATGAAAGTATTTTTTGGTCAAAATGTTTAATTATGTACAGTATGAAATAAAAGACATAATAATAATTATAAGAAATAATAATAATGTAATTATAATTATAAGAAATAATAATAATTTTATTATTAATACATACTTTTGGGCTATATTATTTATTTATTCATTTATTAGATTAAATGTATTTATGGCCATTATTATTTTTAATTATTTTTAATTTTTAAATAATTTTGACTAAATTCTTTTTCATTAAAATGTAATTAAATTAACAATATTCAAATTTTTTGTTACCTTTCTATATTTTCGGTGTTTTTAATTTTCTTTACAAAAATAAAACCTATAGGCTGCTTAATGGCAGGTTCAGCTGTGACAACTTACCCCATACAATACAGCTTAAGAACATGCCTCTCTAATTGCTCAGTGTCTGAACAGTATCTATTTTCCTGGGAAATAACATGAAATAATAAGAAATATTAATATCATTTTTTCTTGCTAAAATTGTTATTATTATTTTTTTTTTTTTAGAATAATGTTTTTGCTAAAATTATTATTGTTTTTATTTAATTGTATCCTTTGCAATTGGTCAAAGTGTAAAAAGCATCTATTTTGTTGGAAAATAACAGTGACAATGTTCAAGAGCTAAAAGAGTAAAGACTCTTTGTGATTGCCCCGGTTTACCCTCTATACAATGAGCAGAAACGATTTTAAAAGTAGCATGATGCAGGTGTACTAAAGCTATGCTATGCAGGTGTACTTAGGGTGTAAAGCTGGCCGTTAAATGCAACACACACATACACACTCATTAGAAAGATCCAAAGGCTGCATGAGCTCATGCTAAAAACAACTAGTTAGTGATTTTGTGGGAGACCCTCCAATTAACTTTGACTGTAATTTAAAAGCAAAGGGAATCTAGATGTTCTTGACAAGGGAGCAAGTGCCAGGGGAAAACATTTTTCACACAATTAATTTGTCTTGCAAAGACTACAAATTGAACTTCCAGTAAATTATGTTGTCATTAGAAGCATGTTTTAATACATTAAAAGCATTAATATAAATGAAAGCATTTCCATTTGAATTCAAAAACATATTAAAATGCTAAAATGAAGCACTATGCTTCTAACCCCTACCTGTAACAGACTGGAGCAGGTTTCAGTGCGCTCTCCAATTTAGTCTTCAAGTGTGATCGTGCTGCTGAAAGGGCACTGAAGGAATTACATGAGTCGTGACTCCACATTTTATAAAATGTGCAGCATTTCAGACTCCGCCTCTGCCTTCATCACATCAAAGCATTTGGCAGCAGTTTTCCTCCGCTTTCCTCCATCCATAAGTAGCCTAATAGATCACTGTCATATATTACACTTGTATAGCCCCCCACACAAAAAAACACAAACTACATGAAAACAAAACAAAGAATGAAAAAATACACTTGCAATAAAATTACACTAACCCTACTAAAAAAACAAAACATCTAATGTGGTTTAGGGTACGTTTACAGAGATCTGCGTTTTTGTTATTTAACTAGAGACCGTTTTCAAAAACGTGCACTTTGAAACCTGTTTTTTAAACGCCCCATTGGACATTATGGGTGCTTGAAAATGGAAACGGGTTTCAAAGTGGAAGCTTTTGAAAACGGTCTTTGTGTGAACAACAAAAACGTCTCATCTGATGTAACCGATGTTCTCTGAATAGGGAACGAAACGCTGTGTAGCTTAAGACGCAGTGGGAATGCCCTCTGGGTGTGCCGATTGTCTGAAGCCCTTATAGAATCACACCAATTCATTGGCTGATGGCGCAGGCGCTGCCCCGACGCTCTTGCGTTGTAATATTACATTAGCGCGCCATCTGCTCATAAGATTTCTCTGCCGAAAAAGGAAGCTTGTCGGCAGCGCACGCAGTGTCTTGTTCCCTATTCAGAGAACATAGGTTACATTAGTAACCAGAGACATTCTCTTTCATAGGTTCACTCAACGCTGCGTATAGCTTAAGACGCAGTGGGAACGAAATACCAAACTCGCCAAGCTAAGCGCTGCCGTAACTGATACCAGATAGCTCACACGACTGGTTGAAGTAGATAAAACTTGGGAACCTGGAGTCATGTCAAGATCCAAACTGTAGAATGTGACAAAAGTGCGAATTCTGAAAGTAGTAATTCTGATATTTTGGTGTAAATGGCCAGGTTCGACGCCATATTGAATTTAACGTGGTAGAAAACGAGGTTGTGAGGGATATACTTCATAGCACGCCACACACTGTATGAAGGTCCTAGATCACTTCATTTTCACAAAAAGTCTCATACTGGCAGTGAAGATGAAAGCTACATTGTGTCCAGGACTTTCTAGGCTTCAGACAAACAGAACAGTTCTCAAATTAGATCCTTGGCAGAGCTTCTAGTCAGATTCCTGTGATGCTTTTTGTACTGTTTTGAGACTCAAGTAAGGGCCGTCAAATCCATGTTTTGGTCCATGACAAATGTTTTCTTAAAAGGAGTTTATATCGAGTGTAACCAGAAACTGGCTGTCCGGTCACGTCTTCATAGCACAGCAAATAAACTCAATGAAAATCACATTACTTTTTAATAAGCACAAAAGAAGATGGATGTGGCATGTTTTCCCATGAGCATATAACATTTTCAAATGTATATACTTCTAAAAGACCATGAGGATATGTTTTAGTGCCTCTCTTCGAACATTCCAGCGCAACAAGAAAAATGTGAGCGATTAAGTTTAATGAATATGTACTGTGCCAAGTGCTACATCCTATTGAATAACCAAAATCAGTTTCCTTATGTCATTAGTGCTTTCTGTAATAATAAACTTACCATCCACCACTATTATATTTAGATCATCATCTACTGGAGAAATGTCTCCTCAGAGAACACTGTAGCAATGCAGCGCCTCCTCCTGGTTAACTCAAGTGTTTTCTACTTTTTCACGCACACCATTCAATACACATTAACCCATTTTATACAAGTCATCTTTATTTTTATATATTATTCTTTCAGGAAAATGTATCAGGGATGTGCTAAACCAGAGCAGACCAGTTCTTCTGGGTGGTGAAAAAGAAAGTGAAACTACATAAGATGTGCCCCGGTTAAATAATAGTATGGTAGAACAGGGATAGAACATGTAGACATGTAATAGTGAAAGACACAATGGATATTATAACAAAAACAAGACACATATAGCATTTCTTTACTTGTACAGTACAGTGTTGGACAATAAAAAACAAAAAAACAAAATAGAGTTATTACAGTGCACAGACTTTATAAACCACAACTATGTCTTAGTTTTACTCGCTAGGTTTTCTTTGCATTTATGTTGGTTAATGTCGGATGAGATAAAGAAAGAGCTAGCGTTGGTAGCATTTGGCATTGCATGATAAAACTGAATATAAGTTAATCTTAACACATATTAACTTTAAATATATTTACGGTAATAAATACATTAGACATAAACAAAATGACCTTTTTAAATAATTCCACCCAAAATATGCTACCTGTAGTATAAAACACACATTTTTTAACAATTTAATATTATAACATCCAATTGAGTCTCTATTATATATATATATATATATATATATATATCACTTGATGGATTATGAATATGAATCAAATAACATTAGGTTTAATCTGTGCCTTGGAAGTCCAGACAGTGGAGTGAATAATTTGTGCTTATTTATATTTTATTCAGCAATGGCACATTAAATTGGTCAAACGTGACATTAAATAGTAATTATTGTAAAAAAAAAAAAAATTCTATTTCAAGTAAATGTTGTTCTTTTTTAACTATATATTTATCAGAGAATCCTGTGTCACAATTTCCACAAAAAATATATTAAGCAGCACAACTGTTTTCAGCAAGATGAATAAGAAGTTTCTTGAAAGGATCATGTGACTGGAGTAATGATAAAAAAATTCACATTATATTATAGTAAGCAGTTATTTTAAAGCAGTTCCGAATATTACTGAGTTTACTGATATATATATATATATATATATACAGAATTTGTTAAATATTTGTATTGACCTACAATAACAAATTCTATTAGAAAACAACGGATGGATGCTATTTTTACCCAAATGAAGGCACTGGTTTTCTGCGGCCTAAAATCCATAGATAATAAAAGTAACAGGTTCAAATACAAGAGTTAAGAAAAAATAACACCACATTAAATGATCATTTAAAAAAAATAATGTTATATCAGTATCTGCTTCATTATTTGGTCTACAGATCTCCTGCAGTGACAAAATATATGCAGCAAGTCTGCATTTGGGATAAGTAACCATTGCCTGAATTCAATACTAACATATAACTCTTCTAGATTCTTAAAGTACCAATCTAAACAGGACGCCTACCTCGGACAGTGCATCAGGACATACTGAACGACTAATGTTTCTGTGTGAACAATTCCTATCTGAAGATTCTGACATTTTCCTCAAGAAAACCCTTATTTATTTTCTGCATTAACCTTCCCTTGATCCTCCACCTTTTTGATGGCCGCCTGAATTTTGGCCTGGTCGCCCAGGAGCTGGCGTGGCTTGACCGGTCGGAGATTTTCATCCATCTCCAGTAAGACTGGAACTCCCGTGGGCAGTGTTACATTGACAATGTCTGTTTCTGATATATCTGTTGAGAAACACAGCATATACATTAATTAGCATATTAATGCATATTATTTGATAATGTTTAAAAACAAGCTATTAAAATGATAGAATATTAAATAAAAACAGGATTAAGAGCATTTTGGGGGGTTTTATAACTTGCATCTGAATGTTTAGGGATTACTGAAGGCCTATATGGTACACTAATGTTCAAAAGTTTGGGGTCTATAAGATTTTTGAAATGTTTTTGAAAGTCTTGTGTCTCACAAGGCTGCATTTCATTCAAATACAGTAAAATGGTGAAATACTGTATTATTACAATTTTACTGTTCTCTATTTAAATATATTTCAAAATGTAATGTATTCCTGTGATGCAAAGCTGAATTTTCAGCATCATTGTCAAAGTAAGATATTTTTAAGACTGTTTCATGTGTATTTGTTCATATAATGAAAACCGGATGCCACTGGCTTTCACTGTATGGACAAAATATCTTCTTTTGTGTTCCTTCTTTTGTGTTTGGTAAAAAAAAAAAAAAACTGTTAAAAAAAAAAAAGCACACTGACAAAAATATATATTTTTCACCTTCCAGATGTTTAAGCAAAGCTCTGCAGCTGTTGCCGTGTCCAGAGATGAGAACTGTTTGGCCACTCTTGATCACAGGTACAATGACATCATTCCAGTAAGGAAGAAGTCTGTCTAGCACTTCCTTCAGACTTTCCGTTTTGGGCAGTTCCTCTTTCGGAATGTCACACGTACTGTATCGGCGGTCATTGTAAATTTCAGCGTAATAGGGATGTGACTCATGAATGGGGGGCGGCATGATATCATAGCTACGCCTCCACAGTTTAACCTGATCCTCGCCATGTTTCAGCGCCATCTCAGCCCGATTGAGGCCGATCAGGGCACCGTAATGCCGTTCGTTTAACCTCCAGGATTTGGTGACTGGGACCCACTCTTCTCCCATGGCCTCCAGCACCAACCAGGCTGTGTGGATGGAACGGCTCAGTAAGGAGGTAAAAACCTGGTCGAATTGATAGCCCTGCTTTTTCAGGAGCCTGCCGCATTCTTGGGCTTCCACCACCCCGTTCTCGCTCAGTTTCTGGTCAACCCAGCTGCAGAAGCGGTTCTCCTTGTTCCAGGCCCCCTCCCCATGCCGGAGCAGGAAGAGTTTGTGTTTGGACATCCAGAAAAGGCAGTATGGAAGCCTGAAAGATATGCACATGCTGATTAATAATGTTACTCTATGACAAATCTCAACTGCTTGATTATGAATGTCAAAAATATTATTGCCCATCTCGATTCTCTATACTTAATTACTACAGTATGTACATCCAATAAAACATGATAATGAGTTCCAGTTACTTGTAGAATGACATTTAACTTTAAATATAACAAACTTAAATATAATCACCCTGCATCAATCTATCTGGAGAACAGAACTGAAAGGTTAAGGGTCATCAACTAAATGTCAATGCTAATTTAATAAATGGTCTGCCCAGCTCTGACCAACTCTAATATTTAAAAGCTAAATCGGAAAAAACTTGCATTCGCAGGATAAAATGTGGTATTTAGATTTACATAATTAGGGAACTAAAAATGAAACCAAGTAACTGTTAGCGATCAAACTACTGTATGACAAGAACACAACTGAACTAGCCTGCTTGAATGTCATAATGAAATCCTACCGTGCACGCAAAAACGTACTTATCTGCTTAGATTAATCATAAATCTAAGTGAAGATGAAAGAAACATTGGAAATGACTATGAATTACTACATACTCACCTTCAGATGAGAAACCGCCCAGCCCTGAGTAGCTACAGCCCAGCAACAGGAACTATCAGCAGCATCAACGAACACAAACGCGAGTGACACTTCTTTCAGCCAATCAAATTCGTGATTCTCCACAAGTAGGCGTGTTTAAGCATACAGTGACGAATCAGAACTGCCGTTATTTTGAGGTTGATGGCGTCATGTCCAATTTTGTATACAGTGATTACAAACCTTATTCGCCTAATTTATCAGGTATGACCAGTTACTTTATTTCAAATAATGTGTTAGAAGTTCTGGAATATATCATACGGTAAAGTGTAAAGTGATATTTGCTGCCAGAAAACAGAGCAATACAGTCGGAAAACCTTGAAATAACTGTGAAAACAGTGAAAGCTTTATTGTTTCTCGATATTCACACATCTGATCACATATACATCTCGTACCAATATAAACATTATTATATAATGACAAATGCAATTATATAATAATCATATATTAACATAAATAAATTTTTTATATGTGTCATAAAGCACATAATGTTTTAATAGGCTATTTGAATTGATAACTGTGGTTATAAAATAGCACAGCTGTTTTTTTATTCATCCAGCTGTTTGTGCAATAAAACAAACACAAAACCACAATTAAATAGCAGACAAATTTTGGTGTTTCAATAACCTTTAGTTCACGTTGGATTTAATATGTGAAATAATTAATGATAAATAAATTGTTAAGAAGTTGGTCCCGCAAACAGCTTCTTCCTGCCCTCCATGCCTGACATGGCATCCACATTTTTACGCCAGTCGGTCACTTCCTCTTTCTGTGTGGATTACAAGTAAATGCATATTATTATGAACTGTATTACTTATATTTACAACAATGTCATGTTTTCCTGAGCTATAGAGAGTACTCTTTAAAAATGCAATACATTGTTAATACTGAATAAATAATAAAATAAAACAATACAAATAAATTTGATTCAATAAAAGCTTTAAAATAATTTCAAAATTATTATATGATTATTGATGAATTAACAAACAAGAAAGCACTGAATCTATAAATGATATTGATAGATGTGTTGATTAAATGTATTACCTTTTCCTCCTCCTTCCTCACAGTCTTGAGGTTAGCTTTAAAGTCGATGGATTCCTTGTGTCTGGCACCGAGCAGAGCCCCCAGCATGGCATCCGCAGACACCCTCACTCTCTTCAGGGCAGGTCTCTTCATTTTACCCTTCAGCTCAAAGATTTTGTGGTTTAATTCTGCAATCTATACCAAAAGCAGCAATGTAAATGAATGCATCAGTTAACGCTTTTACGTTTAGGTATTTTTAACGCAGGTTTAATGCAAAAAAGTACCTCCTTATCATGTTTGCCAACTTTAGATTCAATGTCATATCGTTCCTCATCAACAACATCAATCTTTTGATGAAGGTCTTTGCACAGATTCTGTAAGCAGAACATCAGCATGTAAGAAAGAACATTGTCAAAGGAATTCTGACAAAAGACTAAAGAATAGCAACCTGTAGGTCCTGTATGGACATCCCAGACAGTTTGATAGGAGGAGCTCTCTCACTGAGCGCTTGCTCTCGCTCAATCTTTTTCTGTTCCTTCTCCTCTGCCAGCAGTGTGCTGGCCTTCTTCAGTATTTTGGTCTGCAATGCATTAAAATGAGGATGCATAGCCATATATTCATATGTACACAATGGTAGTTGCTTTAAAATATATTCATACATAAAATGAATATACTAATAAATATATACCAACCTTTAAAAATAACCGCCGAGATGCTGAAATCTTGGGCTTTTTCTGAAGAAGAGAGCCGATATGAAATGAACAACATTGTGACCCGGCCAGCTGCAACGTTATATAATAATACCGCAATTAAATAGTGTTTAAATACTCACCGGACTGATACATATAGAGCCAGGAAAGAAAACATATATTTAACAAGTATAATTTCTATCTGATATTTATTATTTTATCATTTCCATAACATAATATTTTAAAAATAATAAAAATTTCCTAAAATACTTACATTGCTTCAGACATGTTAGTGCCTTTGTTTTTTTTTCCTGGAGGTTTAACAAATGAAAAGAAGGTCCAAAAATCTAAAACAATATTAAAATAGACTTCCTAAAAACAAGGAACATTCTGATGTAATGTCAATGACATAAAGGTAACTACTATATCTATCTAAGAAGTTGTCATAACCTGAAGGTCCTTACCTCTCAGATGATGGAAGTATGATTTTGTTTTGGCCAAAGGGAGGAAACTCAGCAGATTTATAGATTCTGATGCACACTAAAATAGACCTCTGTCCACACCATTATCATTGTCAAATGCTTCACATCTCAGGCTTCAGAGCAGCTGGTGCTGAAATGCACTTTGTTATCTAGACTAAGGGTGAGCACAACAATACTCCAGGATTAATGAGACTATATGTGTCCAGTGTACGCATTGTCTTATCCAATGTTGAGGGTTAAGTAATCAGATTACTTTTTTCAAGTAACTAGTAATGCATTACTTTTAAATTTAAAAAAAAAGTAGTTACTTTTTCAAATAGTCACTTTGTTTTCCCATTATCCCCATGTTCAGAGAAATATTGTATTTTTAGATTAAAAGTGAACATATTTAATTATCTCACTTGCACAAAAACAGATTCAGCATTTATCAAAATAAATAAAAACGGTGAAATGCAAATTCAGAATTGACCAATGTTTTTGCTGCTGGCCTTCAATGATCCAATTCAACCATAATAATAAGCACAAATGACTTAAGATAAACCACATTTGTGTTTCTTTTTATTGTTTTCATTGCTGAAGTCTGAGGCTTATTCATTTCACTTTTGGCGTGAAAGTGGCATTTGCCAAAATACAATTAAAAAAAAAATTATATTTAATTTTTATATTAATTAAATATAGTTAATTAATTTGACTTAAATGGGAATGAAGATTACATATGAATTTTCATTTAAGTGAAATTACTGAACTTAAATATGCAAGCTTGATAAAAATGATCATTCTAGAAGAAAATTTCAAATGGCACTTAGAGGCTTTTGCATCTGAACTCTTCATGTATAGAATCCGCTGTCGCGTCTTTTGTAAAAAAAAAAAATCGACAGCGCATTCATTTTAATAGACAAACAGAGAACTGCAATAAAGGCATTTGTCGATCAGAAAGATATTTTTGGCGTCCTTCCTACATGATTCGGGAAAAGTGTAACTTATCAGCTGGCTCTGACGGTCGTTAAGAAGATGGGATGTAATGAAAAGCCTGTGGTCGTTGTGGTTTCTCCTTTGGTGGCACTCATGGAGAAGTAAGTAAAAGAAGTAATACTCGTTATTTAACTTCTAAAATAAATAAAGTAGGCTACGTTCTGTATTTGAAAACTGCGCTATGCAAAGGAGTTGACTTATGCGTTGCTCTGATTGGTTGGTAGGTCTACCGACTATCCAATTGAGTGCAGAGGTTTTTTCTTTTGTCCTGGTTCGGTTACGACACGCCTCATAATCAAAGCCCAATGGAGGAGATTCAGACTCATATTCTTTCTTTAATATGAGTATGACGAAGTCAGGCTAGTGGACCTGTGCAACACTGCCTCTTTCTGTTGTTTTGGCCTAGAGAACTGTTGCTTTATTGCAGCTTATTGTTAATTACTGAAGCTACGCTCTGTTGCTTATTTGTGAAATGTCCCAGTCCATACCATTTTGCTTCATCATTTAAGCTGATATTTATCTGATTATTTGCTTTGTTTATTGTTTGGGAACTGTAAGGAGGTGGGTGTCATTTTTATTTAGCAATCCCCTGTTTTCTCGTGGTTTCTGGTCAGGGAAGGAGAGAGTGTACGTTTCTGTTATCTATTTGTATTTTCTTTTAGAGTGTTAGTAAGAAATTGACTCCCCCAGGCTGATTAAACTTTTGCCATTGCCCTCTCCGGAAGTCTTTGTTTCCTTCCCAATTTACTCTCAAAGTAAATTGTTGTGTTAACTTTTGAATTACATTTTTGAAAATAACTTTGTTGTTGTGATGCTGTGGCAGGGCCCTGACTATTGCTATTTAAAATCGTAAACTTTGTTACGTTCTGACCCCTAGACATTCATAAGATGTAACATATCCTAGTTGAAAGGGACATTCAAACAATTTGTGAAGACATTTTATGTAGGAATATAACATGATATTGCATATTTTCCTAAATTCTATTAATTCAGATCTGAAATGATTTGATATTTTAATTTATATATTTTATAGGCTATATGAATGATATTTTCCCCACCATCAATAAGGGATATAACAGATTGACATTCTGATTTTTTCTTCTTCCTAATACAGTATGTTGTTGCGGGCTGCCACCAATAGTTCAAAAGAAGAACTGCAACTGTATTAAATATGACAAAATGCATAGAAAGAGCTTTTAATTTTAAAAACAACAAGTGTTAAAACATTACATTTGGATTTACTGATCAGATTCTCTTTTCGGCATTCAAGGTCATTTCTGTATCAGTACATGGTAACACTTTACAATAAGGTGCAATTTGTTTACAGTAGTTAAAGGCATTAGTTACTTAGTTAATGAACTAACAATGAAAGATAAAGCATTTATTAGTATTACTTAATGTTAATTTCTTTCAAAATTTTCAGATTAGTAGATTATGAAAATCTAAAGTTGTTGTATTTGTTAATATTATTTAATGGACCTGAGCTAACATGAAGGCTGACAATAAATAGCTAACAATTTTTTTTTTTTTTATATAAACTTAAGTTAATAAAGACTGTAAAAAAAATGTATTGCTCATTTAATGTTAGTTAATGCATTTACTAACGTTAACTGATCCTTATTGTAAATTGTTACCCTCCATTCTGTGACTCTAGAGTGGTGTTTATGCAATAAAATATATAAAATAAAAAGATGAAACAAAATAAATATATATTTTTATTTTATTTTTTATTGTGTTAGCCGATAAGACTATTACTTTATTGTCTCTGGTATAGCTATTTAACATGGTTAACTCTTATTTCACACAAACAGTCTATTTATAAACGCATTCTACCATTATCCATTACAATCACATAAGCCTATAACATTGTTAACTCTTATTTCACACAAACAGTCTATTTATAAACGCGTTCTACCATAATCCGCAGTACAATCATGACCAAAACAAGATCAAAATTCAATCTTCGTCACTCTCTCAGCCCCTCAGCAAACGCCTTCCAAAACCAGGCCATGACAGCAAAGGAATACAAATCTGAGAATAGATTTAATACAGTGTGAATATGAATAGGCTACATCAAGAGAAAATGTTTTACACTTAAGCCACTCCGATTTTAAAGTTTAGAAATTGGCTTTTTAAAAGTGCTGCAAAAAGCTTTCAAGTACACCTGGCTGCAGCTTACAGAAAGGGGCAGGGCTACATGTGTCACTTAGCCCTATGCCTACTCTGATTGGCTTTGATGTGTTCGTAGTCTGTCATTCAAATCTATATGAACTGGAAAAGCTCTGGAGTTTCACATGGCCTTCATTATAATGAAATAATATGATATTAATATGATATTTTCATAAGTGTGCTCCAAATAATTCATAATAATGTCAGATTGTGCTAGGTCTGTCTTGTGTCTCATTAGAAACCTCACTTTTACTGGAGTAATATTAGATTACATATCTACTTCATGTAGACTTCTCCACTTAAAGGAGTAGTTCACTTTAAAAAAAACTTTTGCTGATAATTTACTCACCCCCATGTCATCCAAGATGTCCATGTCTTTCTTTCTTCAGTCGAAAATAAATTAAGGTTTTTGATGAAAACATTCCAGAATTTCCTCCATATAATGGACTTCATAGTCCAAATGAGAGTTTCAGTGCAGCTTCAAAGGGCTTTAAACGACACCAGACGATGAATAAGGGTCTTATCTGGCGAAAAGAGCGGTCATTTCGGTCAATGACTCGAAAAAAGATTTGTTCGCTTTGATGAACGAGTTCAAACAGGAGAGTCACGAACGCGCATCACAGAACAGAGCAAGGCGAGCATTTGTGCTTATAAAACTTTAACTTTTTTATTTCATTTTTAAATGGCCGATCGTTTTGTTAGATAAGACCCTTATTCATTGTCTGGAGTCATTTAAAGCCCTTTGAAGCTGCACTGAAACTCTCATTTGGACCTTGAACAGTTTGGTTCCCAATGAAGTCCATTATATGCAAAAAATCATATGTTTTCATCAAAAACCTTAATTTCTTTTCAACTGAAGAAAGAAAGACATGGACATCTTGGATGACATGGGGGTGAGTAAATTATCAGCAAAAGTTTTTTTTTAAGTGACTCATTTAAGTACAAGGTATACGTACAGCCCACCACGAATAAACATTTAATAAGTAATTTCTCTTGCCAATGCTTGATAAGGCTAATGATGTGATTTTATCAGCCGCAAATTACTGAAAAAAAAATGTAATGAAACTAAAACTGCCCGTAGGTGGCGGCAAATCATTGTCTTAAAGAGTGAGTCAACTCAATCACTCATTCAAACGATTCGTTCCAAACGAGCCGTTATACCTTTTACGTCTGTCCAGCATTAAACATCTTCTTTCTGCCCTCCATTCCTGACATGGCCTCCACATTCTTACGCCAGTCAGTCACCTCTTCTTTCTGGGGAAGGTAGAGACACAATTAGCACTGCTGTCCATTTAATTTATTTGATATATACTTCTATCATACCTTCTCCTCTTCTTTTTTCACAGTCTTCAGGTTAGCTTTGAAATCAATGGACTGCGTGTGTTTGGAGCCCAGAAGAACACTTAGCAAATTTTCAGCCGACAGTTTCACTCTCTTCAGGTTAGGCCTCTTCAGCTTGCTCTTCATCTCATAGATCTTCTGATTCATTTCCTGTATCTTTATCAACACAGACCACATTTGCACCATAACGCAGTCCTTTGACCGAGCTGCTAAAGCTAACCGTTTGATTCAGTGCTAACAGAACACAATAGCGTCATCATTGAGAACTGTTTATCAAATGCTGATGTTTTTCTTACCTTTTTGTCATTTTTGGCCACCTTAACGTCAATGTCATAGCGTTCCTCATCAATCACATCAACCTTGAGATGCAAATCCCTGCAAAGTTTCTACACACAAAACAGTGTCAACAAATTAAAATGTGGTGGTAACACTTGATTCGAAGCTTGCATTGGTTTTCATGCTGTGTAGAGCTATTTCCTATGGGCTTCGTGAGGAAACTTCAGGTGGTTCGAGTTGATGAAAAGCTAATTCTATATTTTTTAAATGTATTAAATTAAATATATAAAAAAGTTAACTTAAACTAAATACATAGGCTAATTTTAAAATAAAACACTCAAATGTAATGTTTTCGCAAAAATCATTGCATCCAAGCAATGAAAAATGCCTGTGCTATTAAATAAAATAAAATGTTAACTTAATATCTGAGAGAGTTCTTCAAGTAGCCTAAATTATTTAAGTCAAAGGGTTCAGCTATAAAAAAAAAAAACTTTGGAAATCCCAGCTGTAGAGTAATACATTATATATAATAAATAATGGGAACCAATAAAAAGTGCAGCTTGGACATTCTCCTAAATAAATTGTTAGATTTCACAAAATAAATAAAAAAATGTCATAGGTTTCTAAAAGGAAAAGTTGAGGGCACAATTGCTTTGCTCATGTCCTCTGCGAAGGTTATGAGGGTCAGTTGGGGGGTTAACTATCTCTTTAAGTTCTATAAATGGTGTTCGATGATCCATTAAATGATTTAATTGTACCTGTAATTCCTGTACTGACAGGCCAGAAAGTTTGATGGGAGGAATTCTTTCACTCAGCACTTGTTTCCTCTCCTTCTCTTTATCCTGCTTCTCTACCATCAGCATTTCCATTGCTGTACTCAGCAGCCTCATCTTCATCATGACGGGTCCATTGTAATCACGTCAAGGAAAAACATTGATTACTTTTGGTATGAATGAATGTAGAATCTCATAACAATAGCAAATAAATGGCCTTAATTAGAGTTGGCCCTCACCTTCAACCCCAGCCGACGGGCTGAACTTATCTTGGGTTTTGGCTTTGGTTGGGGACTTGGGTTCAAGCAGCCAGTGGAGGATATAGATAGAAGAGAATGTTGATTGAAACATATGACAGATATCATAATTCAAATAGTTGGTTATTACTGATTAAGATGGAGATACTTACGCATCAGACATGCTTCTGTAGTTCCTGCTTATCTGCAAAATAAAATAACTGTTAATAAAATAACAATAATCACTCTGAAACACATGTTAGAATATTAACAAATGAGCATATTCAGGATAAGCATTTGAACCCTATATCCGGCGGTGTCATTTCAGAATTATTTATGCACTAATATAGTATTTAGTATAGCATTTTTAATTTGTTTTTGTTTATATTTTCAGTTTTAACATTAGTTTAAGTTTTAATGATTTTATGTGCTTTTTAATATTTCTTTTTAGCTTTAATTTATTTTTATGTATGTTTAAGTTTATATTTATATCTAATTCATTTATTTTATTTTATTTAAATGTGTGATATGGTGTTATGACCTGACAAAGAAAATTAAAGTTTAATATAAATATATAAAAAAAAACTATGATGTCCTTTTGCAAGTCTCGGTTATCACTTTATAGATATAGTTTGACTACCATATACAAAAATCAAAACTTTTAATCAAAAGGCATGCATTAAAAAAAAAAAAACGTTTTAAATACATTTTGTATATTTAATAAATGTGTTTTATTTATGCAATCTTTGAAGAATCATGCATAAATTAATTCAAATTCCTTAATGACAGTGGTAATCGGACCCTTTAATCCATGCGTTTGACCTATAAGTTCTCTACACGGCGGTAATAGTTCTGTGCATAGTTTAAGCAGAGGTGAAAATCTTCCAGGATTGTCGCTAGATTGTGCAGGATTGTGTGCCCAATTCCTTACCAGTTTTGAAAATATAATAATTAAATCCTTTAATACATACCGTCACAGCTAGATAATCTATAAACCTGAGTATAATGACATATTTGCCATCAAAAATAACCAAACACAGCTGTTAGTCTCTTATGCCCGCTGAAAAAGACATACCTGCTAGAAGAAGAAAAGAGAGGAGTGTGAGTTGTCTGACAGAGGAAAGAAGAAAATCCTTCGATTTATAGTTTCAGCACATGAGAACGTCTTTCTAAAATAGAACTCGTCTGTGCCACTGACATACTGTTCACACAGTAAACTAGCAGAGTAAAACTTTCTTTCAGACAGAGACGAGCAGCTATGCAGTCTGGACCGGTTTGAATGACTCGTTTTGGTTGCCAAAACCTTATTAACCATCAGAGTGGCCAGTTCAAAGGTCTAAAGGTGATGCTCGTCATAACAGAGACAAATCTGATTTAAAGGGTAAATAAGGCAAACTACAATAAACATTTTAATCTTATTAAGATACAAAGTTAAACAAATTATATTATTAATTCATATTAGAAACATGTGAAAAATAGAGGGGATAAGAAAAAAAGAGTGGAAGTGGGACAAGGTTTTGGCAATCTAAATTCATACCAGTTAATTGAAATGTGATGGCATGCCATGACATCTATCTCATGAACGTGATAATTTCCAAGCACATTAAGCAACTGATAGCTGGCAGAACGCGATGTGGTGTAGTAAATCATTTCTTGGGACAGTGAGCAGGTGGAAGGAGAGGACAAATTGTAAATACAATTCAAGGGGGGATGGTGTGGTCGTGGGGTAAGGCGAGCGTTCACGTTCATAAAAATCTACATAGGCAGTATTCATGAAATAATATACATATGACTAGTATTGAATGACTGAACACCACTCTCCCTCTCTCTCTCTCTCTCTCTCTCTCTCACACACACACACACACACACACTTACAATCCTTGGCCAAACTACCTAAACAATGTCTTTAAAGGGCACTGAAGTGTTAACAGTCTAAACATTATCTACAGATTTTTAGTAAGAATAAAAATAACTCCATAGTTTCAAATAACAATTATTTTTGACCCCCACACTTTTCAGGGTTTCACAGCTTTAATAGCGGATGGTAAAGACGAAAAGAATAGGGTGATCATTTCTGATTGGAGTGCATGCATTCACCCCCCTCCAATCCTCTCTCTCTCGCTCTCTCTCTCCCTCTTTCCCACACACACACAATTGTCTTTCATCCCTCACTGTCACATACATTCTGTTATTATAAATAACTGGATAGAAACTCGAAATTCGAGCGGCCGACACTTGAGTTCTTATGTCAAGCTATTAGCGTTACAGTTTTGCTAGCTGTGGTTTGAATGGTTTCTGGGCAGATTTCAAAAATCATTAATAATTATAAAACACATACATTTAGCTAAAATATGCATGTGTGCATTATCACCTTGGTGACTGCATTCACTTTTATTAAACACTTATCAAATATCATGCCATTAAAAAAAAGTTCTCCTAGCCATTTTGAACTACTCGAAAAATGATGCAAAATTACTTAATTTTGTGCCGTGCGTTACATTAGTTCTGGTTGGTCAATTGCTGTTATTTACACTCTCAGAAAAAAAGGTACAAAAGCTGTCACTGGGGCTGTACCTTTTCAAAAGGTACACTTTTGTACCCAAAGGCTGCATATTGGTACCTTAGTGGTACACATTAGCACCTAAAATGTACACATTAGCACCTGAAATGTACTTATTAGCACCTGAAATGTACAAATTAGCACCTGAAATGTACTTATTAGCACCTGAAATGTACAAATTAGCACCTGAAATGTACTTATTAGCACCTGAAATAGATTAGCACCTAAAATGTACATATTACCACCTAAAATGTACATATTAGCACCTGTAATGTACATATTAGCACCTGTAATGTACATATTATTACCACCTAAAATGTACATATTAGGACCAAAAATGGACATATTAGCTCCTGAAATGGACATATTAGGTCCTGAAATGGACATATTGGCACCTAAAATGTATATTAGCACCTAAAATGGACATAATAGCACCTGAAATGGATATATTAGCACCTAAAATGGACAAAAGTTTACCTTTTGAAAAGGTACAGCCCCAGTGACAGCTTTTGTACCCTTTTTTCTGAGAGTTAGTTAATTATCATACAAAGAGAATTGTACTATTTAATTTGCATGGTAGATGCTTTTGGTCATTTATTGTAACAAGGGGAGTGCCATCCCTCAAATCCCCTCTCAAATGGAGCCCTGGGTGGAAGCACTGTCTTATTATAAAGTGAGCTGCCCTTCTCACACCTCATTCTCCCTGAGAGGTGACACTCCAAGAGATATGCAATGAATTACCACCTGCCATTTGTCCTGGATTTATTTTTAGGCCAGATGATGAAATGCCGAATGCAAGTTCTTGTCTTTAAATGGCTAGTGTTCCTATCAAAACTGCATCAGCCAGCATGATAAGAACCACTCTTTTTTGCTCTGTTCAGTATCATATTATATCGCTAGTTATATTTTTTATTATTGCTCTATTTTCAAATGGATGGAAATGAAAATTTTAGTAGTCTCGCTACAGTTGTCATCTGTCAAATTATACATGACACAATGCAAACTATGCAAAACATTAGAAAGATTGCGCGTCACCAATGTTTTTGGAGCATGCACAATTTTAGTCCAATTTTAGTCGATTGTGTAGCCTAGCGATTAGCTAAAAGTAAATGCACTCCAAAATTGGACTGGCACGATTTTACTTGATCTACTGACATTTTAAAAAGACAAATTATTGCTTTAATCTGGCTTTTTTTTTTCTTCATTTGAACCAATTTACAAATATTGTTGATTGATGTTAGAACAACTAAAGGAATTGCCAGGACGCAATGTTATGTATGCTATGAGGTGAGGTCAAATAGATAAAAATGGATGGCCTAAGTGTAAATGCAAAGCCTATCCTGCTACATTTAGGGCTATTGTTGTATCAAAACATCTCCGGAGGTCATTTGTTCTGTTTCATCTCTATTGCTGGCAGTAGTTTTTATAAAATAATAGACAAAACATTTAACCTTTCGTATCTGTATTTATTTTATAAGTCAGAAAAGAGCTGAACATCACATAAATCATTAAGTACCACATCAAGTAAGTCCGAGACATTGTTTTCTTGTCTAAATGAATTTGAAAACATGCATCCATGAATGAAAGCTATTATTAAAATAGTTCACTTTGTATGAACTTGCATTGATTCATTTTGAAATGTTTTTGAATTCCTGAATTCTGATGTCAGATCTCATGTAGTTGCTATCTGTAAGAAAAAAAAATTCATTGCTGAAAGCCAAGGTGAAATATTTCATGCAAGACTTTTCTATAAGAATATAGATTTTTCTTCTTTAAGAATAACTTTTTAATTCACCATCTATTGTCCAGCATCGAACAGCTTCTTCCTGCCCTCCATTCCAGACATGGCCTCCACATTCTTACGCCAGTCAGTCACCTCTTCTTTCTATCAGAAGAACAGGTGTAACAACAGGTATGTGTTAAAATAGCACAAAAATGCTAGCTAACTTTTTAGTTTAGGGTTCAATTCTCACTAATAACTAGTTGCTTATTAGCATGAATATTACCAGGGTATTGGCTTTTTATTAGTACTATTATAGAGACATATTAATGCCTAATTCTGCATGACCATATTTTAAATCCCTTAATCCTTTTTTGGGGGGATAATCCTACCCGATAACTAAACTTTACAACTACCTTACAACTATTAATAAGCAGTAATTAGGAGTTTATTGAGGCACAAGTAGTTAGGTAGTAGTGCGAATTGGACCCTTATCTAAAGTGTGACCAAATTTCAATTATTCAGTTTTGTTCATGACTCACCTTCTCCTCTTCTTTCTTGTGTGTCTTGAGGTTGGCTTTGAAATCCACAGACTCTTTGACTTTGGAGCCCAGAAGAGCGCCCAACATGGCATCGGCAGAGATCTTCACCCTCTTCAGTGCAGGTCTCTTCATTTTGCCTCTAAGTTCAGTGATCTTGATGTTTAAATCTGTAATCTAAAGCCACGTAAAGTTCATTCCAGCGTATTTCTATTGAATCTAATAAGATACAAAGGGATTCTCTTGATGGTTTAGTACCTCCTTTTCATTTTTGGTAACCTTGGCTGAGATATCGTACCTTTCTTCATCTACAACATCAATCTTTTGATGAAGGTCTTTGCAGAGAGCCTGAGAGCACAGTATGGTCAAAATTACTGGAGTGGTTGGCAACAATTTTTTGACCATTTTGTTTTGTCTTTAATAATGAATTTTTAAAATTGATTAAAAAACGAATAAACCATAATTTGCACAAATTGAGTTCATTTGCATTAAGTATTTGAAAATCATAATTATCTTAGAAATTAAATAGTTATTTTAACCTGTTAACTGTCAGCCCTCTTTTTGAGCATAGATCTGAACTTAAATGGTTGTAATTCATAAATGGTTTTGGAATACAGAAACTTTTTTTTAAAGGGATACTCCACTTTTTTTTTGGAAATAGGCTCATTTTACAGCTCCCTCAGAGTCAAACAGTTGGGTTTTACCATTTTCGAATCCATTCAGACGATTTTTTTTCCTGATATTTAGAAGAATATCAGTAACCAGATAGTTTCTGGTCTCATTGACTACCATAGTAGGAAAAAATATATACTATGGTAGTCAATCAGGCCAGAAACTGTCTGGTTACTGATATTCTTCTAAATCGGCTGAATGGATTCGAAAATGGTAAAACTGTTTAACTCTGGGGGAGTTGTAAAATGAGCCAATTTCCAAAAAAAGTGGATTATCCCTTTAAGAAGACCCCCAGCAGATTATTGCAGAAGTTTAAAAATTGTATGTAATAAAAAGAAAGAAGCTGCATTCCAAATTTAAAGTTGAGAAGAGATCACAAAAAATTAGCCCACAAATGATTTAAAGAACCGTTTCCATAGTAAGACGATGTCCAATTCCAAAAGTGGTTCATTTCATTTCATCGGATCAATTTATGATATTTTATAAAGGAAAAGGGCAATAAAAAGCGTAACAAGTGTCCCGCTACCAGGAAACCGACAGTTAACAGGCTATGCTAGGTTTACCTGAAGATCTTGAACAGACAAACCGGACAATTGTAGAGGTGGCACTCTCTCACTCAAGGTGGTCTCTCTCTCACTCTGCTTATCTTCCTTTTCTTTTACAAGCATAGATGTTGCTTTCTTCAGGAGCTTTGTCTGAAGCAAAACATATTGCTAAATGCATCATCTTTAGAAAAAACAGACATCTCTGTAAAACAGACAGAACCAAATACCTTTAAGAACAACCTCCTGGAAGCTGAAATCTTAGATTTGGGTCGCTGAAACAATAAGCACATTTATTGGGCTCTGTTCATTTTTATATTTTATTTCCATGTACAAAAAGTTAAAGTTATAAAGTCCACTTACCTGTCTAAAATGGCAGTTTTCAATTTATGAAAAGGAATAGTAACAGTAGTTTAAGGAATAGTAAAAGTATGGTAATTTATGAAAAGTAGGGATGTTTTAAACATGTACATGTACAAAAGATAGCTGATACTGTATGCATATAGATATTAACAACTTAAAAGACAGAATACTTACGACTCAGACATTGTGTCCTTCTAAGTGCAAATCTAAGTCCAAAATCTGAAATGTAAAGATTGGTGACTCACTTCATAAGCATAATTTTGGAGGTACATGCAACTTGAACACACACACACACACACACACGTATATATATATATATATATATTTATAACACCGCTTCTCAACATCACACAGTAATAGATTTCTGATGGATGAACCAGAACCAGAAAGCCAAAGAAACTAGGAAGCCAAAGTTGTAGTTTATGAAAAGTCTCAATTGTTTCTCCTAGACAGCAATGAGACTTTTACTTGAAATTCCTACAGCTTCAAATCAGATCTCAACAAAGTAACCAATCAGGTCTCATTAAATCTCATCTCATTTATGTCAGCACTTGTATCTCATGGGTAATCCTGTTATTTTTAGAGCAATCACATGCTTTGCTTTTACTGTTAGCTGTGCCAAATAGTGCAATTCTTCATACCTGTTTCTCCAAAGACCACTCCAAGTGACTGAGTAGAGTGGGACAATGTCAGTACACAAGGAAACCCAAGCAAATTTTATGGCCTCTTTGGCTTCCTCTGAGTGGCTCACTAAAATAGACTGAACCCTTTTACCCAGATCATTTTACTCAACACCACTAAAACACAATTGCATACATTGTCCACTGCCAGTCCCTCTTCGTTTCCCATTGTTTGACCGTACAAGGCAGAAAAGGATTTGCTGAAGTCAGCCAGTAGCTGTATGACTGCAACTTAAAGTGACCACAGAGTCTAATGAATGGTTTATTTTGGAAGATAACATGATATCTTTTAATTTGTATATACATGCAAAGGGTTTTATACACGTCCCAAAGGGTTTTATACACATCCTGCCAGGGTTTTAGTATAGTAATGTGAAATCCAAATAAATGATACCACTCTTAACTTGGCTGATTCGAACGGCATTGAATATGGGTAAATATACACACAACATTTGGTAACTTAAAACCAGTTATGCAGATATACAAGTGCAGAAATGCATGTCAAGGACACAGTTTGCTTTGCAGGGGAATTGCATGGTGACACGACACGTTTTGTTTGTTGAATGGGGTCATTTAATTTTGGAATGCCATTACATTGCAATTTTTACTTCCAGCAGTGTAGAATGTGTTACAATATCTGATATGTTTTATTCCACTAAACAGCACTAGTTCACAATATTGCATACAATTAATTTCCAGTCTGATTATTTTTCTCATGCATATGTGATGTATTTAGCATATCATATACACAAAGTATCATATTTAGTTTCAAATGTAAACACATTTGCACAGAATGTCCACAAATTGCAGCAAAACACAGGAACTGGTAAAGACACACTAAGAGCTAAGCTCACCTACAAAAACACTTAAACTATGAACATTATAAACAGTGTGTGTGTGTGATTGACTTTATTAGTCGTAACAAATCAAAGTTGGATTTGGTTTGGTTTTTCTTGCTTCAAAACCATGTGTGTTTCCCTGCCTTGGCACACATCTGTTGCTCTCCTTTCTTGTTACAGAGTCTGAAAAATTAGGAAAACAATGTCAGTCAAAAATGCTTGTTTTTTACAGCACTCAAACACGGTTAAATTTGACAAATTAGCTTTGTACCTTCTTTATTGTCCAGCAGTAAACAGCTTCTTTCTGCCCTCCATTCCTGCCATGGCCTCCACATTCTTACGCCAGTCAGTCACCTCTTCTTTCTATTAATGGAACAAATAAATAAAATAGGGATGGAATGAGTTTGTTGGAATGAATGCGTTTATATTTCTAAAAGACTGAAAGGCATCACCTTTTCTTCTTCTTTCTTTACTGTCTTTAGGTTGGCCTTGAAATCTGCCTTCGATGACATTTTGGATTCAGTCAGCGCACCAAACATGGCATCATGTGACTTCTTAACCCTCTTCAGTTTGGTTCGTTGAGTTGTACCCTTCATTTCCCAAATCTTCTGATTCAAGGACTGGATCTGAAATGGACCACAACAACGGTAACTTGCAAAACTTACCTTTTTGATGTCAAATTTATGTCAAAAAAATCTTAAACTTAAAAAACATAAACGTAAATGATACATTTTGCCTTGGCAACTAACTGAAAGAATTCATTGTTAATAATAATTACAAGTTGGTGTACCATAATAACTAAACTGAAATAAAAACAAGATATGTAGAAATGTTTAAAAAAAAATTACAAGCACATAACAAAATGACCAAAATCTAATGTAAACGTATCTATTTAAAACTAAAAGCTAATTCTAAATAATGATAAATAATATAATAGTGTATAAATAGTAAAATAGCACTGTAGCACCTTGACATTATTAGTGACAAGCTTTACCTTAGAGCTGCCACAGCTAAAACACCCGTTAACATTTTTATTAATGAATAAACTAGGATTCATGTTTTTTTTGTCTTTCTAAACGTGATGTAACATAGCAACCATTACCTCTTTTTCATTTTTATCCACTTTAATTTCAAGATCATATCGAACCTCGTCAGCAGCATCAATCTTGCGGGAAAGCTCTTTGCAAAGTTCCTGCAAAAAAACATTTGTGTGAAATGTATATATATATATTTTTTTCTCTTTTGCATATTATTGCAGAACCTTTTATTCTAGAAAATACCTGGAGCTCCTGTGCAGAAAGACCAGATAGTTTGAGAGGAGGAAGCCTCTCAGTAAGAGCTTCATCTCTGTCTCTTTTATTCTTCTCTTTTTCAGCTGCCAGCATAGATGTGGCCTTCTGCAGTAATTTGCTCTGTAATGTAACAGCACTGACGTGACTATGAAGATCCAACAGATTAGCACATAGCTTAGCGCATAGCGCAACACACTGCTAACACGGCTGGCCATTTCGTCATGGATTCTAGTCTTGACTTTCATTACTGTAATGAAGTTTAATATTGTATATTAAATATAAATATGTGAGCATAAGTTTAAAGGTGCTATATGTATTTTTTAGCAGCCTCTATCGGTGATGTTTCAGATTGCAACCAATTTTTACAAGAGTGGGATGAGTGACGTTAGACAGTAGATCTACATAAAATAAAAGTTACATCCTAAAGCAACAACTTTTTGTTATCCTGGAACAGTCTTTTGTGTTCTTTTCATGTCTCATCTATGTTGTAGTTTACCTTGCTGTTTCATTACAGTTTACCATTATTTCAGCATATCTGAAAACTTGTAATTTATCACAATAAAAATAGCGGAGGTCTCTCCATAATTCAAACGCTCTGCCGATGTTGATCCGTGTTTTCGTCCTAAGTCGATCCGATTCACGTTTGCTCTGATGAGCTTCAGCAGATACATTTTTGTTTTGTTTTTTTATATTTTTGTGGAGTTTGTTTTGGAGTGTGTTTTGTGCTGGAGGCAGTCGTTTTTTGGTGTTATCAGACTTCATGTAGTTCGCTGCAGTGCCGTCGCATACACTGTATATAAAAATGAGGGAGGCTCGGGGACGCGCATACACGTCACATCCGATGGATTTCGCAGAAAATCCGACCCCGAAACTTCACATAGAAATAGAAATACCGGCCTTCAGAGTTAATGTGGGATTACAACCCCGTCACACACAGCCAATAAAAAAAGGATTAATTTTAGAAAAAAAGTTACATATAGCACCTTTAACAAATCAGTATTACTCAACAAACATAAATGATACACTATTATTGAGATGTTTGTGATTTTTGAAAGAAGTCTCTTCTGCTCACCAAGTCTGCATTTATTTTTTTTAAAATACAGTAATATATAATAAATACAGTAATTATATATACGCCATAAAACATACATAAAATAAATGTAAATAAAGCTCTGTATGCAATAACGGTCTGCACTGCGCCACTGCAAGTCAAACACACTTAAATCTGCAGTGGTCAGGTGGTACAGCGCCCACATGCTACAAGACGTAGCTCTCGGAAACTATGAGTTTACACGTTGTGAACACGTTGGGTAATTACTATATGGCTTGGACACAACTTTACTCCAGTCTTCAGTGTCACATGATCCTTCAGAAATCATTCTAATATGCTAATTTGGTGCTCAAGAAACATTTCTTATTATTAATGTTGAAATCAGTTGAGCTGCTTAATATTTTTTGTGGAAACCGTGATAGATTTTTATTGCAGGATACCTTGATGAATAGAAAGTTAATGTTTTTTAAATGTCTTTGCTGTCACTTTTAAATCAATTCATTGTGTTATTACTGATTAGAAGTATTTAAAAAACAAAATCCAACTTTTGACCGGTAGTGTATTTTATAAAAAAAAAAAAAACAGACTTACTTTTAAGAGCAGCCGCCTTGTGGCAGTATACTTTGTTTTTTTCTGAAAAGCAAAACAAGTCATGTTTAATCACTCCAAATTATTTTTTGACCTGCTAAATCTTATGAATTATTGTAAAGTTCGCCAGAAGGGAAGTGACTTACAGGACTACAAAGATGAATCCCCGAGCGCAGCAATAGGGAAACAAAAGAAACACCAAAATGGATTAACAAAAGAGAAAAATGAATCCACTTTACAGTTTTAAACATAACATTGTTGAAGTACTTACCCTTCAGACATGGTTATTTCTCTTTATGGACCCTAAAAAGGGAAGAGTTCTCATTAAAATGAATTTAAAAACACATATAAAGTGTTTAAATGGACCAGATGATAACGTTCCCTCTTCCAACACAAGTCACTATAACAAAGGTCATGAATCTGTTTCAGGTGATGAAATCATTCAGTGTGTGAATCTGTGCGTCAGATTTACGCGTTTCGCAAGGAAACATTCCTACAGTCCACACAGTCTGGAAAGGGGATGAGTGCCAAGTATTTGAAAGCCAGAGGAGTCAAAATGTACAGGAAAATTTTATTTGGAGCACTCGTATCCAAAGAAGAGTGCTTTATATAAAGCACTGGTGCCGAGCATTCTGTCCGTACCTATTTTTTTTTTTTCATTCATACCTATTATGCTTGATAAAGCACATGGTTGTTACTTGTTAGTATTTCCAACCTAAATTTTAACATTGCTGCCATTCTTTCATGGCCAAGCCCTAACCTTGAGCTCACTACACTAGATGCTTTCACATCCTAGTAGCAAGTTTTAATTTTATACTTTATCTTGATAGTTTTCTTTATTTTGTTTTGTTAAAAAGTGAAAAAAAAAATCATTTAGATTTTTTTTTAAAAAGCATTTTTTGACCTCAATAAAAGCAACACGGAATTAGTCTATGGTTAATTCGTTCGTACAAATATAGGAACTAGTCATTTTAGAGTTCAATCAAAATCTGGTCACTAGGTCAGAGGCGTAGTTTGGTTCCTCACCTAGTTCCTTTGGATCTAATTGGTTCTGGGAGCCAAATCTTTCAAGAACATTTAAACTCTTCTCCAAGTTTAAGCTAGCCGTGAAACCGCCACCGTATTTCATAACATACATTCCTTAAAGTTGACACAAGCAACTTGTTACGAAAATACACAGCGTGGCACTCGCCAGTCCCGGTGGGGAGCCGCAGTCGTGACACGGGAGAATGTAGGACGGAAATGCATCCATCCTCCCAACGGTGAAGGTGTAATTATGATTATCTCCAAATGTGAACTGTGATGAACAGATCGTACAATACAAATCCTCTCAATATCCTTAACAACATGTGTGGGTCCATTAAAACGTGATAGCTTATAGGACTTACCTTGAATTTGGAGACAATCAGGGCAGGATGTGTTGCGTGGTGGCGTGGAAGAAGAATAAATGTTATATGATTAAGTTTCGTGTCGGATTTATGGGTTGAATCCTGCATGTGAATGGCTAACTAAAATAGACCCCTGTTACGCCTCTTGCACACAAGTAGGCAAATATCTGGGCAATTTGTTTTCCACCTCCAGGACATGGACATGCACACTTCCAAATGACACACACTAGCACAAGGGTCATGCACTTCAATTCTGTTTTGTGTCAAGTAGCAACTGGAAAAGGACACCTTAGGTTAATGGGGTAAAACAATAATTCCCCAGAAGATTGATTATAATTTTTTTAAATTGTATTACAAGTTTTTGAATTGTTTAACGATACAAATGCACTAATTTGCATAAATTACCAGAAATATGAAAAATCTGAACAGAAATCTCTTGGATAAAGCCAGGTTCAAAATTCTTGTTTGATTTTATTGACTAGAGTCAAAGGTTTTTGCGCAAGGGGAATTTTGAATATCTAATTTTATCACTCCATAATAGGAAAATAAACGGGGGAAAAAAAAACAACCATGCTTTTAGGGGAAAAAAAATAATGTGTAAAGTGTGTCAAAAGATATATGAGTAAACAAATTTAGGTAATTTTAACTTAAATTACATTATACTGAGTTTAAAAAATGTGTTGAATCTTGTGTAATTTATTAAAAAAGTTGAAAATTGCTTAACTTATTTTGATTAGTATGTAAAAACATGTTGTCATAGCTTATTGATCATATACTTTTTTACAGTGCAGTATTTGGCAACGGTGTCTTGTGAACAAGTGCTACTGAATATTTCTGGTTCAGTGCAGAATAGAAATATTACATGAAATATTTTAATTTAAACGATTTAATCAAAATTAATTTAATAGGAAAGTCTATTTTCTTGGCATATTTTTACATGTCCTCCTTGTAAACGCTAAAAGTTAACTGGCCTCTTTATTAACTTGCGTGCTTGTGTTTGAGAACCATAAAGGTAAAGTTTTCCAAAGCTATGATGCCTGCGTGCCATGTCTAATAGGGTGAGGGCAGACATAACTAATGTGTACTTGTTAAAAAGGGACTGACAGCACACTCCTAAAAGTTGGGTATTAATTATAATTATACACTGGCTTGTACAATTATAATGCATTCAAATCTCGTCCACAAAAAGCTGCATGCTCAAACCTATGCTTTTAAAAATCATGATGGTGGCGTGTGCTCAATGACAATGTGAAAAATGGCAATTGTTTTTATGATACTGACCTTTCTGTTCAGATGGGTCATGTAGGTCCTGCATGCTGTGATCATTTATACTGTGATTAATTAATTAAGTGCCAGTGATAATCTTGTGCCATGAGTTTTGAATGTGTGACCGAATGAGACAGGTGTTTTGCAAGGGCTTCTCAAATCCTCTGCTGACTGCTGGCATGTAGCGGTAGTTATCAGTGTCAGCAGAACTTATGAAGTCATTTTAGTGCTTAAATGTGGAAGTTTGCTTGTTCTCTTCTTATTAAGTGTTAAGTCTTTTGCATTAGTCTGTTGGTGTTTTTAAAGACAGTCTGGTTTTATTATTCTATCTGAAAATAAAATGTACTACAACTTAATCGAAAACTGCTGTTTAATAAGATGGAGAGAAAATATAGTATGTCTTTTAGACATTTTGCTGGTCACTTGCTGGTCTGTATATATATATATATATATATATATATATATATATATATATATATATATATATATATATATATATATATATATATATATATATATATACTGTTCTAAAGTTTGGGGTTGGTTTTAATGTCTCTAAAGTCTGCTTTTTTTCTGTTTACCAAGGCTGCATTTATTTGACCAAAATACAGTAAAAACAGTAACTTTGGAAAATATTATTACAATTGAAAAGAACTGTTCTATTTGAATATCATTTGAATTTTGAAATGTAATTTATTCGTGTGAAGCTGAATTTAAAGCCATTAGTCTTTCCATGGCACGTGATCCTTCAGAAATCATTCTAATATGCTGATTTGCTGCTCAAGAAACATTTCTTGTTATTATCAATGTTGAAAATGGTTGTGCTATCAGTAAAAAAAATCTTTGGTGGTTTATAGATATACACAATATCTAAGCTATATATTATAAAATGTTGCTTACAATTTTTTTCAGAACTATAACAAATTGACGTAGTTCACTGGAGGAAAATGAAACTGTTACATGTCTACACTAAATTGTTATTAAAGTTGTTTGTTCAACTAGTATCAAATATAACTGACAAACATCCGAACTCCTAATTCTACTGTGTAGTAGAAGGGCTTGATTTTAAGGCAGACTTGTTTGTGAGAAAAGCTTAATTTCATTGTGTGCATCAGGCAGGCTCCTCCTCCCCGTTATCTGATTTCCTGGTTTCCTCTGAATACAGATAGAATTTGATAAACCATAAGAGGATGTTCAGATCTGTTCCACCGGCACTTTTTCGTCCGGTGCAGTACCAGACAAGAACGTAACTACTTTGAGTATGATTTTTCTCTTTCTGTTCATTCTTTCTTGCGTCATAATGAAAATCTCACCCCTGCATCTCATTGAACTCCCTCCGATGGAATGTTCTCAAAAGGTGAAGATACTGCTTTCTTCCCTTTTATATATAGAACATTAATGCTATGTGTGTGCTAATCTTTCATTATGCTGTTTTCTGACAGGGGGTAGATTGCAAGGTTCAAGTAGGTAAGGATGCTTTCTCTAAATTGTAATTAAGTTATATTTGGTTTGTAATAGTATGTTCATCAAATGTTTCTTTGACGTCTTAGGTAACTGTTCAGATGAGGGTTGGAAGATGCCAAGATATGAAGCCCCACGTTCTCCTCTTGTAAACCTCCTAAATGTAAAAGCCAAGAGGGATGACAGTGGACAGTTTGTGCCAATTATATACCTTACATGGATCCAATTACCCGACAGTAAGGCAGACAATATCTTCAAGACTACAATATTTAAAAAAATAATCAAATAATTTCTGTCAAATTGCTTTTTTGGACAAAACATGTACATCTGGCCCAATTGTTTTCCCATGATAGTTCTAACATGACACCTTCATAATCATGACATATGACAAGACGTTTTATGCATGTTTAAGACAACTGTTATTAAGTGTCACTCGCTCAGTTATGACATTTTTAATGCAAATATGATATTGTTTGAGATGTCTTTGTTATGACACCTTGACATAAATAAGACAACACAACCTGTCATAAACATGACAAGCAGATTAATTATCAAATTTAAGAAACCACCTAGCTTTATTGGTCAACATTACAGGTCAGGTGGTTGGTTTTGACATTGGCTGTCATGAGGCCATTATAACTTTTTAATGACAAATTCAATTAGTACCACTGTAGTTGAGGTCACGAAAAATATTCATGACACAGTTATGGCCTCATGATGACAGCCAATGTCAAAGCCAACCACATGACTTAATTTTATGTCAAGTTGTCATGACAAAGACACTGACAGGTTATTATTTTATGTTTTTTGTCAAGATTTCATAACAAAGACATCTCAAACAATGTCATATTTGCATTCAAAATGTCATTATTGAGCGAAAGACACTTAATGACAGTTGTCACAAACATGCATAAACCCTACTTCATATTCAAGACATATGTCCTGTCATGGTTATGAAGGTGTCATGTCGGTCTTATGCACACCCCTTCAAGTAAAGTGTTACCGTATTATTTTCCACAGGTAGCATATTCTCCCTCAAAGGGACTGAAGTGCGTGTGGTTGAAATGGCCACAAATCACAGCATTTGTGTTCGTTACATTTTTCTTAACAGACTGTTGGAGACAACAAACCCAGAAGGGCTCATGGTGAGAGTACTAACTCTTGTATAACCATATACTAGGCAGTATTATTTATGCCACTGTTTTAGCTTTGTTTCTTTTCTTCATCTTTGTAGTGGACTTTTTCTTTGGACCGAATTGGTGTCATACCCAACTTCAAATACCAGGTTTTTGTAACCAATTTACCAACGCCAGACATAGGTAGTTATACAATTATACGCGACATCCCAATTCCAGGTGAGATTAAAAAAACATCAATCTTTAAAAAAAAACTATTGAGGCTTGATGATTAGATACTGTTTATATTTAGATTTGTTGCAGTTATTCAAAGTCAGCATGAAATGGAAGTTGCAATTGCAGTAGTCTTTTCTTCCCTATTGTGATGAAGTGACAAACAGCTCATAGAAAGAGAAAAAATAAAGGGCGGGGCTTGATTTTGTCCTGATTGGATGTTTGTGGTTTGCTATTGGTCGATCTCATTTGAGTGACAGGTTGCCCCGCCCTCCTGAAGAGAAGAGAAGAGATGTCGCTGCAAGAAGGAGGGGAAAATTAATTTGATTACAGATTACAGGGATATATATATGAATTCTTGGATAATTCATTTATAATAAATACTGCAATATTCCATAGAAAACAAGAATAGTCAATTTTGACTTCATGGTGACTTTAAGCGAACGATTTATCTAAAGCAAATGCTTGAACATGTTTTAAACAAGGAAAACCTCCTGTTTGTATAAATCTGTTTGTCATTTAAGAGAGCATTTGGAATAACGAGGTAAAATGGTCAGTGAGAAACTCGAAGAAAAATGACTTGGTGATAACCATAGAATTCAAACCACATGAGTTTTCTGACCAATACAAAGTCTCCATCTGCAGTCCTGACCTTCACCCAGAATCATCTCACATTGTCATAAAGGTATGTTCAATATTCAGATTTAAAGAAAAAAAGACTGTGTATATATGTATACCTTCATCATATAGTATGATTTGAAAATAATTCTGTTTTAAAGGACAACAAGACATTTCTAATGGTTCATTTCACACTGGAAGTATGGTGGCTAACTCACTGTAGTTTGGACTTGGTGGTGAGTTAAAGTATTATTTGTATGTGTGCTGTTTGTTAATATATAATATCAAGTAGTATTGGAATGTTTTGAGTCTTATATCATTAAATGGCTCAAATATCTCCTGCTCAACAGATTCAGCCACTGTCTGTTCAAAGCATGAAGAACTGTCTGGATTACAGGGAGAAAGTTAATATCTGTCCCTGTACGTAATACACAGTAGCATTAAATGTCTTGTTGTCGGTTTATTTTTAATTAGCCATTCAGATTATGATTCCCAGCAATGCAAATGTTTCAGTGTATGATCTTGATTGCAAGTAAAGTTCATTTGACCTCTATTTTTATTTTATTTGTATAGGCTACCATAATAATCTCATAATGTTAATGTCAGTTCTTCCAGATGCTCCTGTTGCTTTTATTACTTTGGTGATACTGGGACTGTTGTTTGGGATATTGGCAGCAGTTGGTTGCTGTGTTGCATTTTTGCAGAACAAGGACTCGCATAAAGGTTAGTGCAAATTAAAAGATCAAATAAATTAGTGTGTAACTTAAATTTGCAAAGACAAAGGTACAGGACTCAGTGGATTTAGTGAGAGAAAGAACTACAATCCCATGAAGCATTGCAAACAACATAATCAAATTAAAATGGTTATAGGCTAAAAAGGTGGAATTCATGTATAATGTAGTTTTCACTATGAATTCCGCTGTTAAATGCAATTATTTAAAAAAATAATGTGAACAGATGACCTCAACAAAAGCATATATCATCGATTAACAACCTCATAGCTCACCGTAAGTCTGCCATTTTAAGTATTTTACATTATCATTAAAAATCAATATTCCCATATGGAGAAAATAAATTGAGTTTTTTACTTCCGCAACCCAATTGTGGCATTCTATTTTGTAATAAAATCAGGTATTGGCTACATTGTTCTGCACTTTCAATTGTTTTGCTGATTCTTCCACTTACTCTTTATTTATTAAATGCATTTTGAAGGCTCCTTAATAATAATCATGACTTTTGACAGAAACGCCATCCTCAGACATCTCTACCTGTGCAAAGGGTAAACTGGAGTGGAATCCCGTTCAAGAGCACAAGAGAGTCATCATCATCTACTCTCTGGACCACCCCCTGTACAAAGAGATCATTTTGAAGTTAAGTGCCTTCCTGAGGGCTAAATGTGGCACTGATGTCACTCTGGATCTCCTGGACTCCGCCTGGCTCAGCACAATCGGCAGAATTCAGTGGCTAGATACGCAAAGGGAACGAATCTCCAAGTCCTCTGACAAAGTCCTGATCCTGTGCTCTCCAGGCGTACATGCGAAGTGGAAGGCCATGTGCGGTGAGCGCAAGGCGAGACTGAAGGAGGATGAACGTTCACCCATAGGAGACATGCTCACGCCAGCCCTGAGCCTCATTATACCAGATTTTGTTCACGCTTCATCCTTCCACAAGTACATGGTGGCTTATTTCGATGACGTGTGCTGTGAGGATGATGTTCCAGCACCTTTTAACGTGGTGGTGAAGTACAAGCTCATGAAGCACTTTGAGGAGCTTTACTTCCGGATCTTAGACTTGGAAAAACATGAGCCAGGGAGGGTTAAATGCATTGAAGGCATTAGGGTGAATGATTACTTCAACTGTCCGTCAGGACGAGCCCTTCGGGATGCTATTGAAACTTTTCACAATTACCAGCTGAAGAATCCAAACTGGTTTGAAATGGAGCTTTTGGACACTGATGATGAAAAAGAGGAAACCATCTTGGATTCGACGTTTCCTATAAACTATAACCCTGACACTGAATGCTATAAGCTGACTGAGGAACATAAAGCTCATGCATTTGTCAATATGTTTAAGTGTCATGATGAAAATTTCTTTAAGTATTCCACCGCAGAGACAGGCATATTACTGAACGAGAATTCTTCAGTTCTTACCACAGATGTGCACTCCAGTGGTCCGGTTCTGAGCAGCTTTACAACTATAGATGTGAAAGGCTTACCAGCAACCAAACCTGTCGCACAACATGCTTTATGTTTACAGCCTCTGTGAATCTCTTTGAATTAAGCTTGGCATCATCAGACTACTGTAACTTTATGAGTGTAAACTTTTGTCTACTGTATAAAAATGGCATATAGAGTTATGATCTTTTAGACTACAAATATAAAAATATATAGACATTTACTTTTGGCAGGTGTTTAAATCTAAAGCTATTTACAATGCATTCAATGTACACATTTAATATTTTTGAACCCATGATCCTGGCATTGCTAATGCCATGCTGTACTGTAAGCTACAGAAAAATAAATGTTTTCTATGATAAATAAACTGCTCAGACCACTTTTTTCCACACTTGAAATTGGTATTGTGTGTTTTTTCAGTAATTTTTGAAGTGTAAGGAATACATTTTCAAAGAAAATGGGTACACAATTGGGGTTGTGACAACCTACAATACAACCAAAAAATGTCAATATTATTCTGAGGCTAACATGATTTATTAAGAATGTGGAGTAGCAATGCTTTAATATATATATATTACACATTGAAAATTGACTTTATGTATTATTAAACCGGATACTTATTTAAGTATAGAGACTGTATTCTCCAAAAATAATTAATGAATCAACAGCAGTTCTGACATGAGTTCTGAGTAAGTCAATTGATGGGATTCTCGACCAGTTCAAACAGACCCAACCGGTTCAAAGTTCATCCTAGTGGAGTCGAGCCGGTAAGAATGCTGCAAATAGCTTAAATTGAGAAGTTATTATCCAAAATAAAAATTGGGAATGATTTAAGTCGAAGTCTGAAGTCACTTTTAGCAAGTAACGCGTGAGAAGAATTATAATGAGCAAACACGGCTTGTTTTCTTTCACTATTTACTGACCGGAACGTTGAAGTCCTGAATTGTTTACGTACATGTCCCGTATGTGGAATTTATTCTTTAGTGATTTCTTTTGAAACGTGTGGTGGATTGTTACAGTTGCATTTCAGCACGTCGCTTGTCTCAAACAAACCGAGCATGACACATTTTCCCCTTTGAATAGTTTGAAACCCTCCTGCAGGCGGTGGTTTTATGGGTTTTGTCTGCTGTTTTCGAATTTGAGTTTTGCTGATCTGAAGATCCTGTTTTGAAGATGATGTGGAGGTTATCTGCTGTTTTTAGACGTTGCATTACAATTTCATCCGGCAGACATTGCAAAAAAGGTAAAGTAGCACAAACCACATCTCCACATTTAAGAGATTTACACTCAGAGAAACCTTGTCCTAATTTCAAGTCACTTTGGACGAATGTTACTGGAGGAACGTTTGTTCATAACTGAGTAACCTCTGCCAGGAAGTTCTGAGAAGAACACTTACTGTGTGGTCAATTAGAAACATTTGTCGCGATCAACCACCTGACTCTGAGAACCAATTCAAACAGAGGTCTTAGGTCGCAAAATTTGAATGTTTAATGGTACAGTGGTTTGAATACAGTGTTGATTGGGTGAACTATTCCCTATTTCTCCATACAGACAGCCTGTTTACCATCCATCCTAATGTGAAAGAGGCTTTAGAGGATCACAGGCCAGTTGTGGCTCTGGAAAGCACTATTATTACACATGGAATGCCTTATCCTCTTAATCTCAGGTAAAAAAGAAGATAATAAATCTCTTACAGTGTTGTTAAATACTTATTCTGAATTTTCACTCACATCTTTATGAACTCAGGGTTGTCACATGCCCCTTTATCTTAAAAAAAAACAGAACAGACTAATTCTAGTCTTTAAAGCTTTTTAAAGATTAGATGGAGAACTCTGAAACATCTGATACATATCTGGATTCAATTTACCAATCGGCTGCATTTTCTCTGTATTTCAGCACAGCAAAGGAAGTGGAAGCTATTGTGAGGGCCGAAGGTGCAATCCCAGCAACCATTGGGATTCTTGAGGGGCGGATTCATGTGGGCCTTTCTTCGGATGAACTGGACTTCCTAGCACAGAGCAAAACAGCATTAAAAGTGTCCAGAAGAGACCTTCCTTATGTCATCAGCAAGGTCTGGAACTTATTTAAACGTTTATTTTTGAATCATGTGAATATACATTTTAATGTGAAATGTCTGATCTTTTATTATGCAGGGTCTGTCGGGTGGCACTACTGTCTCCGGCACAATGATTGTGGCTCACAAAGCTGGGATTCCTGTCTTTGTAACCGGAGGCATTGGAGGAGTACATAGAGATGGAGAAAACTGCATGTTTATTTAACAATTGTACACATAAAGTATACTACCTATATTCAATGACTGACATATTATCTCTTGCAGCCTTGGATGTGAGCGCAGACCTCACTGAACTGGGTCGAACACCTATTGCTGTTGTGTCTGCTGGGGTGAAATCCATCCTAGATATTGGTCGCACTCTTGAGTTCTTGGTAAGTGCTCAAACCCAGTCACCATTTTTTTTTTTTTTTTTTTTACGATTTCATGTAAACACAAGAAAAATACTGGGTGGTCAAGTTGCAAGCTGTCTTTGCCATCATCTGATGCTGACTTAAAACATAAGTCCACTGATTTTCGACCCGATTGTTATTGTTACAATGTTGGTTGTATATATAAATGAACAATGCTACTCTTTCTCTTTGTGACCTGGTCCAAGAATTCCTCTTTATTTGTTTCATTTGTTAAGTTTCATCTCCAGGACTTTGAAGAAAACTACAGATTGTACTTTTATATTTTTGTATCCACAAAACCATTGTTAACAAAACCATTTATTATCGTAAGAGTAGGGTTTCTCACTGAAAATGATGGCAAATTGCAAGTTTTCCAACCTATTTGGCAAAAGGGTAGACAACAGCCTTTTGTCTCTGTTTTCTTTTGTCAGGTAGCAGCCATTTCAATTTATTTCGCCTTTCTTTTATCAAAAGTTTTATTAAAAAACATTTTGCCAGCAGTTATGTGCCTCTTTAAAATTAATCTTTAGAAACACTAATAATCTAATTACACTGAAAATTATTTGATGTTATTTTTTTGTATTTTATATTCATCTTATATTATGTATTTTAATTTATTTCTTACCATAATATGAAAATTGTTATAATAATAGACTAAATGTAACACCCCTAGTAAACCGGGTCAGTTTTGATTTCATCATATATACTTAAGTTTCCATTGATAGATCAATACTTTTATTTACAGGAAACTCAGGGTGTATGTGTGGCCACATATGGAGATTCAAAAAGCTTCCCGGCTTTCTTCTCTCGGCAAAGTGGATTTACTTCTCCTTACCATGTCTCCAGTCCTCAAGAAGCAGCAGATCTTATTGGCAAGTCTGAGTGTTTAAGCTTTTACCGCACCTACATTTGAGTAAATGTCAATATTACATATTTACCGAAAGCTGTGTAGTGATTGTAATTGAAAGAGCTAGTTGAAACAAAGATCATAGATAATGTTTCTCTAATGTAACTCATCCTGCTTAGTCATTCATGATTAGGAGCTCTTAAACACTCTCTTTTCTCAACAGAAAGCACACTATCTCTGGGGCTGCAAAGTGGTCTTCTGTTGGCCGTTCCCATCCCAGAGGAACATGCAGCCACGGGACAACTGTTAGAAGACGCCATACAAACAGCTGTGACTGAGGCCAGGTAGAGAAAAATAATGCCTGGAGTGTGGACATAACAGTTGCCGCATATAATGATAAAACTTTTCTTTGTATATTTGAAGCTCAAAAGGGGTCACAGGAAGAGATGTCACTCCTTTTATCCTTCAGCGAGTCAATGAGCTCACTAAAGGGAAGTCCTTGCAAGCTAGTATCCATTTAAGACACAGGACATAGTTTTGCTTAATGCATTTATGTTCTTATATACTTAGAATGACATTTTGATTTCTAAACACTAATATAATTCATATCTACCTATTACATAGTGTGGTTGTAGTGTGGTTTGTGGTATTTTCCTGAAGTTCATTCATTTTCAGATATAGGACTCATCCATAACAATGCCAAGGTGGGCAGTCAGATTGCATGTGCTCTTTCTAAACACAAAGAAAAAAGTGGAGGCAACTTCAGAGGTGAAAGTAAGACCGAAAAGTCAATGGACCAGAGAATGGACTCCAAAACTGGAAGGGATATGGTAAGCTTTTATGGAAAGACTGATGCAAAATAAATGCATTTTATTTTCAGTGTTGTTGTTGTTAACTAAAACTAAAATGATTTCAAAAATAATCGTTAAGCTTTATTTAAATCTATGAATATTAGATGAAATGCTTGAACTTAAAAAAATAAACGAAAATTGGAATTGTTGCCTGAATAAATAAAAGTTGAGTTACTAAAATGCCTAAAACTGAAATAACCACGAATTACAGCTAAATAAAAATGACAAAAGCACATAACAAAATTAAAATATGAACATAAAAGCTAATTCAAAACACACTTAACAATGAATTTCCCTCAGGTTGTTATCGGTGGGATAAATGTTGATTTTATCGCTAAAGGAACAACAAAGAAATTGGTGGTAAGTCTAAGAACAAGCTACAGGAGCTTAAGTTACTTGTTTATGACAGTATGCAGGTAAATATTTGTATTCAATTCAGTTTGGTCAGACAAATCCAGGAAGTGTGTGCCAGTCATTTGGAGGAGTGGGCAGAAATATTGCTGGTATGTTATGTGTCGTTCATATTATTAGAAATGAATATGTACAATTCCCCTTTTTTACAATTGTCCCTGTATTCTGTATTTCCTATAGATTGTTTAAGCCGATTAGGATACAGACCTCTCTTTATCTCTGCCATCGGCAAAGACTCTCACAGCGACGCTGTGTTGAGCTATTGTAAACACATGGTGAGTTATGTTGCTCTTGTTGGCAAAAAAAATAGTTTTGTAGGTCATTGTATTCTTATTTTATTGTTATTCTTATTTTATTTTTTTTGCATTTTACTCATCAGAATACAAGTGCAATTGCCAGATTAGAGGACCAAAGGACTGCAACCTATTGTGCTGTCATAACTGAGTCTGGAGAGTTGAGCCTGGGATTGGGCGACATGGACATCCATAAGCAAATACAAGAGCAGTATGTAGGTATATTCAAAGAGTTCACTACCGTTTGAAAGTTTTGAGGTCTGTGAGATTGTTTTTTATGTGTTTGTCGTCTTATGCTCACCGAATATTATTACAACTGTGATTTATTCCTGTGATGGCAAAGCATCATTATTCCAGTCTTTAGTGTCACATGATCCTTCAGAAATCATTCTAATATGCTGATTTGCTGATCATGAAACAATTCTTATTGTTATCAATGTTTAAAACAGTTGCGATGCTTAATAATTTTGTGGAAACCGTGATACATTTTTTTTTTCAAAGTTCAAAAGAGCAGCATTTATTTGAAATAGAAATCTTGTATAACACAATGTATAACTCTATTATTATTTTCTAACAGAAAAATCTTACTTACCAAAACTTTTGATTGATAGTGTACAATCAAAGTGTAACTTTGTGGCTTTTAGTCCAGTTGTGTTAGCTTGGAGACCATATGCACACCAATTCGAAACCTTTTAAAAAAACACAATTAAAATGCAGTCACTTTATTCCAGCAAAACAGAGGAAAAAATATTGATGACTCATCTTGCAATCACTCATTTTGTCCAATCAGATGCTCTTTAGAGTAAGACTGCCCCGCCCTCTAATAACACCTGCAACCTACTAGCAAGTAGCAAATACTGTACGTCAACAAATGGGCTTTAAAGTGACAGTAACAACTATTTTAATAGAATAAATCTTTTGTTTTTATGTTCAGGTATCTCAGTTTAAGGATCAACTTGCATCAGCATCTCTTGTAGTTCTTGATGGCAACATTCCAGTTTCAACCATTGATTACGTGTGCTGTATCGCCAAGAAACATGCAGTCCCTGGTAAACTCATTTATCGAATAGCCTACTGATTCCAAGTGTTGACGTAATAGTTTCAAGTCAGATGTTACGTGCATATCTATGTCTTTTTCTTTCGCTGCAGTGTGGTTTGAGCCCACGGATGCTGATAAGGCCTGTAAGCCCTTCCTGTCAGAGAGCTGGAAAGCACTGTCCTACACCTCCCCCAACCTGGCTGAGCTCTGCACCATGAATCAGACACTAGATCTGCCCACTCCTACAGGTAATGTAGTTAGCAACAACCTAAAATAATAAAAATGGTTGACTACAGGACAGGAAGTGTCAGAGCTTCTTGAATAGTAATCAAAGCATCATTTTGTTTCAGAGTTGCCCACATCGCTTGAGGATGTTTTAGGCTGTGTGCCGGCTCTCTGCCGCCCCCTGCTGGAGCATCTACATTGTGTGGTGGTCACTTTGGGTTCGCTGGGTGTGCTGGTGTGTGGAGAACATGATGCTGGAACTGTAAATTTGCAGCCACGAAAGCAAAATCGGGTATGACGGGCTTGTTATTTAAATTATCTGTTGTCGGAGATGATTCAGCGATTGCGTCTCTCCTCAACGAGTCAGATGGTAGTCATTGTCCAGTGGGACAGTAGATCATTTTATTCAATGGTGTGATGCTTCATTTTTAAATATTAATGCTTCTAATACAAAAGAACTGTACCTGTTTTGCCTGCTGTCATAAAGGGAGAAGGTAATATTTAGGGACAGTACTGCATTTTGAAGCAAACACTGATATTATTAGAGAAAGCTCTCCAGTGTATGCATTTTTGAGGAAACTTTGTAGATTTTTAATATGGAGTGATATAATCTATTTTATGAAAAATATTTTATACCTGTTTTATTGAATCTATCTTACGTTTTTCTATTATTTGTTGGTACAGCAACCCCAATGTGAGGAATAGGAGTAAATTGAGTAATAGTTATAATGTGCAGCAAGATAGGGACCGACTTAAGGAATATTACACACATTAATGAACAAAGGGCGACTAGAAAGGGCCAGTCAGTCCTTTACGATCTCACCAATCCATTGTTTTCTGAATTTCAACTGCTTCCCTCAGGCTGGAGATTTAAAATCCCTTTGTGGAAATCAAATAGATTTAGAGTTCCTTTTGAAAAATAATTCCTTTATACCTGCTGTTATCATGTTTTTAAATTACTTATAATAAAATGATTGTGTGTTGTGTTGCTGTACATGTACTGTATGTTTACTGCTGTCTATAACAAATTGCCTTTCGAGGACAATAAAGTAAGTTCCCCTATTATGCTATTTTACTCTTCTATAAAAGGTTTACATGCATCAAAGGTTGGAAAACACTTTAATTTTACTTATGCTATAGATTACATATCACGTTAAATGTGTGAGCCGGCTCAGCTCTGCTCTGAATGGTCAGACAGCCTAGTCTTTTGTGATTTGTCTACTCTGCTCTGATTGGTCAGATGGCCTAGTCTGTTGTGATTGGTCTACTGTGCTCTGATTGGTCAGATGGCCTAGTCTGTTGTGATTGGTCTACTGTGCTCTGATTGGTCAGATGGCCCAGTCTGTTGTGATTGGTATACTCTGTTCTGATTGGTCAGATGGCCCAGTGATTGGTCTACTCTGTTCTGATTAGTCAGAAGGCCCAGTCTTTTGTGATTGGTTTACCACTTGTAGTGCATAGACTAAAAAAACGTCCCGCCCTACATTTAGTTTTCTTGTTTGAGAAGCCGTTTCACTCAGATATATGTCACAATAGGGAAGAAAAGATGATTGCAACTTCCATTTTATGCTGACTCTGTCTATGAAACCCTTTTCCTGTAAAATTAAAATATTGCACATTATGTATGTTTTTTTGTAGCAGAAGGGACGACTGTGTGCTGTTCATTATCCCGCGCTGGCTGTGAGCTCTAAAGAAACAGTAAATGTGTCTGGAGCTGGTGACAGGTATGTTAATCGAAGTTTTTAACATCATGTGCGATGAATAAAACTGTTTCACATTAGTCTCTCTCTATCTTGTCTAGTTTTGCTGGAGCAATGATGGTTGGGATCCTTCAAGGGATGGAAACAGACAGCTGTGTGCGAATGGGTCTCCTTGCCGCCCGCACGTCCTTGTTGTCTCCTCATCCAATAGATCCGTCTCTGACAGCTGATGTCATCCATCCAGAAAAGTCGCATTCTCAACCTTGGTCAAAGCCTACATGTGTGTGGATGAATGACTGAAATACAATCGAAAAGAGGCAGAAATCTTACCAGCAGGCTTCTGCAGTCACAGTGCATCCGATGGGACATATGCTACTTTTGTGGGGTTTTATATAGCAAAACAAACTCAATGATTGGTGCATGCTGAGGTGTTTATGTTGTGGATACCACACATTTATGATTTTTTAATTTTACAGTATTATGACATACTATAATATACTTTTTTTTAGAGGCGCAGAGTTAGGACCTCTGTTTTTTAATTTCTGATTTTTAATTTATTAAACTACAATGTTATATAATATTAATAATAAAATAATAAAAACAAATCACAAACTAATTTTTAATTGTTTAATTATTGTATAATTATTATAATTATTATTAAATTGTAAAGGAAATTAAATGTATATATTACACTACTATATAGTGAACTTCAAATAAAAAAATATGATATATTTAAAATAAAATTAATATAAAAAAGTTCTTGAAAATAATTTATTTTATAATAACATTTTTTTTTAATAAAAAATAGTTCTATCAAAAATTACTTTTCCTAAATCTGATAACATGAATTTCTATCGCCCCTAGTGACGAATCTAGAACATTGCTGATGTATGTTGAAAATTACTTTTACAAAATAAACTACATCTCCCACAATGCATTGAGAATCGCATCTTGCGCAAACTCAATGAGAGGTGACTGGTTACTGTATTCCCTCCTCATTTCAGTGTAAGATGGTGGTAAAGAATCTGCTACCTAAATAAACAGTAAAACTGAGTAGGAAACATCTAATCAATATTGAACATCTGAGCCGTGGAATAGTGCTCATTGCAAACTATCAGATAGGCACATCTGATCAGTTGAAAGGCAGAAACCCCCGCCTAAACTAGAGTCAATATCCCTTGGAGTGGAATCCCTGCAATACAGGACCAGCTAGTTGAAGTGAGTACCCTACAAAACAACTGCTTTAATCGTGATTCATACACCCGAATATAATTGCTTCAGCGGTATTAGGTTTGCATATGTGCGTTGAAGCAGACTAACCCCGTGGTTAAAACATAAAACAGTGCGTTTTTAAGTGAAAGCTGAAGTCAAAGGTGGACTGGCAGCGGTTCCTCCTCTTGTCGCCGGGCCGATCAGTAGGAGAGTGGCAGGCTTTAGCTATGTGTAGGCCGCAAAACAGAACCGTTCAGAAAACACTCGTTGTCGACAAAAATGTATGTGAGGAAAGTCATTTTATTCTTTTATATGCATTTCAAAATATGTGTGACTTTAGGTTTGTGTGTTATTATTTGATAGGAGTGAAATCGATGTTTTATGCGTTGTGTTATGTGCCGCACGTCAGTTGAAGTCTGTCCCAGCTGTGGAGACACCTGACCGGCTTTTAGCGCGACTGAAGCGCCGCTAGACATACATGATGTGAGATATAAATTATTGGGGTTTTATTAAAGATTCATAGATATTAAAATAAGGATTAAATGTGTTGTTAATTTAATTATTGTCATTTTGAAGCCGAAATGGGCTCTACGGAGGTCTTGCGAATCTAAACAATAGTGTTTGATCTGGGTAACGTTAATGAGAGAGATGTAAGTGGGAATCTTTCATATAAGCTTTCGCTAAAAATAAATAGTAATTTGCTTTTAGAAATATAGTTTTTCTGAGTGAATAGGCTATGAACTGCTTCGTTTATAAGTGCGTTTGTTGTGATACAATGTCAGTGTTGCACCAAAGACAGTCTGGATGTTTTGATTTGCAATTCATTTAACGTTAGCTATAGTATATTGTTGAGAATATAACTTTGGTTTAGTATTCGGTGTTAAAATGTGGACGTAATTTAATTTTATGTTTGTTTGTTTTTTAATCTGTGCGTGGACTGCGAATACCTGATACACTCATCTCTAATGTGACCCAGTGATCCTATTCTGCAATCCCAATACATCAGCATGTTTATAGCCAACTGGGCTAACTGACTGTATTGAGAGTAACATGAAAAGGCTTAATGTGCTTTGTGGTAGCTTGATGTTTTGAACTGCTATGACAGCTGGCTACCTTCATTTGTAATGGCTATTAAATTAGTTTTGAGCTAACAGCATGTATTTTGTGTATTTAACAAGAGCATTTACATACTAAAGTATTGTCATCATCCAAGCTGCTGTGTTTAAATCAAATCTCACTTTGTCCCAAACTACTTTCTGTGACTTTGCATCAGCCTATTGGCCAACCTGCCAGAGACTCTCCTGAACTTACCGTGCGATAGGATGTCCCGCAGTCCAGAGCTGAAGGAAGACCCCATGGAGTGCCCACTGTGCATGGAACCGCTGGAGATTGACGATGTCAACTTCTTCCCCTGCACCTGCGGCTACCAGATCTGCCGTTTCTGCTGGCACCGCATCCGCACAGACGAAAACGGCCTCTGCCCTGCTTGCAGAAAGGTAAGAGCTTATGATGATTGTTTATTGTTTTGTTATTATATATCTAGTTGTGGAACACATTACAATAGCAACCATACCAATACTCGGCGTATTCGCAGGTTATTGCTTTACAATGACCTCTGTTAGAGCGCTACATATGGCAGTTTATCTGTTCAGTAAAATACTTTACTCACCTGTTGAGTAATCAAAACGCCATCTCCGTGTTGCTTTTATAACATTTCAAATCCCTCAGTTCTCGCCATCTCTAAATTACGAGCTCTATCGCGTTCTCTTTTTGCCAGCAGACTCTCCTCTGTTTGGCTTTGTTTTTTAAAACGTGTGGTTTGCGATTTAACTGCTCCATGTCAAGCTTTCTCGCTCATTGTGATAACTAACCTGTCACTTCCACGCCATATACACTTGGACCAAATAGCCGGACCTAATTTTTTTCTACGCGTGTATGCAGTTTCCCGCAAAAAACAAGTCTAAAACATAAACGCTTTTAACAGGCTTGCCATTGTAAATCATGGTAAGACAAAAAATGTGTTTTGGAAGAAGAATGATGTATTGGCTCATTTTATTTCTGTTGGCTCGCCACTGTTCCCCAATAAAGCTAGTTTCTGAAACAAAACCACTGAGTCTTGTAGCAGAATCTAGAGAACTGGTTGGTTGATATGTATTTAAACAAGAAGTCGCCATGACTATATATTTAATTGTTGATTGTAAAAAAAATGTTATGCACAAGCACAGTGGCGAAATATTGTCTGATTAACTGGCCTAAATGTTCTAAAGCCTGGTTATGCATTTGTGGCACCACTTTTTTGGCAAACCGCACTTCCCAAGTGTAATCGCGATGTGGTTCATTTCATTCACTGCAATGGTGTCAGCCTGAAAACTTTTGAGTTCTTTGAGCATGTTAGCCCTCAGGATACGGTTCAAGCGTGGTAACGACGAGTTGTGTGTCTCCCCTGTAGCCTTACCCGGAGGATCCGGCAGTTTACAAACCACTGTCACAAGAGGAGATCCAGAGGATAAAGAACGAGAAGAAGCAGAAGCAGAATGAAAAGAAGCAGAAGGTGACGGAGAACCGCAAGCACCTGGCCAGCGTCCGCGTGGTGCAGCGAAACCTCGTGTTCGTGGTGGGACTTTCTCAAAGACTCGCCGATGCAGAGGTGATTCATCGTATTAGACGATTTCGATGTCTTTTTTTTGTGGTTTTTATTATATTGTGACTGTTTTCAGCTTTTTATTTTATTTGGATCTATTGAATTATGAACGTGAATATTTTTGTAAATAATTCATTCTAATTTTATTGTTATTTATTGCATTTGTTTGAATTGACTTTAACAATTAATTTGATAATGAATATAACTAGCTGTTATCTCTATGAAATGAACTCAAAATTAGTACAAACGTTTGGGTCAGTTATTTTTTATTAATTTTTTTATAAAGGATTTTTAAACGTTTTTGAAAGACGAATATTCGAAGCTGCATTTATATAGTAAAAAATACAGTAAACGCAGTAATATTCTGATATGTTATTACAAATTAAAATAACTTTTTTTATTATTTTTACTTTAATTTATTTCTGTGATGACAAAGCTGAAATTTCAGCATCCACTCTTCCATGTCACATGATCCTTCAGAAATCATTATAATATGCTGATTTGCTGTTTAAGAACCATTTCTTATCAATGTTGAACTTGAAAATAGTTGTGTTGCTTAATATGTTTTGTGTAAACCATCATACACTTTTCTATTTTGTCCATGGGATCATTGAAAGAAAAATCTCACTGACCCCAAAACCTTTGAACAGTAGTGTACTACAATAAAAGTTGTAATTTACGATATAATGCGCAATGTATCTAAACCACTGATCATCTACATCAGTGAGAAATGTATCACTTCCTGTGGGAGGTAAATGAGAATGGCACAAAAATAGAGTTTTTTCGTCAGGGAGCTGTTTACATTTTGCTGAACAAAAGGAAATTTCCTCCCTCAGAGTCATTTCACAGTTTGATTGTGTGAGATATAATAAGTGGGCATAATTCAGCGTAGTGTTGGTTTTGTCGTTCATGCAATAATTCACTTGAAGGAATCACTGTCACTTTGATCATTTTATAGGTTCTAAAGCGCCCAGAATATTTCGGGAAGTTTGGCAAAATTCATAAAGTGGTCATCAATAACAGCACATCATATGCAGGTTCACAGGTAGGAAAAACTTCATGTCCATGTGTGGAAAAAGTCTCTGGCTTATAGGGATTGTTCTACCAAAAATTAAAAAATTGTGTCATCATTGACTCACCCTCATATTGTTTCAAACCTGTATGAATTTTTTTCTTGAAGATTGAAGAATGTGGGTAATGGTAGCCATTGACTTGCATTGTATTTTTGTTTCCATGCAATTGAAGTCAATGGCTTCAGCAGAAGAATGGACTAAATCTAAGGTAAACAAAATGAGGGATGAGGGCGATTAATGATGACAGAATTTTCTTTGTTGCTTGAACTATCCCTTTAAGGCTACAGCAAAACAGTAGAATAAAGAAAAAACACACTTATATTTTGACCTTTCACTCCACAGGGTCCTAGTGCCAGTGCCTATGTAACTTACATTCGTTCAGAGGACGCCCTTAGAGCAATACAGTGTGTGAACAATGTCATAGTGGATGGTAGAACACTAAAGGTAAGTCCTTTTAAGAAATATGGTTCAGAACGTGACGTCCCTTTGAAGTGTTATGATGTGACGTTTAAAGTTTAGCATTGATGATTCTCTTCATGTGTTAATTAATGTATATTACATTTATTCTTCTATTCATTTTCTGTGTGTTGCTGTTTTCGTCTCCAGGCTTCTTTAGGTACAACAAAGTACTGCAGTTATTTTCTTAAAAGCATGCAGTGTCCCAAACCAGACTGCATGTATTTACATGAACTGGGGGATGAAGCGGCTAGTTTTACAAAAGAAGAAATGCAGGTGAGCGATTTATGCAGTTCAGACTGGTCAATGCATAAATTAAATGACATTTTGAAACTGATTTTGCTTGTGTACATTTTGTTTTTTAGGCTGGGAAACATCAAGAGTATGAACAAAAATTGCTCCAAGACCTTTACAAAGCGAACCCTAACTTTTTACAAACCTCAACATGTGGGGAGAAGTCAAAGAGCAAACCCAACTCCACTCAGAGGTGTTGCTTTTAATCTTGAATTTCATCGCTGCACACACCGAGAATGATAACCAAATCCAGATTTTTAGTGAAAATTGTCCTTATTTTTGCAATATATGCAATCATTTATTATATGATAGTTAGATTATTATTTGTTTATATTTATATGATAATATATGATAATTATATTCAAATGTATAAAAATAAAAAAAAATTCACTACCCTTCATAGGTTTGGGGTTGGTATGAAATATTATTAAATTATTAGGTTATTAGATTATGCAGTATTGCATGGTCCTTCATAAATCATAATGCTGCTTAATAGTTTGTGGAACCTGTGATACATTTTTGCGATATTTTTTGATGAATAGAAATTTCAAAATAACAGCGTTTATGTGAAAATATTTTTTTTGTAACGTTATAAATGTCTTCGCTGTCACTTTTGCTGTTGTTTAATGTGTCTTTGCTGATGAAAAGTATTAATTTATTGAAAAGTCTTACTGACCCCAAAATTTTGAATGGTAGTGTATATAATTCAGCTATTAAATATGATACATTTTTGGTAACACTCTACAATAAGTTTCCTTAGTTAACATTAGCTAACATGAACTAAGAATGAACAATACTTCCACCGCATCTATTAATCTTAGCTTATATTAATTTCAACATTTACTAATGCATTGGAAATCAAATGTTATATTTGCTAACATTTGTTAATACACTGGAAACTAACATGAACAAACAATGAACAGCTGTATTTTTATTAAATAACTTTAACAAAGATTAATAAATACTGTAAAAATGTATTGCTCATTGTTAGTTCATGTTAGCTAATACATTAACTAATGAGTAAAGTGTTACCAAGTTTCTCTTGAAGTGTGGTTCGAATTTTTAACCTAACATTATTTTATTCCCAGACCAAATAGCACCAATAAAGAAGGGTGGCCCTCATTACAGAGCTATGGGAAAATGGCTAACGGTCTAACCACTGAGCATCGCAAGTCCCCTCCTCTTTTAGACTGCCTAACAGACTCCGACCACATGACTCCAGACGAACCAGACCCTGAACAGGGACTAGAGCAGAACATGGGCCTCCCACCCTTCCCATCAGCCTTAGAGCCTACCAGGTACTGTACTCCAGTAGTGTTGATATCCAATGACTCGTATCTTATTGTTTTTGTGCGTGCTTATTACACTGTGTTTTCATTTCAGTCCAATTGAGAAACCATCAGAACCCATAAGTATAGGAAACGGGGAAAATATATCACAGGTAAGTGCTAAAAAAAAATTACATTACTGATAATAGTTATCATTATTTGTGTTTTTGATCCATCTGTCTGTGTTTGGTTTGGCAGACATCCAGTAGCGAGTCCCCATCTCCTCCACCAGGCCTTACTAAACCCAGCCTCGTTGTGCCCATCAGCGTGGCCGAACTCGCAGCACGTTCACCCTTCGAAGGCGCGGCAGCGGAGTCTCAGTCTCTTTTCTCAGACAACAGCAATTTCAGACATCCCAACCCCATCCCCAGCAGCCTGCCCCCCTTCTCCAGTTCACCACAGGGAGCCTCCGACTGGCCCATGACTCCAGAACCACAGAGCCTTTTCACCTCAGGTAGGCCCATGCAATGTAGTAAGATTTTGGAACAATACGATTTGAGTGCAAGCAGAGCTAAACGGGTAAACCCATCAATCTCTCTTCCTTATCGCAGACACTATCCCCGTTTCGTCCTCCACTGATTGGCAGGCGGCCTTCGGTTTTGGCTCTTCAGCCAAGCAGCAGCAGCAGGACGATGACCTGGGCTTCGACCCATTTGACGTCACACGGAAGGCCCTGGCCGACCTCATAGAGAAAGAGCTGTCAGTCCAGGAGCATTCCCCCCTCTCTCCCAACCCCTCCCATCAGACCAGCCTCCCCAACGGCCAACAGCGCCTTCCTCACCTCCAGCACAGAGGCCTCTATAACTCATTCAGCCTTCCCCAACACATGGCCGCACGCCACCCCTGGATGGGCCTCCCTACCCGCAATAACCTCACACACTTGAACCACACGGCCACCGCAGCAGCTGCGCACAGCCATTTCTTAGACCTGAGCATGCCGGCCCAGCACCACAGCACCGGCCTTGGGGGGATTCCTATATCAGGTTAGGGAACGCATCTGTCTTGTGCACTCCAGTTTTTATGAATCACCTGTGTGTGTATTAAAACACCTTGTCTAAGCAGAGTACTGCAGATGTAGCCCACTGATCCAAATAGAAACAAGTTGTTGAACTCATTCCCAGTTTGTTTATTGTTGCATTTTCCACCGAGTTGTCTTTTAATTGACCATTCGCAAAGACCCGTCCCCTTTAGTTACTATGTCCGACAAGCCATGCCGCTCTTACAACACATGTTCTCATGGGGTGAAAAATACATGACAAAAACTGACAACGCGCTGACAGTTGGGATATAAAACAAAGTCTCAACTTTCAAATTTGGTCATTTTTTTAAAGAAATTGAAACAATAAATACCGTTCTCTTTAAAGGGATAGTTCACCCAAAAAGAAAAAAATGTCAGTATTTACTCACCCTCACGTTATTCCAACCCCGTAAGACCTTTGTTCATCTTCAGAACACGAATTAAGATATTTATGATGAAATCTGAGAGCTGGATCACTCCTTTATACTAGTCCATAGGCTTCTTGAGGGATTGAAACTTGCCGGCCTCGAAAAGTTCATCGTTAAAATAGTCCAAGTGACTACAGTGGCTCAATCTTAAGTTTATCAAACGACGAGAATACTTTTAGCAGATCGCTGCGTTTGAACTGATCATCTCTTCCTTCTAGTTCATTTATTGCAAATAAACATGAATGAACATCAGAAGGAATCCACAGACGTTAATCTACTAACTCTCCTGAATTGATTGTTGGACAAAAGGACGGATGGCGGATTATGATTGGTCAGATCACCTGTCAATCAAATTACTTTTTTATTTTTTTTAATATGGCACATATAAATATTAAATGAAGTTTACCGAAAATTAGAAATGTTGCCTTGGAAACTAAGTGTAAATTGTACACCAACAGTAAATTGATGGCCCGTTCTACAGTATTTCTGATGTTCTTTTGCTACTACTGACAACAGAAATGGTTCCAGCACATTTGCTCTGACATATTCGCTGTAGACATGATGCAAGGATACAAAAAGTTTAAATGTTTCATTCATACGTTTTTTTTTTCTCTTTCAGAAAACAATGGCTCTACAGAAAGCATAAATGTGAAGGAGTGGCAGGACGGACTGCGAGCACTCCTACCAAATATCAATATCAACTTCGGTGGCCTCCCGAACTCTACCTCTTCCTCATCCTCCTCCTCTACTTCCAGTGTGAATCACATCGGGGTGCCGGTAGGCCCAGCTGGAGTCTCGCACAGCCTCAGCTGGGACAGTGCGGCCAGTTGGATGGACCCCGCCATCATCACAGGTGCGGTTTGTGTTTTATAAACTAGTTATGGATGAAAGTTTTGTTGGTAATAGCGCTAAATCGTGTCCGTTTTCAAACTCCAGGTATCCCAGCATCCACAGGCAACAGTTTGGACTGTCTCCAGGATGACAATCCGCCACACTGGCTCAAGTCACTGCAGGCTCTCACAGAGATGGACGGACCACCCAGCTCCAGCGCACTCCCACAGCCCCCTCACACTGGCCTCCTGGACGCGGCGGCCCACCTCTCCTTACACAGAGCCGCCTGGGCCCCCTATCTCCCCCCGCCCACACTCACCCCAAGTCAGTACCACTCCCCCCCTCCAGGCTTTCAGACAGCCTTCAGACCCCCAGCACAGACGGCCACAGACATCCTACAGAGTGCCGGTATCGACCGTCACTAAAGACAACCCTTGATTTAACTGCATTACAAACATGAAACTGCAAATATACCACTTTCATTAATAACATAACATAAGCTCTCGTCTTTCTACCCTTTCCCCTTCCATCCCTTTCCCATCAGGATTTGTTTGTCTGCTGTCACTTTTGTTTGAAGGTATTATGAGCACCATCAGTGCAGGGTAATGACTTGAATGAAGGTGCCTGGCAGACACTGAGGGCCCTACCGCATATACACACACACCTTCACATATGATTCGGAGGAGAGAGGGTGGGGGAAGAGAGTGCACTGATGTGTACATGTGACTAATAATGGCTAAAACGGAATGTGCAACATGTCTGAATGGCCTCACTCCTTCACCCAAGGTACAGACTGAAATTTAATACTGTGAATCTTTACACTTCCCGTATGTTAGGTCTCACCACCACTCAAAGGAAACGGAAGCGGATTATTTTAAGATAAGTCTATGTAATGCTCTCCGCTTCTTACACGCTTAATGTTTACGGAGCCACAGGTAAGATGTTTGAGGGCATTTGTAGAGTCAAGACCCTGGTCTGGTTTGGAAGGGACTTCATTAATGACTGAGTGGAAACTTCTATATCTTAGGGAGGAACCCATTTTGTATTCGAGGTGGGGGGGGTTGTCCAAAGCATCTTAGGGCAAGGATGGTGATGTGAGACCTGACATGCTGCTACAGGATGTCTGCAGTAACTTCATTCCCATGAAGAAAGGCGAGCAAGCCTTCTGTGGAAGTGTTTATTGGCTTGCCTATAAAATAAGCCATTCATACAAGGTATGAATCAGGAATCGAGTCTGGAACCTTGGGAAGGGTTGTGATGGTAGTAAAGACAGACGTGCCAAGGCATGATTGCAGACAATATGAGTGTTGAAGGCACACACTAACATGCCCCCATTCAAATGCCTTCAAATGAGTTCTACTCTTTTCTTTCTCATCTGTGTGGCCATACTAAACAGTATTTATCAAACGCAATCACTCATTCTTTCAGGAAAAAAAATCAAAGTAGTCCGTCGTTTGGGTTTAACATGCTGCTGAAATCATTTAATGCAAAATAAAGCGCTAAAAGAGAAGAATTGACCCCCTTTTCTGCTGGTCTGGAACAGTGAAATCTTAAATAAAATTGAGTATTCAGTGCCTCCGTTTGATTCTCTTTTTTTTCCTGATCTAGAAACAGTAGAATCGTTTTCTTACATGAGACATTTTATTGTCCAATGACGAAATTTTTGACATTGAAAACATTTATAGCACATAATGAAATGATTTTTGAAACCGTGAATTTGTCTCAATTCAAACACGATCTACCGAACACAAGGACAAACACCAAGGACATGCTGAACTCATGTCATGAAGAAAGCTTTTATACAACTGTACAAATGTGCTTTCATAGGTCCTCCTTCCAGAACAACTTCCAGCCTCCGTGATTTTAACACCCATAACAAAGTCTATGAACAAGTTCGTGTGAATGTATCAAGTGTCACAACATGTGAAGCTTTAGCACACCGTTCCGTTCTCCATGCGAGACTTGGGACAGGAGGTACGGGTTGGTGGAGGAGGTTGAATCGATGGTGCCAGGGTGCAGAAGAACCCGGCTATGAGGGTCAGTCCCAGCCCTCCCCAGGCACTGAACATGGACCAGCCGTATCCATGGCTTATATCATCCGGGAGGCTGAACAGATAACGTGGGTAGCGAGACAGTTCGAAGTTGATGCCGGCTACACAGGTGCACAGAGAGATGATGCAGAAGGTACCTGTGGAGGGACAAGATACTAATCGGTAGATGTTCAAAAACCCTAAAACACATCAAGGAGCAATTCAGTGAATTAACGTACCTCCCATTAGGAAGAGTAGACCGGCGACGTAATGCATGAGGCCTTGCTGCCAGCAACAGCCCAAAATGCCAATGGTCCAGCCAAAGAGAATGATGGATAGAGCCATGCCCATGAACCCAGCTGTCATCCTACGCAAATCTGGAGGGGAACATACAGTAGCAAGTTACTGGGGGTGCCCAATCCTGCTCGTTGATTACTACTGTCTTGTAGAGTTTAGCTCCAACCTGTTTCAGCACACCTGGCAGAATTTCTAGTAATTCTGAAGGCATTGATTCGTTTGTTCCAGCTGAACTTGACAGGAAGGTGGCAATACCAGGAACGGGATTGGACACCCTTGCTTGCAACTCTACTGATATATCAAATACATTCATTTGCTGGGCCTTTTCATTTGTTATTAGTAGGCAAGCTTTAAGGTGCATATAATTATATATATATATATAACAATATATAGTTTCAAAGCAGCTTTACAGGTAACAGAGATTGTTTTGGCTTTACAGCGGCTCTAGAATAAAGTTATTGTCCAGGTAAACTTAGTTTGATTGATTCACTTCGGTTGCAAAGATCATTCGTTATTTACTTAGGGGCCGCTAAGACGACACCGTTCTAACAAAAATCCTTAATGTGCTCCGACCAGCTCATTCGCACAACAACAGTGCCTGGTGGCTCGAGAACACAATTGAAATAGGTTCCAAGGTGCTAGCCTTGATTTTTTTTTTATATATTGTTTTTTATCATCTCTACGTAAAAAACGTGAAGTTAATGGTAGCTAGGTCACAGAAATGTGTTTTTTATCTATATTTAAAATGACAGAGTGTGTCTGCTTCCCGGACAATGGTAGGAAGACTGTTCCAAAATTTTGGTTCTAAATAGGAAAAGGATCTACCGCCAGCAGTCGATTTTAATATTCTAGGTATTATCAACTGGCCGGTATTTTCAGATCGAAATAGACGTCGCGGCGGACTATAATGCGTTAAGAGTTCGCTCAAGTACTGGGGAGCTAAACCCTTTAGTGCTTTGTAATTAGCAATTTTTACAATTTATACAACATTTAATAGTGAGCCAATGCAGGGTTGACAGAACTGGGCTAATATGGTCATACTTCTTGGTTCTGGTAAGAACTCGAGCTGCTGCGTTTTGGACTAGCTGAAGTTTGTTTATTAAGCGTGTAGGGCAACCACCCATTATAGCATTACAATAATCTAGCCTTGATGTCATGGAACGCATGAACTAATTGTTCCGCATTTGTCAATGAGAGCATATAACGTAATTTAGATACATTTTTAAGATGGCAGAATACATTTTACAGATACTAGAAACGTGACTTTCAAGTGAAAGATTGGTATCAAAGAGCACACCCAGGAGCTGAGTATTATCAGCATAACCGTGAAAACTAATGCCATGCTTCCAAAAGATTCCATAGTGGAAAGACCCCTTTGTAAGAGGGCCTGGGATAACACTGATGCAGATCGAAAAGAGCAAGTCCCACTCACGCAGGGCATGCCAATCATCTTGCTGGATAGTCTTGGTGATGTTGTAGGAAAGATCCTTTCGAGTCACTGCAGGGGAGGAGTAAAAGTACCTTATGAACGAGCAACGCTCGATAGTTCCTGGAAAAACAAGAAAATCAGAATCAGCATTACATCTGATCCCAGGATGATCCCAAGAAGCTCCAAGATGTAAAGTGGGTCCAGACAGTTGTTAGTGGTTGTCAAGCTCATGGTTAGGTGGACCAGGTCCCCTGTTGAGCTTAGCCTGATTGTGCATATGGACAATGTGTAAACTACACAGATGGTCAACTGAGTATAAAACTGGATGAAATATATCAAGTGTATTGAATGAGGTTGTTACACATTCCAAATGTGCAATGCTCAGGTACTCAAAGACCAAGATTGCGGACCACTAAGCCATTACAATTCATATAGGCTAGAGAACAGAATGTATAACTACAAATGCTCAGAGGTGCTCATTATGTTCAATATTGAGGGAAATGGTGCCCTGTGCAACTGATATATATAGGCCTAATGAAATGACATTTTACTCTGATGCATATTATATACATTGCAAATGTTAGGCTCACATTATTGTAGCATTTGCTTTGCATCAACACAGCCAACACATTACTATAAGACTCAGTCGGATGTTTTTACCTTTCTGAATGAGCTCTTCGATGTCTGGGTCAAATCCCACCCTGTAGCATTTGCTCCACAGACCCATGTTGGTTGAATTGTAGCGTCTGCTGCACTCATCCGCCGCGCTCATCGCGAACAGCTGACGCCGGTTTCTAGCCAGAAGCAGTCGGTTTTCCCATCGGTCCAGGTTCGCTCGGGTGGCTCGCAGTGGAAGGCTGTGGTTGGGGATGTATATAAAACCCGGATCGCTTCTGCGGTTCGAGAAAGTTCGGCAACGTTCCTTGTATCTCCTCGCGTCCGTTTCGTACCAGTGATCCGATGAGATTGCGATTGTCAAGAAACACAAGGCGACGAGAGACAGACAGAGACCCGTGTACAGAAGCCACTTCCCCGTCGCCATCGTTCTGCCAGGCCGCCGATCAGCACCTCATGGTGGAGGACAGCTCCTTTCACCGACGCAGCGAGTCAATCCTGCTTCAGCATCTCTTTGTGTGTTAAAACAGCCAAATGGTGTGCTTACTGTAAACATGCCCTTTTAAATGAATGAGAAACGTCGACTATTACAAAAGAAAAAAAAATCCCGTTCCGTCTGTTATTTCCTCTAGCCTGCTGCCCTGCTCGTAGACTGTATTGGACGAGCTCTTCCTCTCTGAGCTGCTGCAGGCAGGGACACATGACAATCACACAGAAGAACTGACTGAGAATCATGCAAAAATCATGAGTGAAAAATAAATAAAAAATAAAAGAACTGGACATTATTAAATAAAAAAATCACGACTGAAAAGGAATTTAAAAATAAAGGAACTGGAAATTATTTTAAAAAAATAAAAGGAATTTAAAAATAAAGGAACTGGAAATTATTAAAAAAATAAAAGGAATTTAAAAATAAAGGAACTGGAAATTATTAAAAAAAAATAAAATAAAGGAAATCAAAATGATTGAGCAGTTATGAATGAAAAAAATTGATTCGTTCAAATAAATCACTGCAAATACAAAAGTACCTTTTAAATCATTTCGATTATTTTACCCACTTAAAATTGAGCAGTTGGTTTGATTTCCCACGCTTCAAATTCTGCTTGTGTATTTAACTTTAATTTTAAAAACACACAAGAAATTAAAGCTTACCATTCACCTGGTATTTGTTGCTTTCACGTGTTAAGCATGTTATCAACAGCAGTTAAAAATTAATAAAATAAGCTTCAAGACTGCTTTAAAGTCACGTAGGCTATAAAAGTGTTAATGACTAGTTATAGTCGTCATTCAAAATTAGGCCTAATAGTTTATTGGCAGGCCCGGATTGGACATCTGGCAATTCTGGCACATGCCAGAAGGGCCGGTGTGATTTTCTATTGTTTTAGGCCGAGACACATAGTTGCGTGTTTTGAGTCAATACGGGAAAAAATACGGGATATTTTTAGGGATGGCTGACGCGAAACAGACGTTTCGAAGCTTTGCGAAATCCCGAAGCGCAGATGATTCGAAACACTGATCCGAAGCGTGATTCAAAACACCTGCTGCGTCACGTGACTACGGCTAAACGATTTCACCAGGTGGAGTGCTCCGCCGAATCAGGGTTGAACATGGTTGAAACCCGATGGTGGGCCAAAGACTCTGCGCTTACAAAAGTGTTTGGGAAGTTTGGGGATCCAGAAGGACGTCTTTACATTGATCTTGTTGTTACACTCAAGGCCCTGAGCGAGAAAGACAACATGAAGCCGACTGTGCGTGCGAAGGCCGACGGTTATGCAGAGGCTCTGCTGAAATAGGCTACCAAACCATCCTCAGCTGCCCAGACGTTTTTACGCATCTTCCAACAAACAACTCCACTTTCCAAGTATTTGCAAACTATTGGAATGGATTTGCTCACGGCCCATCGCTTTGTCACAAGCACACAAGACAATCTGAAAAAAATATGCAAGGGATTTTAAGAGGGTAAAGACAGCAACAGACGCATTTGTGCAATGGGCCAATGGAGAATTAAATGTGTGAGACAAGACGCAGAGGTGGAACATGCGCTGCCAAACCGGAGACCAAAGAAGACCAAAAAGATGCCAGACGAGTTATGTGATGACACAACCATATGAGATGCTGACAGCAAGTATGAGGTACAAGTGCACAATGTCATTCTGGATACCATCATTGAAAGTAGGCTATATACCTGCTCACTGACTCTTACCATCTAATCGGACTTGGATACAAGTTTCTGTTAACTCTGTCTGTGACACAAGTTGCATGTGAGCGAAGCTTTTCCACGTTAAAATTCATCAAGAATCGATTAAGGAGCACAGCGTCACAGGAGCATCTTGAAGCCTTTATGTTGATGGCAATCGAAAAAGAGACTCTGGTTTCTTTGGACACGGATTGCATCATTGAAAGGGTAGCGGAGAAGAGCGCTCTGATGAAATAAGGTAGGTCATGCTTTTTTTTTATCATACCCGTATTTTCCGCACTATAAGGTGAAAAAACGTTCTAAAATAGGTCATTCGTTGAAGGTGCGCCTTATAATCCGATGCGGATTATATTTTTATTTATTTTAGAACATTTTTCATATAAGTTATAGGGCGCACCGGATTATAGTGCGGAAAATACGGTATATACTTTATTGTGGTTTGGTCATGGTCTTTTTTCTTTATTAAACAGTTGTGCTCGTGTGCGCGTTTTTGGCCGCTGTGCCATGCTCGTGGTGTGCGTGTGTTTTTGGCCGCTGTGCCATGCTCGTGGTGTGCGTGTGTTTTTGGCCACTGTGCCATGCTCGTGTGTGCATGTGTTTTTGGCCGCTGTGCCATGCTCGTGTGCGTGTGTTTTTGGCCGCTGTGCCATGTGCATGTGTTTTTGGCCGCTGTGCCATGCTCCTGTGCATGTGTTTTTGGCCGCTGTGCCATGCTCGTGTGCGTGTGTTTTTGGCCGCTGTGCCATGCTCGTGTGTGCATGTGTTTTTGGCCGCTGTGCCATGCTCGTGTGCGTGTGTTTTTGGCCGCTGTGCCATGCTCGTGTGCATGTGTTTTTGGCCGCTGTGCCATGCTCGTGTGTGCATGTGTTTTTGGCTGCTGTGCCATGCTCGTGTGCGTGTGTTTTTGGCCGCTGTGCCATGCTCGTGTGCGTGTGTTTTTGGCCGCTGTGCCATGCTCGTGTGCGTGTGTTTTTGGCCGCTGTGCCATGCTCGTGTGCATGTGTTTTTGGCCGCTGTGCCATGCTCGTGTGCGTGTGTTTTTGGCCGCTGTGCCATGCTCGTGTGCGTGTGTTTTTGGCCGCTGTGCCATGTGCATGTGTTTTTGGCCGCTGTGCCATGCTCGTGTGCGTGTGTTTTTGGCCGCTGTGCCATGCTCGTGTGTGCTGTGAGGGAACTTTTTGGCTCACCTGCCACGGGGACTGGTAGATGAAAAAATCCACCAGCCAAGCATATTTTTATTACTGGCCAAAATAATAAACAGCCTTTTTGTGTCACATATACATTAATTTAGGTATGGCTATATTTAAACATTTTTGTCATATTTCTGGTCTATTATTTTCCATTCTTAATTTTATATACACACATATTACACACATTAAAATAATATTTTTGTTGTGGTGCCTATGAAAATAGTTCTGTACCAATGAAATGTATTAATTGTATATTAAATAAATAAAATGTAAATAAATAAATGATAAATATATAATTTTTTAACATTTATTTAAATATACATGGCAACCAAACGTCACTGGTGAGACAAACGTGCAACGAACGGACTGTCAGATTACGTTTTGGCAGGGGAAACTGATCAGAAAATGTAATGAAAATGTAACTGAAGTTGTAGAAATGCAGTGGAGTAGAAAGTATAATAATTGCTGCAAAATGTAACGAAGTAAAAAGTATGCACTATTTATTCTACTTAAGTAAAAATAGGCTACGTGGAAAATGTTCTTAAGTAAAGTAACAAAGTATTTGTTCTTCGTTACATTCCACCACTGAGTCTATGCGCCTCAGTCTTATATCATGACGTGTCGTGTATGCCTACAGACTAGTGTGAAAGTCATTGCTGCTTGTATGGTGTGTCTCAGTGGGAAAAATGTTGGCAAATGTTTTTAGTCATCCCTGGGATTCTCTGCCTTGTGTCCACTCCCCGGTAGAGATCATGATCTTATTGCCAACATCAACTTTAAACCGGTCTTAGTCATAACAAACACCATTTAAATTAAGCATATTGAAGTTTATTAAAGTCGATGCAACAAAGCAACGTCATCCTTAATTTAACGTGGTCGACCTCAACACGTCCACTGCTGAAGGAAAACAAGTTAATCGAAAAGTCATGTACAAAAAAAAAAAAAAAAAAAAAAAAAAAAAAAAAAAACCACACAATTATTATTTAATAAACCTGTTAGCTTTTTATTGGTGGATAAAGTAATAACAGGAGGGCCAATTTATACACACCACAAATTGAATATTAAAGTGCGGTTCACACCAGGACCTAAAACGAATTTCAGAAGGTAACGTTAACTTTACGTAGGCCTACCATGTGTACGTGCAAACAAGACATCATTTTAACGCAAGGGTTAAAGCTAAACATGGAAGTAAAAAATAAATAAATCCAGTACTCGTCCAGTATATCTCAAAGCTCTTTATTCACTGCAGTTTAACGTTACTTCAGCTCTTAAACAAGAAAATTAGATTTGCCACAAAAAAAAAGTAACCGCCCATTACAAAGATCAGATAGGGGGCGCCATCAGACATGGTTACTAATGAAATTACTTTATGCAGTTCCGTTAGAAGAACGTTGACAAATAAAACTAAAACAGTCTATGAACACGACACGAAGCATGATTCAAACACTTACACGAGTCTGTTGTACGGTTGTACACAACGCAATGAAACGGCTGTCTCGGAGGAATCCTAACCCGCAGCGAGTGTGTGAGCGCAGGCTTGTTTGCAGGATCACTGGAGAGGTCCGCAAAAGTTCGCCATGCTCAGTTTAATCTGCTCGGGGTGCTGGAAGCCCACAGATCTGAAGCCTGTGCAACAGAGTCGAACTCTTCGCGGCAGCAGGACTGTCCGCGCACAAAACACTCAAACCTGTGAGACCGAGCATCAGAGTACTCTACAGCTTTTTTACACGAATCGGAACCACGGAAAACTTCCTGTAATATACTGAAAGCTTAAGACAAAACAGTATAAATACCGTACAGGAAGCCAGAGAGCGTTAGGGTTAGAAGAAGTACTCTGTTCTTTCCCCTTGCGCGGTGGCGTTTTATATAGTGTGGATGATGTCATGAGTATGGATCCTCCCACTTATCTCTGATTGGCTACATCGCCCGCCAAATTGCTGATTAAACTCAATCACATTAGATTGGCACTAATTGCATTATTATTCAACTCAAATTAGACAAAAACAACATGCTTATGATTATGGTCGTGGAGCCCCTTCAAATAGCCACATCCTGGAAATTGAATTTAAATTCAAAGAAAGAATGTCAATCCATTATGTGACACATAATGTGATTGATAAAATTACAAAGATTATGCTCAGATTATTTATCAAAATAAATTGTTCAGTCGTTGTTAGATTTAGAGAAATAATACTGTGGTTGTCTGAAAAAAAGTTTCTCCCTCAAAAAAAAAGTTTCTCCCTTTTTTTTTAGTTTAATGATGACATATTGGCCAATCCTAAAATGATGCCGCCTTCATTTGTTATTATGGGTATATCGTAGGCCTACTTGTTTTCTAGCCTATAGAATTCGACATAATACGCTCTTTCAACTCATGTCAATATTTGAATGTGATGTAGGCCTAGTCGTAATCACGATTTCAGAAGTGGGAAGTAGGACGCTTCCGATGGCACATGAAGATTCTTCATCACAAATTAACACAACTTTTGTGAATTTTGAAGCAATATATATAAAAAAGAATTTTGCATGACTTCCGGGTCACTAAACTTCTGCCAATTATTTCAATACCTATATATATATATAAAACATTTACCATCAAAGAGAGTGATAACAAACTCGTGATTGATTCGGTGTGGTAACTTAATGTCTCATACATCCTTTGTAGCCACTTATAGCAACCGCCTTTCTCAGACAAGTAAAAGCTTTTAAACTAGCCTATCACAAGGGGGTATTAATGATGTATTTTATGCTGTAGAATAAAACGTGAAAAACTTCCAAACCTAATCTCAGGACATTTTACACACACACACACACACACACACACACACACACACACACACACACACACACACACACACACACACACACACACACACACACACACACACACACACACACACACACACTACAGAAATACGTCATCCCTGCAGCACTCCATCTCAGGCCTACAGGTTTAGAACATCATGAGAGTGAGCAAACTGACTATTCACTTTGAGCGAATTATTCCTTTAATCTTTCACATTTGGTGTTATTTATGGCAGGAGATTGTTGTTTCCAGTAGATGGCAGTACCGACACACTCGCTGTCTCGTCCAGCTGTCTTCTGCACTGTGAGAAATCATAACACGTCCTCTACTGTACTTGAGTGAAAGTGAGATGTCCACCACCGGACATCAGGTAGAGCACCACCTAAAATTATTATATTTCTGCACAATAATTGTAACAAACAATAACCCTTTCTCTATTAATAAGCATTCAGTTTATTAATCTAACATGTCACTGTCATTGCAAACACGCATGTACCACAGTGATGCACATTAAACTGAATGATATAATCCCATCATTTGCTCTCAGCTATCTTTTTAGGTGCTGAGGCAGCATTTATTGGTGGGTAGGTGAGCAGGGTATTAATGCAGACAGACAGCATATTCTGGGCCAGTGACAGTGAGTCAGCAACACAGCAGAGGGGGAGAGAGAGGGAGAGAGAGAGAGAGAGGGAGAGGGAGAGAGAGGGGGGGCAAAGTTCTACATCACTTACCAAAAAGCTGCAACTGACAAAACACAAAAAGAAGCATGCATATAACACAAATCATTAAAGAGCAAGCAATGGGGGTTTTGCATGCACACTGTGTTGCTACTGATACACATGGACATATTGCACCATACTGCAGTGAATCTCCTTGATGCCGTTGAGCTGACATTAAAGAGGCTTAGGAATCTTATTGCATTCCTTGTCGTTTATACATACCTTTCTGACTGTCACATTCGTGCTTGTTTGCAGTTATTTCACATTCTGATGCCAATGAGTGAGATATTCTTTGCTGCAGGAGTTTTCTCACTCACTCTCTCACGCAGGCGCTCTAAACTGCTGAATTCTCTGCTTCATGGAAGACTGCAGAAGCCCAGCTAACAGGGAACGTTCCCAGAACATTCACTAACGTTCTTTAAAAGTTGTGTAAATGTTAGGACAAAACGTTATTAAAATATTGTTTTCGGAACGTTCATATAACGTTATTAACGTTCTTGTAACGTTGAGAGAAAACGTTCTTAGAACAACGTTCTTGGAACGTCTTTATCACGTTATTTGTATTTGATGAACGTTCTCATTACGTTGATAAAAAAACGTTCTTAGAACAACGTTATCGAAACGTCTTTATCACGTTATTTGTATTTGATGAACGTTCTCATTACGTTGATAAAACACGTTCTTAGAACAACGTTATCGGAACGTCTTTATCACGTTATTTGTGTTTGATAAACGTTCTCATAACGTTCCAGCAACATTATGCTAACCTTAGGATAACGTTCTAACAGCATTATGCTAACGTTCCAGCAACGTTCTGCAAATATTAAGACACCGTTCCGGCAACGTTAAGCAAACTGGACATTTCCACGTTTTTAGAACATTTTAAATTAACGTTCCCACAACCAAAATGGAACGTTAGAAAAACGTTCTCAGAACCTAACTTTGTTAGCTGGGAGCCTGCTGGGTGCTGCTGAGCCTTTCTGACCTGACTGTCCTTGACTGCTCTTGAGAGAATGATGGAGGGAGAGAGTGGGAGAGAGAAAGAGAGAGCTCCAAAGCACTGGCACAAAACTCGTCGCTCTTCATGCTTCGCAAAAAAAAAAAAAGAAAAAAGAGCACTTGGATCATTGTCATTATCTTCAAATTCTATCAAAGGAAACGTGTTTCAAAGCAAAACACAAGCTATATTTTATTCTATAGGTTTAATTATTATCATTATTATTAAAATAATAGATAATAATTTTATATATATATTATAATAATGATAACAATTATAACCTATAGAATAAAATATAGCTCGTGTCAAATTTAACTTTTATGTTAATTATTTTTAACATAAAAGTTAAATTTGACAAAAAAAGGATAAAAATGATCATTTTCATAAACTGCTGTCACATCAAAGTCAAGGACGTTTGAAAAGTGTAAACTGTCTAAAATCAGCTGCGGTTGATGATGTGATACCTAAGAAGAGTGACTTTCATGCTGCCAACAATGTCACAAACTGAGAGCCGGATGTGATCCGAAGAGGAGGAGTCACACTGAACCTGAGAGTGAAGGAAATAAACTGACTGGTTAATAGACAAAACTTGGAAATGTCATAAGTATTTATTTCTGATGTAATATATATATATATATATACAAATATTAATATCATTTATGTTCATAAGATCTAGGCCTATATGTAAATTCTGTCAAAAATTAAATTTTAACACTTTTGGATAATAACACAGAAATCCATTATGTTTGAAAAGAAATATGCAATGTTAGAATGATAGATGTTGATTTAGTCCATTTTAGGAACTCTTAATAATTATTAAAAATATCAGTACATGTAATAAATAAATAGAAATAATAAATAAAGCAACAACAACAACAATATGAAATATATAAATCCAGCAATTATTGTGATCCAAGTGCTTTAAGACGTATCAAAATAAAATAATTTTCAGGGTTTAAGATCTTGAATATAAAGAAATAAAAGTAAAAAATAATAAATGTCATGAAAATAGTATATATATACACTCACCTAAAGGATTATTAGGAACACCTGTTCAATTTCTCATTAATGCAATTATCTAATCAACCAATTACATGGCAGTTGCTTCAATGCATTTAGTGGTGTGGTCCTGGTCAAGAAAATCTCCTGAACTCCAAACTGAATGTCAGAATGGGAAAGAAAAGTGATTTAAGCAATTTTGAGTGTGGCATGGTTGTTGGTGCCAGACGGGCCGGTCTTAGTGTTTCACAGTCTGATCAGTTACTGGGATTTTCACAAACAACCCTTTCTAGGGTTTACAAAGAATTCAACTTTGACTGAAATAACCACTCGTTACAACCGAGGTATGCAGCAAAGCATTTATGAAGCCACAACACGCACAACTGTGTGGCGGATGGGTTACAACAGCAGAAGACCCCACCGGGTACCACTCATCTCCACTACAAATAGGAAAAAGAGGCTACAATTTGCAAGAGCTCACCAAAATTGGACCATTGAAGACTGGAAAAATGTTGCCTGGTCTGATGAGTCTCGATTTCTGTTGACACATTCAGATGGTAGAGTCAGAATTTGGAGTAAACAGAATGGGAACATGGATCCATCATGCCTTGTTACCACTGTGCAGGCTGGTGGTGGTGGTGTAATAGTGTGGGGGATGTTTTCTTGGCACACTTTCGGCCCGTTAGTGCCAATTGGGCATGGTTTAAATGCCACGGCCTACCTGAGCATTGTTTCTGACCATGTCCATCCTCATGGCTACAGCAGGATAATCCACCATGTCACAAAGCTTAAATCATTTCAAATTGGTTTCTTGAACATGACAGAGTTCACTGTACTAAAATGGCCAACACGGTCACCAGATCTCAATAGAGCATCTTTGGGATGTGGTGGAACAGGAGCTTCGTGCCCTGGATGTGCATCCCACAAATCTCCATCAACTGCAAGATGCTATCCTATCAATATGGGCCAACATTTCTAAAGAATGCTTTCAGCACCTTGTTGAATCAATGCCACGTAGAATTAAGGCAGTTCTGAAGGGGAAAGTGGGTCAAACACAGTATTAGTATGGTGTTCCTAATAATCCTTTAGGTGAGTGATATATATATTTATGTTAGTTTTGTTTTTATATTAAAATATTTTTAAAAAATAGTTTAAAGAGTTTTGATGGAATGAAATATGTTGGAGAGTTGGCTTATTGACAAGTATATGAACATTTCCCCCAGTAAAAATGCCGTTACTGTAAAAACATCAGTGCCGACATGAATATTGAGCTCTCTAAAATCTAAAAGGCAGCGAACATATGCATTACCAGCAAACATATAAGAATGAGGACATCACAGCACTTCTGCGCACGGACACTATCACATTACTGACAAACACATGATCCTCTTCAACGAGTCTGATGGAACTTAAACGACAGTGCGAGCTGTAGATTGTATACATATGGTGATGGATGATGATGACTCTTTCTCCTCCGTCCTCAGTGCCGCAGGCTGACACAGCTGGAAGGAGTGTATTCTGTATTCTGGGAACAGTGAGGTCAACCAATGCTCAGCCACTGCAACTTATTAAAAGGCTAGATGCACTGACTGATAGACCGAGAGAAGCTGCATATGCACAGCTCTTAATGCACTGACTGATACAGATACATACATGTGCTGAGACAAGTGCTGGATATGCATATGGACAGCATAAAAACAAAAACAAAACAAAGCACAGTGCTCTTTTTTCCCTTTGTCTTTTCAATTTCAATTCCCCAAACTATGTAGCGCACATATGTTCAGGGCTATTACTGCATCCGTACGGCGCATCAACTTTTACTGGCCTTGGTTTGATAAAGAGCACAGTGCACAGTTTACATAAGATGGACGAATTGATGGACATGCCTTTAATTATTAAACACAGCTGACGGCAGCATTACAGAGATAATGCGAAGAGGAAGAAACCATAAAGTGAGGCAAAGGAAAGGCACAGACTCAATGAATGGATGGGTGGATGTATAGATTGATGCAAGCATTAATATCTGCATTACGCAGTCCGATGCGACCGTCTGATTTCAGAGCAGTGCAGTCAGTGTGTGTGTGTGTGAGAGAGAGAGAGGGAAACGCTTTATCAGGTAATCATATTCAGAACACATGACACATGCAGGAACAATGCCATCTGCAACTCAATCTGACTGATGCAGTGTGATGTGCTTCAGATCATTCAAAGCTTTCCGAAGACACAAAACAGATCTGAAAGACTTGCATTCGTCAAGACATTAATGTTGCATTCAGACAGAGGAAAAGTCTCGCATGATGACAGCAGGATATGCATGATTCATCTGTATTGAGTTGCGCAGAGTTTCCGTCTTTAAAGGGAGTGACTAGCAGCACTGAACGTGCCAGAGGCCTGACTAAGGGAAATGCAAAGTCCCATTAGCCCGACTTTCCTTCTGATTTATGAGTATTTACATCTGTGTGTGTGTGTGTGTGTGTGTGTGTGTGAGTGGTGAGTGTGTGTTCCCTTCAGAATTATTTCAGCAAATACTCAACATGTGCATCTTGGGCACACAGAAAAGTGAAAACTCAACCTGTCATGAAAAATATTTTCATGATTTTGTAATCACAACATTTTTTTCTTTTGTCAAATCAACTTAGATAATTTATGGAGTTCAGACAACATAATATTTTGAGTTTCTGGTGATTAAATTAATCTCCTTCATTGTATTAACTCATTTTGTCCATTTCAATGAACTTAAAATTTTAAGGCAACCAGGTGACTTGTTTTATTAAGTTAAACCAACAATATTTTTTTTACAGTGTAGCCTTTAAACAGTTTCTGGTAAAATCTACCTTCATTATAGCTGTCTCTTTTATTTAACTGTATTTTATTTTATAAAATAATAAAATATAATTTAATGTTATATAATATTATATATTTCTATATACATTTTTTTTCCATACGTATCATTTTATTTAGAAAATAAAAAGAAGGGTATAAAGCACTATATATGTATATATATTATACACACACACACACACATATATATATATATATATATGTGTGTGTGTGTGTGTGTGTAATATATATATATGTATGTATATATATATATATATATATATATATATATATATATATATACTCTGTATATATATATATGAATTATAAACATATACCCAATATGTTTATAATGGGTACATTTATATATATATATATATATATATATATATATATATATATATATATATATATATGAATTATAAACATATACCCAATATGTTTATAATGGGTACATTTAATATATATATTTATATTACTAATTTTTTATTAATAAATATTATATTTATATATTAATACAAATATATGTTATATATATATATATTATATATATGCTGTGTATCATATTATAAATGTACATAAATACTAAATAAATATACCTAATACATTTGTATTTATTTAGTATAGCATTTTCATTAGAAAGTATATGCATTCTAATAAAAAACCAAAAAAATGCATATCGGCTATAAGTTTCCCCAAAGTACTTATTCCCTAAATGATCCAAAAACACTGGCAATAACCTTGTCTGACCTCAGATAGCCTACATCTCGGGGCTTCCATTAGGGCGGTCTGTTTTTGCGACTGAGAAACCGGAGCAATCCTCAATCAGCGCGGCAGACGGCAGAGATTACCCAGACTGAGCGGCTGTTAATTGCGAGGTGGAGTTTTCCAGCTCCGTCATGGCATAGCTGGAGGATCCATGTGAACGATTTTAACATCACTAAATAAAACTGCTTTATGACAGGGAACACATGGAGATCAGTCTCAGATCCTCAGCATATAGGACGCATGTGGTCGGTTAGGACAGGACAGAGGAACTGCACTGGGCCTGACGCCAGCTCACCCCACCCCAGCTCCAGCCTGCAGAGAACTGCAGCTCCAGAGGGCAATGCAGAGGAGGAGAGACTGAGCAAGGGTACTCCGAGCACAAGACACTCCAATATCATGTTTTCAACTCTCAAGGGAAACCAAATGTGCCTGATGTGCGTGTGTATAAAGGAAAGCAGGCGCTAGGTGGATTGAAAGCAGGAGATAGACATCTTGTTGACGATGTAAACTGCCCGTTCACATCCTTTTGTTGCCATGTCTGTTCAGTGTGAGCTGGATGACTAGGGGCTTTCTGTTACAATACACATAACCACACAGAAAGCTCCATAGACCGTCCTCAATATCATTATGGTCACTTTTTTTTGTCACTTTGCTTCAGGATGTTTTAAGGACAAAGTGTTCAGCACTGCACTGCATGATATTCATCATATGTCCTTCATTATCAATTGGACAATGAAATAAATCGTCAATATTCATCAACTCGCACATGATCAGTTGTGGTAAACGGAAGCTGACGCATGCTTGCTTGACGTGTGAGAGCCAATGAGGTTCTGTTTGAGTTCACTGATCAAAAGCATAAATTCAATCTGTTCATCATATAAAGCGATTGTGCAAACTGCTCTTGATCTGTTTATGAAGCTGTCAATGGAGGGAAAAATGAACGAAAGTCTTGTGGGTTTGGAAAGACATGAGGGTGATGAGGGGGTGAAATCACCCTTTAAAACCCTTATTTGTGTCATTTAATTATTAAAGATAATTATAACATTAAAACAATTTTAAAAAATCATACAATAATTTGGGTAACACATTTAATTGTTTGACTGACTGAATACCGTCAACTGAAAAAAATACAACTAAAATTATACTATTTACTTGTCATCAGTCATACCGTAGAAAGTGTTTGAATGATGTCACTTCCTGCATGTCACAGTTTTTAATGGAATATTAATGAGGAAATCATACAGCAAACACAATATCTGTTATTCGTGAATAAACTACGTTTTGGTCATTAAAATGGTTTCATAATTTAAAAAAATATATAATCATATAAAAATATTTTGTACTGGTAAGCATTGGATATCATTTGAACAGATTATGGTACAATTATGATATTAAATATGTATAAAAATCTATGCAAGATTTAAAAAAAAAATAGAAAAACGACCAAATAAAAATAAATTGTAAAAAATATTATGTAAATACACCTTTACAGACTTAACTGATAAAAGTTCACTGCTATTGAATATCATTTCATCAGATTATGTTGAAAGTTTGAAATTTATCCCGTTTTATGGGATACAGGCATTTAATGTGCTACTTTTCAAGTTTATTTTATGTTAGTTTTATCAAATGCTTGCAACAAAAAAATAAAATAAAATAAAGTAACAGGACACAAAAGTGTTGCGCACTCATGAAAAGTGTCATTTACTTGTGTTTTCAAAGCTAAAGCATTTAGAAAATATACCACTTCCAAAAACCAGTAACATACACCTGACAGCTGATAATTAAAAATTTATTGATTTGGATGTATGATCAAATCATATTTGACATAAGAAACAAAAGAACCCTTGCATAGATCACAGACCATGCCTTTGTCAACGTACGACAACATTAAAAAATAATTTAGCATAACAAAGATTAAATTAAAAAAACGTACAGAAACGACATGAACAGTTTGACCAGATGTACATGGAACAACCATTAACATGGAGTCATCATCTGTCTAACATAAACATGTAGCTGAGATGGCCAGTAATGACTGTATGGACTCTAGTTTGGGTTTTTGTGGCGGAATTAAATGTTTTGTCAAATGCATCATTCCATGACTTGTATCATTCAGCATCCTGAAAGCAAACAGCAAAATCTCAAATGAAGCTAATAAATAAATAAATAAATAAACACAATCAGTGGAGTTTGACAGATTAGAGAACATCCCAAAACGAAAGGGAACAAAAATAACATTGGCGTATAAATAATGAAGATGGGAACAAATGACAGCAAGGGCTTAAAAAAATGATGCAACCAGAATATAGTTGATCCTCAGTTTTGAAAGGCTAAGCTCATGCAGTCTTCCATACACCATGCAGATTTTTGCAATTGCTAGGTTGCTGTTGAGTTTTGGTTTGGTATGGCGGTATGGAGTTAAGGTTATTACAAAAAAAAGTACAATGTACAGTACATTTTCGATGCTAATGCCATTTTTTTTTTTTTCATGATATTGATAATACAAGCTATAATCTTCCTATATATTTGTAATGGCTTGTCTTATGGACTCGTTGATGAGTCTACTGTAGTTTTATCAAGGGCATGGGTTTGTTATAGTACAGTTAACTATAGTGCCACATGGACGTAACATGGTAATATAGCTAGACGAGGCCACGCAGGTGAAGAAAATAAGTATGTCTGACATCCTCCTAAAGGCCACAACCTAGGGATCCTCATTTTTCAACAACTAGCTTTCACATCGGGTAACTTAGCATCAGTTATGATGGCACGTCAGTCATTAATAGTTCTTTTTTTTATTCCACTACAGTGTATTTTACCTTTTATCCCTTCTTGAAATAAGGTTTCAGCTTGTTGAACAATGCAAAACAACCAAATCAGAAGAAATACAAATAAAACATGAAGTACGTATGCTATGGATTTACACCTTTACGGACTCAACTGATAAAAGACCTGCCCTCCTAATACTTAAATCCACAGTACTAACATCATTTGCTTCAATAGGGAAAAAGAAGCAACACATCCACTTAAAGGAACATTTCTTTTTTTTTTTTTTTTTTGTTACAGTCTCTTAACATAAAGTACATGAAAAATTATCCTAGGTGGAAATTGTTTGTCCTCTTGCATTATAGTAGATTCACATCTCTATTCTTATCAAAAGTTTGTTTGCCACAGCCCTTGGTAAATATCAAAATAAGCATTCTGGACAGTCCTGTAACACACTTAATCCCTATTGCTATGATATATGGTGTAGTTATTAAATATAGGAGTATGCATAGCACCATAGGGTTTGATCACCACTCACATGCCCAGTAGAAACAGTTCTTACTCGTCTCATCATTTTTCATTTACCATATTAAAATGAAATTGTTGTGATAAAATATGGTAGCCTGTTAATGATTTTACGTTTGCTAAGCCCGTTTTTGTTTCCGCTGAAGCAATGTTATGAATTCAAAACAAAATGCATATAAATAAAGCCCTGAAAACTTCTTTCTGGCACAGAGCTACAGCAGAGGTGACTAAACCCGTGTTAGTGTTATAGGAAACTGCCCAATGGTAAAATACTGCTGTTTGCCTTTGATTACAATCACACCTCAAGGATCGATAAAGGTCACATGATCAGGCAACTTGTTTACGAGCTGCTAGTGCTCAAGCAGACTTGCTTGTGTTCGTCAAATGAAATTACACCCAAAAAGACTAATTTAATCGTGGCCATTTTAAAGCGCTTTTTAATTATCAAGGAAAATGAAAAACTTGAATATTTCGCATTTAGCTGTATGCACTGAAATAGCCCTCATTAGCATGAATTCGAGATTTCACATTAAAGTTTAAGTCATCAGTGCACTCCATAAATCGATTAAGTCTGCATTCAAATTTGGTGATTTACAGTACCTGTGTGCATATGGCCCGGACGGGTGCGGGCTTAATATACCGTCTTAATTTGAGGTTGCTATACTAATGGGATAAACAGGACTTTTTAACATTAGGGAGACACTTCTTGTTGAGGACATACTTTAAAATGATTTTTTGAAATGATCTACTTAGTACCCTGTGGTATTAGGAAAACCTGTGCTGTGGTCTCTTCCCAGATCACTCTTTTAAAAAAGGACTAAATCGCAAAACAGAAACCAAAGTGAATGTTGATTGTGCTTAGCAATGGAGCGTTACAGATACGAGGGGGTCAGGGACGGCCGCATTGTTGCGTTTGTTGTAAGTGCTTGAATAAAGGCTAATTCTAGGGCACACTAAGTGTATTATTTCTGACGTATCATCACACTTCACAGGCTCTTATGTATCACATGTTCTGCTCTGCAGTGAGCTGTGCGGCGACCTCACTGAGGTAGACTCTTTATTATGGCACAACATAATCAAAAGCACAAAGAAAGGCAGATCGAAAAAGTCTAAAAGGTCCCGTCATGTGTCTGATTTCATACTCAAGCTCAGCTGTCATATGAAAAAAGAAGAAAATGTTTGAGTTTGTGCCTGACAACCATGTGTCACGTTCAGCAAAACAACAACGAAAATGAAAAGCACTCCAAATACACTGTAATGACCAGCCTCAACATACATTATGACAGTTCTAGAGCAGATATTGTTCCCTTGCCCTGCCCAAAACTCCAGTTACTCTGAGGCACTTTCACCTGTCCGGTTGCTGAGAGGGTCAAAGGCACTAGCAACTAATATGAATAATTCTGCCATGTTCTCTTTTGCATCCTGCTAAGATAAATTAAGCGATTTTTGATTCCATAAATCCTAAATTTGATCACAAAATGGAAGCGTGAAGTATAATTGCCCATAGTTTTCTTCTTTCTTTTTTTTTTCTCAAAGAGAGAGAGAGAGAATGCCCATGCACTGCACTATTTAAGTTATATTCATTTTTTTGTTTTTTGTTTTTAACAGGTGCGCTTATTATGAGTATATGCATTTGATAGTATCTTGATAGTTCTTTTTCTGTGTCTTTGACTACTTTTTAGATTGAAAAGTTTGCATCCCAGCGTTGGGGCTTGCATATATATTTTGTCACATTTCAGAAAACGTCAAGGAATCGACGTCCCTAGTTTCCCTGATTGTAACAACGACACCCTTACGAGGTATCTCAATTGCAACAAGCTGTTATACCGATGTCATGCATTAAATATACTAGGATACACAGTACCTTAGTTGAGTAGGCCATAATGCAGGTTCTTTTGACATGCTATGATATCATTAAGATTCTGTTTCCCGTAAGGTTAAACATTCAGTCTTTAAATACACCTAAATGATAAGCATCTCAAATCATGACACACTAGTGCACTTTTCATGGCGACAAAATAAGGAGGTTGATGGAGAGGGGGAGCTGATGGAACCGAATGCAAAAGAAAAGCAAAACAGGAACAGGTGTCCTATCGTCATGAGGTAATGTCCGACGCATGCCAATATCAAAACGAGGATAATCTAAACATGCTAACTATGAGGCTCCTCTTTCGGCATTGTGCTGTCTTATATCTAAAGGGCATGGCATTTAATCACTTGGTGATATCTAAATTACAGCATCTGCTGGAAAATAGCAGCAATGCGGATGTCCATGAGGCGATGACCTTGGCCTCCGTAGCATCCCAGCAGAAGATAAGTCTTGTTCATTATAAGGTGCTTTGCTGGTCAGTTGGGGAAGACCACCCACGGACGAGGCGTCCACCGCACACTGCACTTGGTCTTTTATGCACTTTTCCGGATGCAGTGAAATGTAGTCTGCAGTCCATGCGTGATTTTTTAGTAATCCCATCGTCGAGAGTCCTTCAGTGCCTGTGGACGTTAGCTAGGTGCTCGTGGAGGCTTTTTTTTCTGAATCATCCTCTTTGGAAATGTATTAGACTAAGTATATACTGAATCATCCGCCTCGTTTGCCGCAGTTTTGTTCTGTTTTGGTGTAGTATTTTTCTTTCGTCTGCATTGTAAAGATATTCGCATTGCAAGGGCTCACGAGAGGAGGTAAAGTAAGCATTCATATGTGACCAGTCAGTACTCGACTGAGTTTTCTACGGTGTCTCTAGACCACGGTTCGGAGCTTACTGTTGTTCACACAGTTCTGATTAGCGGTAGTGCAGTTGCCAGTTCTGAGGTTGGCATCTCTGAAGTTGTCGATGCTGTTGTTTATGTCTCCGTCTATCTCCATGTACTCGGACTTGCTGACGGTCGAGGAGCTGCGACGACTGGAGTTGGAATCGGAGGCGATGTTCGGGTTGCTCACGTTGAGGAGTTGGGCCTGCTCCTCTCCTTCAGTTTCTCTATGGTAGAAATAGTTGAAGTTGGACACAATGACAGGCACGGGGAGGGCGATGGTCAGCACACCGGCGATGGCGCACAGGGAACCCACGATCTTGCCCCCTATAGTCACTGGCACCATGTCCCCGTAGCCTACGGTGGTCATCGACACAACCGCCCACCAGAACGCGTCAGGGATGCTGGTGAAGTAGGACCCTTTTTCCTCGGCCTCTGCGAAATACACAGCACTGGAGAACAATATGACGCCAATGAAGAGGAAGAAAATAAGCAATCCAAGCTCTCGCATACTGGCTTTGAGGGTCTGCCCCAAAATCTGAAGGCCTTTGGAGTGCCTGGATAGTTTAAAGATCCTGAACACCCTGACCAGACGGATCACCCTGAGGATGGCCAGTGATGTTGCCTGCTCGCCCTTTCCCTCCTTTCCGTCCGGCTCGTCCGCTAACTCTGTGCCCAACGTGATGAAGTAGGGGATGATGGCCACGATGTCAATGGTGTTCATCATATTCTTAAAGAAAGCCGCTTTGCTCGGGCAAGCAAAGAAGCGGACTATCAATTCAAACGAAAACCAGATGATACAGAGGGTCTCTACAATAAAGAAGGGATCGGTCAGGATGTTTGGTTTGTAGTAGAAGGTGGTGTTGCCTATAGTCTGTATCCGCCCTGCAGGGTCCTCTTTCAGTTCAGGTAAAGTCTCCAAACAGAAAATGACGATGGAAATTAAAATGACCATAACAGATACAATAGCAATTCCTCTGGCCGGCCCCGAGCTCTCGGGGTGCTCGAACAGAAGCCAGATTTGTCGTTGAAACTCGCGCTCTGGCAAGGGCCGCTCTTCCTCACGGATGAAGCCCTCATCTTCGCGAAACTTCTCCATCGCCTCGACCCCAAGTTCATAGAACTTAATTTCTTCCGAGAACATATCCAATGGGACGTTTGCCGGCCTTCTCAGTCTTCCACCGGACTGATAGTAGTAGAGGATGGCATCAAAGCTCGGACGATTTCTGTCAAAGAAGTACTCGTTTCTCAAGGGATCGAAATACCGCATCCGCTTCTTTGGGTTACCTAAGAGAGTCTCTGGAAACTGGGAGAGAGTTTTGAGCTGGGTCTCGAAGCGCAGCCCCGCTATATTGATGACCACCCGTTCGCAGCATTCATGATCATCCTGGTCAGGAGGGTACGTGTCCTGCGGATGTCCTGGCACGGCAGAGGTCTCATCCATGTTGTCCCCAGGCACGACTGTCATCCTGCAGGTCAAAGTTGGATCTCCGCAGGAGTTAATTTAATTGAGTAGACATCCAACTGCCCTCCCAAGGCGTCGCTTTGCTTACTTTGCTCCGATTCCAGACCCTTAAATCTATCTCGATCCCCGGGTATATGGTATGACTTGATCTTTCCTCAGTGTGGCCCCACTGCGGTTGTCACAGATTCGACCATCGCTCCCTTCCGCTGCATCCACTACAGCTGCCTCTGTCACCGAGTCAGAGAAAAATGGATCGAACAGCGGCGATATTTGCTAGCTCAGCAAGTTCAGACTACTTATTTATTTATTTACTTGTTATTGTATGTATATATCACAGAAGTGCACAGCCTTAAGGGCACAATTCTGAATCATTATGCTAATTTAGGTTATGGAAAAGATGTGACAGGACACTGTCACTTTTGCTCCATCACTACATAGGATACATGCAGTCTACTTCTCACTTTATATATAGGGAAACATATTATTGAATAGCTTAGATGTAAGTTTGAGTACATAAATTGATAGGAAAACATGAAAATGACTTTCACTTCAGGCATATAGTACATGCAGTTATGATGCTCACCTCGCTACTGAAGGAATGCGTCTTCTGCCGGCAGTCTCCTGTCAGTAATGCACCCTCGATTCCCTTTTGTTGTAGAAAATGCCCTTGCAAAAGCTTCTTCACATCTTCTCAATTTCAAAATGTTCGTCCATAAATGTCACATCCATATTGAAATGAAATGATTCACGACATTCGCACGCGACGCTATAATGACAGAAATATGGCTTTGAGATGTATTACAAAGTTTCACATTCAATTTGAACGAGGGATAAAACACAAGAAGCGGGGGGAAAGGCTAAAAGAAAACATGAAGCCGCAACGTCCTCCCTGCGCTCATGCTCGTGCGGCGGCACCTCGGTGTAAATGGCTTATACTGCATGAGAAATTGTAATGCTGCAGCTCAGCTCAGGCGGGAGATACATTAAGGGGGCAAAAGCGAACCATACCATTTCCAGACATTACTGCATCAGCAAAATTTCCCTCTTACGAGTAGACAAGAAGACGAGCGGTCTGCTTTATCTGGACACACTGACAGGGGTGTATGGAAGCGAAAGGCTTCTTAAAGGGGAGATCAATAAGGGGAGAGGGAATAATTCCTTAATCATGCCCAACATATTGTTGCACTGTATTGCACATGGGAGAACGAGGAGCGGGAGAGGGGGGTAGGACAGTATGGGGGAGGGGTTCGACGCAATGCGTGGCCACAAGTGCTTGTCCACGCAATGCGCGAGAGCATTTATGTGCCAACACTGGCGCAGTATCTGATTCGCCGAGCACTAATGTGCACAGATACTTTAACTGACCACACTAACCAATAACCACAATAAAAAGACGGCTTCTCTAAAGTGCTCTTCTTCGTGCAATACTGCGACTTGTTTCCACCCAAAAGAGTTTTAGAGCCTCACAGCTCCATGCGTGTTGACGGGAGACTAGATCGTGCGGGGGTTGGAATATTTATAGAATAACGTGGGTGTATGTACTTGGACGGACGGCGGTTTGTGCAACACCTCAGTTAGAGAGCTCTTTTCAGTAAACGCCAATAATAGGCTTCCCCCCTCCCAAAAAAAAAAAAAATCACAATTTTCTCTAAATAATAATAACTGGATTTTTTTTTCCTTAATATTTTGGTCATTTAGAAAATCACTCACAAATGCATCAAGAATATACCACTAATATGTAGCCTAAGTGAATGACAGAAAAGATAAATCATTTTAAGATGCAGTTGACATGATTTTGCCAGTTATTTTAATATTTGAGGCTAAATAAATAAATAAATAAAATTGATATATATCTAATTAAGGGAAGTATTATTACATCATCCGATAATTCAGATAAAGTAAGTAATAATACTTTCCTTAATTAAATTGACACAACTCCACGTCTGTAGACAGCGATGATTCCTCCCATTCACCAGTAGGTGGCATACAAACATCACCAAACGATGTAAACACCACAGAAATGATTGATCTGTGCATGGCATCTTCCCATTAGTGTAATCAATGTAACACAATTAAGCGAGGAAAATCCTGAATAAAAAGATACATTAATTTATAAATAAATATAGACTAAAATGTATAAGATACCTCATGAAACTTAGTATATCCAGTTGATCTACTAATTTGTTCCACATAAATCATGAACATGTCCATCAGCCAACCAGAGTACAAGCACAACAGTTTTTTATTATCCGGCACTGTTAGAACAGCAGCTGCAGCGAGCTCTTAACTGCTAAATATCATGAATAAGAAATGGCCAGCCCTTTTCTCCCTTCACTTTGCTGTTCAATGACTTCCCCTCAGTACATGTAGGCATACTTTCGGTGAGCAGTGATTAGTTCAATCAACATAAACGCATTGGTAGTCATTTATCAGAGCTGTCTGAAGTGTCATAGATCCCACCTGTTATACATTATTGATGGAGTAATTGTGCAGTTTTGTAAGTGTTTCATCTCTCTGTTTAAACTGACCATGACCAACTTACTTCATCTTGATTTTGGAGACATAAAATAATTGCATGCCTCCACTTCACTTTCTCAGTAAAAGGACACCCACCTCAATCTAAATTGCAAGTGAGTGTCTTGGACCATTGCTATCACATATAAGCATAGTGCTTAGAATAAGGGAATACACCCATGCTAAAGTTGACTAAAAAGATCTTTGGGAATTAATAAAAAAAATTAGGAAAACTCCAACCTTTTATTTGAAAATAATGTATCATAAATAAATAAATGATCTTCCTTAAAATACAGTGGGTAAGTCAGGACCCTGTAAGGAAGGATTAATTTATTTACGATACATTATTTATTCACAAAGGAAATTGGTGTCCTTAAAGGTTGGAGTTTTCCTGTTTTTTTTAAAGTAAGTCATTAAGATAAATTTCCAAAAGATGATTTTTAATCCAACTTTAGCATGGGTGTATACACTTATGCTAAGCAATGTATATGTATTTCATGCTTAGTCCGAAATATTATTCAAGGCTACTTTCCATGCTACAATGCTATTGAAAAAATGATGAAAACAAACTTCTAATATGATTGAGACAAATTATTTATTTAGCAAAAATAAGTTCATTCTTACCTCATTAATAAATTAGAAAAATAGTTCATTCACTTGGTCTGATGCAGTCATGTGGGCAGGTTAGCAAATCAAAACAAATGTTAAGGAAACAAGTGTCAGACCATTCAATTACATTTCATCCTGAGCAAAGGCAACATGTGCCAACAACAACTCGCACACAGAAAGCACAAGGCAAAGATTATGAGATATTTTAAGAGCAATTTCGCATAAGGCACTGACATAATGAACAAAACTTAAATCAATTTATAAATATTTAAATAAGTTCTAGATTACAAATATATTACAATATGTTACAAAATCAGTGGCAGCCTCTGAGTATAAATTTTTACATTCACTTATTTTTTGGCATTTCACACATTTTGGCTTCTCTTTACCTGTTGTCTCGCGACAATCGGGTTTGTTGACGCACTTACGTCACAAAGAAAACTATAATATTTTCACATAGGCTACAGTATGTATTTGCATTATGCACATAAATAGGTAAATGAAAAAAAGTTTTGTTGTTACATTCCTTTCGACACATAAATATTTCCTTTCCTGACGAACAACGGACATCAATTTTAAGGTCACAATGCACACATATTTTAGGTTACGAAGATAATATGAACTTCTGTCTTCTTTATAGAGAAGAAATGCCTTCATACATCTGCTGCATCCTGCAATCAGAAGTAACATCAGGTGGGGGCAGATAATGAGACATGAACCAGTGTGACATTTGCCTTCTCAAACAGGTTCCAGGCTGTAGGACTCTGTAAATCCCTAACCTCGCCGCAAGAGGGCGGTTGATACCCATAATATCGATAATATCACATTGGTCCTTTTAACTCTTTCCCCTCCAGCGTTTTTGAAAAATCTTGCCACCCAGACACAGCATTTTTGATTCTTTTCACAAAAGTGTCATGTGAACGCATTTTTTCTTCACTGGGATTCAAAACAGATCGAGTCCATCAACACCCCCAAAGCTTCACAGTCCTGCTTCATTAAATTCATTTAGATTTATATGTTGTTTAATATTGATGATTGAGCGCTATTTTAAATATGCACATATTTACAAATGATATCGCTATTTCTGCTGCTTGATCAGATTTTGTACTCTTTCAGAACAGAAGATGTGTCATAGCGCCCCCTACCGAATAACAGTGGAAACACAGAAAGGGAAAGAGTTAAGTTTGAGCGGCGCTGTCCACCTGAACAAGAGGACAAATAACTTTATGTTAACACAAAGCTCATTCTCTCGACTTAGGAAATTAGAAAAGTAATCTAGAATTCAATTAACGTGATGTCAGGCACATATATTGACTTGTCTAACGTACAGTCATTATCTAGACTTGGAACCCTAAAAACAAGATGCCCTAACGTACGCGCACAGAATGTGATACTCACATAAAAGCTCTTTTTGGATTTCTTATACAGCTGTGAGTTTTTCTGTAAGTTCCTCTGATGGATTGAAATTTGATACGCTTGATGAATTCCATTCGTCGTCTTTTGAATGCTCTGATATCACGAGAGAGGATTTACTGTCGCTTTTATTTCGGTCACATAACGACGGCAACGGGCGGCCACAGGTCACGTGCGTGTACTCCACTTGCTCATCTGCGTTGTGCTCTCGGTGATAGAAGTAATTAAAATTCGACACGATTACCGGTACCGGCAGGGCGATTGTAAGAACTCCTGCAATGGCACACATTGATCCAACAACTTTGCCTCCAATGGTGACGGGATACATATCGCCATATCCAACTGTAGTCATGGTAACAACAGCCCACCAGAACGCGTCAGGGATGCTAGTAAAAGAAGATTCTGGGTCGTCCACTTCGGCGAAGTAAACCGCACTGGAGAACAATATAATGCCGATGAGAAGGAAAAATATCAGTAGTCCGAGTTCTCGCATGCTCGCTCGTAGGGTCTGACCGAGAATTTGGAGACCCTTGGAGTGCCGTGAGAGTTTGAAAATCCTGAAGACGCGAACCAAGCGGATAACTCTCAGTATGGCGAGAGACGTGCTCTGTGGTGAGTTTGAATCGGTCTCGGAAAGGTCTAAACCTAGGGTAATGAAATATGGAATAATAGCCACAATATCTATGGTGTTCATTATGTCTTTGAAGAAGGCAGCTTTGCTTGGACATGAAAGAAACCTTACAAACAGTTCGAATGAAAACCAAACGACGCAGATCGTCTCCAACAAGAAGAATGGATCCATCAGTAGACTTAATTTTGTTCCTGAAGTAGTTCCGTTCGGCGCAAGTTGGTTTTTGACCACACGATCATCCTCTCTAAATTCGGGCAAAGTTTCTAGACAGAAGATAACAATGGATATCAAGATGATCATTACAGATATTATAGCAATGATTCTGGCTGGTCCTGAGCTGTCAGGATACTCGAACAGCAGCCAGATTTGACGCTTAAACTCGCTGGACGGCATGGGCCGTTCTTCCTCCGTTAGCAAACCCTCGTCCTCTTGGAAATGTTGGATGACGTCATCGCCGATCTCGTAAAATTTGATTTCATCGATAAAAATCTCAACAGGCACGTTGATGGGTCTTCGAAGCCTCCCTCCTGACTGGTAGTAATACAGTATCGCATCAAAACTGGGTCTGTTTCTGTCGAAGAAGAACTCGTTCCTCAACGGGTCGAAGAACCGCATCCTTTTAATCGGGTCTCCTAGCAGCGTGTTCGGGAATCTTGCGAGTGTTTTAAGTTGCGTTTCGAAACGCAGACCTGAAATGTTGATGGTGACGTGCTCGCAGCACTCCTGGTCAGGACACTCCACTTCACAGACGTCCTGGAAGGGGTCAGCGTGGTCCACGCTCTCATCCTGGTTCTCTGGGGACATCTTTGCCCCTCGAGAGTGTTGCCTGTTGTTCCTCCTCGACTTGCTGCCACTCCACCAGTTTTGGGGATCTGATAGCTCCAGCCTGACGGAGATTGAGCCCTCAACTAACTTCTGAAACTTTACTACCTTCTACAAACTATTCAAACCCGGTTTATTGGTTTAAGGGAATAGAAAGTCATACTGACAACACGCTCAGCCGAGAGCTGGAACAGATATAGTAACTCAGACTGCTTGAGACAGCAGAGGGTGGGCTGACTGTGATTGGCACACTGTGACTGGAAGCAATGCGCCTTGCTGGTTTGAACTTTACTGTCACGAAGTTAGAACCTGTAATTTGAAGACTGAAAAGCTTGATGTTGCTTCTGTTTATTGTATTTGTCAAGTTGTAATAATACACACACTCACCCCTAACACACTCACTCTCTCTCTCTCCACTATACAGTATACACACACACACCCTCTCTCACACACACACACACACACACACACACACACTCATTACTCCCCCCCCACCCCCCCCCCCCCACACACACACTCTCTCTCTCTCTCTCTCTCACACACACACACACACACACACAAACAAAGGACCAATTTATAATACATTTACAAATAGGTTCAGTGCTGTTCAGATCTGGGTCCTCTTGAAGTGAGAGATGAAAGTGCTGGCTTGACTGACACCTGAGGGATGTGGAGAGAGAGAGAGAGAGAGAGAGAGAGAGAGAGAGAGAGAAAGAGAGAGAGATCCACACACCTCTGACACCTGTGTGCTAGAAGCTGTCTGGATCAGTCGTCTTGATTCATAGGCCTATATTCTGTGCTTTTGCTTGCTTGTTATACCTGTATACCTGTGCTAGTGATATCTTTATTTTCAGCAGAGCCAGTCAGGGACCTCTATATACATCTGTGGTACTGAGGCATTAAAGGAGTAGTTCACTTTAAAAAAAACAACTTTTGCTGATAATTTACTCACCCCCATGTCATCCAAGATGTCCACGTCTTTCTTTCTTCAGTCGAAAAAAAATTAAGGTTTTTGATGAAATCATTCCAGGATTTTCTCCATATTATGGACTTCATTGGGAACCAAACGGTTCAAGGTCCAAATGAGAGTTTCAGTGCAGCTTCAAAGGGCTTTAAACGACACCAGACGATGAATAAGGGTCTTATCAAGGACCCTTCGAGTCATGACTCGAAAAAAGATTTGTTCATTTTGATTAACGAGTTTGAACAGAACAGAGCAAGGCGAGCATTTGTGCTTAAAAAAAACTTAAACTTTTTTTATTTATTTTTTAAATGACCGATCGTTTCGCTAGATAAGACCCTTCATCATCTGGTGTTGTTTAAAGGCCTTTGAAGCTGCACTGAAACTCTCATTTGGACCTTGAACTGTTTGGTTCCCATTGAAGTCCATTATATGGAGAAAATCTTGGAATGTTTTCATCAAAAACCTTAATTTCTTTTCGACTGAAGAAAGAAAGACATGGGCATCTTGGATGACATGGGGGTGAGTAAACTATCTCCTTATCTTATCAATTATAGGTTTTTTTCATTACATATTTCTACATCACGTCGTTGTTAAAAAGAAAAATATATTTTTATGATTTATCAAACTTTTTATATTTTGTAAAATTGTGATTCAGGTAATATATTGCTCTAACTCAAAATTTGTATTTCAATTAATTGAAGGCAACCAGCTAACTTTAAGTCAAAATATTTTTATTGTGTACGATAGTAACTTGGTTTCATAGCTGCAGCTGTACTTCTTGTGTTCTTTATTAATAAATGACACAACACTGTTGCTGCTCCTGACATTAAAAATAACTCTGCATATGGATATAAACAGACATGATAAATCAGTTGTGCGTTTCCAGCAATCAGTAACAGTAGCTTGAATCTTGGAGATATCTGCTAAACAGGACAATTTCTCTATTCAAGGCAGAAAGGATTCCCATGAGAGGAACATGCTGACAGAATGCAATGTACGACAGCATGCAGCACTGGTGATGTGAGTAAAGGACAGCCCTCTGGGATGAGATATCAGCATTCAATTCACACCCAAACGTCAGAATGGAATTCCTGCAATGTTCAGATGCCGTCAGGCTCCGCAAGGAATCAGGGCTCACGTTTCACCTTGTTGTGTGTGACGGTACATTCAAGAAATCTATCATGATTTCATATGACAACCCTTAAGCCCTCAAATTTCAAAGATCTCGAGCTGCGACCTGTGGCGCCGCTTATCTTCAATGAAAGTTTCTCACTGCTTCTGTGCAGTTGGGTATGCTATAGGCCTAATAGTATAGGAGTCTTTCCCATTGCTAAATAAAGCGCAGATGAACTTTAAGAACATCTCTGTTTAGTTTATCAACTTATATTACACACTCTTGTCCAACAAAGAACTTAACACTCTCATCATCCCCTGTGTGTGATAGTAGCCTACCTTAAAAAACGCGCGTGTGTTTTGTACTCATTCACATACACAAGTATGTTTTGGCACAAAAGTTGATTTGCATGTGAGGTAACATTCCTTTTTGAAGGGATAGGTCATTCTAAAATTATTTCGTTTACTCACCCTCATGTCATTAAATGAATGTCCAGCCTTCTTCTTTTCCCCTGGACAACCAAAGCGAATGAAAATTGGACTATTCCACAGATGACAAGAGTAATTATTTTACTAAAAAGATGCGTGGGGAATTCCATTTAATAACTTTTATTATTAACTAAAAGACTTAACTAGCAGCTATAGCTCGTTTAGCTGTCCTCTCAGTCAGACGTGACACAGACGGATTTATGGGTGATGATTGATAGCTTCTTATGATAGGTTGAAGGCTGCTGAGAGATTTTCGATTAAATTATTATTTTCTTGTCTTCTAATGTGACCTAAATTTAGCATGATAGATGGTGTGCAACAACACCTAATTACTACATTTAAGGTGAAAAATGGTCGTGTCAAAACAAGCTAAGAAACACCTGCTACTGAAGCTCAGCAGGTTCATAGTGTGAAACAGTGCTAAGTTGCTGCTGACTTCAACACCTTACGCTGCCGCAGATCAAGGCTTCCTCCATAGAAAGTGAATACGACTGGAAGGCATTGCGCCAGTTCTTGGGGTTTGAGGGTCACCAGTTTTAGCAGGGTGTCAGTTGAGTTTGATGACCATGTTTTTGCTGACGGCATGGCATGAGGCAAGGGGCGGTGGTGGTGAAACCCGAGACTGGAGATCCGGAAGATTGGAAGGGATCTCTTCTGCATGCTCTGTTCCTCTCCTGACTCTTTCCGGATTATGATTACAGTCCTTGATTAAGACTTGCCCTTTTTAGCCTCAGACACACAACGTCCGCCGTCCACAGCTGCGATTGGATCTGCTGGAAGGAAGGAAGCCCTGAACTGTGCCCTGCTCAACATGAAAGGGTCAGTTATGAATGTGAATAAACAAGAGGAAATCTTCTCAAACGTCATTTATTTGTGGTTTGTTGGAGGTTTACGTTCCTCTCATTTCTAAGGCAAAAGTTAAAAGTGAGTTTTAATAATGAAAATGAATCCTAATGTTATTCTTGTTGCAAAAACGACCCTTAAAAAGTACATGAATAAAAGTATTTTTTGTTGCACTATGCAGTCGTTTTGAGCTTATAGTGGCACCTAGTGGTGTGGATGAAGCATTACGCAGAAACGTATGTTTCAAAATAAAATTTTAAATATATATTACTGATAGTTTCTTGACAGTAAAACAGAAAAAGAATACTGAGTGATATATAATTTTGTTACACAATCATACATAGGCTTCTTTAAGGGCTAATTTCTTTTTAGAGTAAAACTGAAAAAAAAGGTATGAAGTGAAGCTTCTTAAAATCTGGGAATGCTCTGAACAAAATTCAACAAAAAAGTATGCAAATATAATTCCTTGACAATTTCTGAATCAGCAGCGCGGCGCGGCCATAACCCATTAAGTATCTCAGTAATAAAACTGATACTGTAGCTGGTATGTAGACATATGCGATACAGCTGAACATCATTTCTCAATCTTCTCAGTAACTGTACTGGGAGACACAGATGTTTGACCGTCAGATGCAGCTGAAACTGTATCCAGCCTCACAAGTATCCTTCTGGACTGCCAGGAACTACAGCTAGTATTAATAGCCCTCCAGCATTTTCTGAAGAACCGCATTGGAAAACATCCCCTAATACATGCAATTAGTCTGCATTGAATCAATCAATAGCAAGTTTTAATGAAGAGCTATAAAACAATCGATCTATGACTGGAGTTCTCCTTTCTCATTCAGCTGATTCATGCATTTATTAACAGGCAAAGTGGTGAGAAAGAGGTTGGAAATGTTCTTTCAGACGGTTTATTTATATTAATGACAAATTGCTTGAAGATCTGCACGCTTTCTTCTTAAGTTGTGGTCACATTAGCCAAATTTCACATTTCACCAAGTCCACCGTATATTGCCAATAGTGTAGGGATCTATGAAAACACAGCTCACACAGAAGCCAAACCAATCAGCTTTCAGTGTGCAAATTGGCATGGCTAACCTGAACCCATTGCAAAATCTGTTTGGGGAAATCCTTCTCTCACAAACTAAATTCCTGATTAAGTGGATTCCTATTCTAATAAACGAATTATCAATGTTAAATATGACCACACCTTTTTTGCCCTTGAGTCCAAGTCATTTGATTGAGTATCTACCGATACCGAGTCCCAATCCGATACTTCTATCATAATAAAAAAAATCCATAAATAAAGAAGATAAAAAAACAGATCCAGATTCCAGGATGTTCCTTATTTTTTATTTAATTTGCTTTATTTTAACTTTTGACAACTCAGGTTTGTTGTGTTAAATGTAGCCTTTTACTTTCCACCTCTTGAAAACCCAAGTTTACATATCTCACAGTTTGCTACGGCAATGTTGTCATCAACTTTATTTATTATTTGAAATTCAGATATGGTAATTGCAGTTTTGTTTCCAATACGCGCTGTTAGCAATAGACCAATCACAACACACTGGCCCATCTGACCAATCAGAGCAGAGTAGGCTCTCAGAAAGGAGGGGTTTAGAGAGAGCAAATCCTCAAATTAACTGTTTTCAGGCTTTTTGAGAAATGAGGTGATGTGCAATGTATATCATAAGAAAATTATGGTGATTTTGACCTTAGATGAACGTAAACCTGTTGTAGGAGACCTCCAAAACAAAACGAGGAACATTAGGAAGACACCGTAGTGGAGCCCTCTTATAAATCAAGGTTAAGATTCATGTGGTGCCTTCTAGTGAAACATCACCCTATCTGTTGGCACTCTGATATATAAGAACTGACATTTGTCTCATTCATTGTATAATGCTATTTGGCATCTCCACAGGTGGAAAAAAAAAAGAAAACAAACAATAAAGGATACAAAGAACCTCGAGTTTATTTCTTCTGCAATGAAGACTAATCAGAGGAAAGCAGGAAAGAGTTTACCAGACATGTACATCCAGTGTAAATACAAATGTTTGATAAACAAACATCCAGTCATAATTCAGCACATCAGATTTAATCAAGTCTCTGAGTAGTTAGACTCCAATTTACGGTGGTTGTTTCTCTGCAAAGTCTATTAAACCCAGTTGCTGGGTGGCCGTACCGACGTAAATGACATTGTGACATCTGTGTGCTATACAACCAACTAAATGGATACTTGATTGAAATGTAAAACGACTTGAACAGAGTAATACACTGAGTGAAATAATACAAAAACACCCTTTCATGCTATAGCCAATGACTTCCAGGGAACAATAATCCTTTTTTTTTTTTAAAGCTGGATGAAGAATGTGGTAGATAAAAATAAAAGAATAAAATGTTTCAACAAGGCATTTAAAAACTATGATTTATGACATTCAACATTCACTAACAGGCAACCATGGCTAATTGTCATGCCCCCATTGCTCCAGGGATCAAACTAGCCTATTGTGGAACACAAATGTCTGTAAACGAAACTCTTCTGGGGTAGAAACAGAGCGCAAACAATACATATTTATTTGGCAAATGAAAATCATTGGTGGTCAATTTTTCCACTTAAAAAAAAAAAAAAAAAAAAATGGAAATAGATTTTTCAGAACAATGTTAAAAGGTGAAATTAATAAAACCAAGGTGCACTATTCATGTGTTTTCACAAATACATACTTCTGAACAGACAATATTACCATCATATTTATTCTAACTAAATGATCTTTCACTATATAAATGGCCATTTTATTAAGCCCAAAAGTGCCATATAAAAATCTATAGTAAACAAACAGCATCCAAGGAGTCCAGAGTCTAACTCCAACAGGCATATACTGACTCAAAATGATTTGAAGAAAGGAAATTTCAAGTGGCAAATGGTTTGAAAAATAAAAAAGAATAAGGCAGAATAAGGCAGGTGGGAAACAAGGCCTAAAACAAAAGAATAAGAGACTGTCTAGTGCAATTTAGCACAACACATTTTGAAATGCATAAACATTAAAAGAGCAAAAAAAATAGTGTTGGGGACAAATAAACTTAAGACCCTCTTCTCTTAAGAAAGAAAAGACCTGCTTTTAATCCAAAACGAGCTGTAAAAATCTGCATAGTTAAAAGTTACAAATAGAAATATTATGAATGCGTAAAACAAAGAAGATTTTATGCATCAAGTTAATTTGGAGTTCCCTATGCACACTTTTAGAAGAATCATAACATATGACATACAGAGAAATTAGCCTGTGGTTGCTTCAATAATCAAATCTTTTTTGGGGGTAAAATATTAAATTAAGACATTTAATTAATAATTTAATAATTTAATTAATAATAATTAATTATTTAATTAACCATATTCAAAATGCCTTAAATACTTCAATAATCTCAGGGCTCAATGATGAGGAATGAGAATTAATGTATCAACATCACCAGCAGCTAATAATTCCTGCTTAGTTTGATCAGTCTATTATTTGTGCACATTCATTTAATGAGTAAGACTGGTGATATTTTTGTGCTTTAAGAAAAAAAAGAAAATCAACAACCAAAAAAGCACCCTGATACAGACCAGTATGAGGATAGCTCTGCCAAGAAGTATTTTATAATTTAATCAATATCATGTTGTTTCAAACCTGTATGGGACACCATATGAGATATTTTAAAACCTATTTTCCCTCTCTCCATAAAATGAAAGTCAATGAGGTCCAGAGTTGTTTTGGACCCCATTGACTTTAACTATGTAAAAAAAAAAAAAGTCTCCCAAATATATTCTAGTGCATCCCACAGGAGATCATATGGGGTTGAAACAACATAAGAGTGAGTAAATGTTGACAGAATTTTCCTATATGGGTGAAAGGAGCAGCTTGGACATTCTGCTAAATATCTCCTATTGTGTTAACATGTGAACGATTCCTTTAAAATGAGGCCGTTTTTATGTCTCACAAATAATGAGAAAGTTGGCGCGTCCCAAGGAACGTTGTGGTCGGCAGTTGGGAGCTGCTTTGCGCATCTGGATTTCGGTTGACGGTTAAGTCTGTTCCTTTTCCCCCTAAATCACATCTAAAAGCTCTCAGCAACATTAAGTGCTGTTTCTTTGTGCAAGGCCAGCGGTGATGCAATTAAGTGAAAATGTCGGTAAGCTCAGAGACGGTTATATGGTCTGACAACACACGGATCACGCAGAGCCCTCAGAGAGACACAAAGGAGAACCAGCTCCTGTTCTGAAGTGCCATTTCGCTGTTGTAGGACACAGGACAAACAAGTAAGAAGCACAACCAACCCCTAACCTTATAAAATAAGACCCGTCCTGACAAACACTTGTGTAAGATTATAGTACGCCATTTGAGAGAACATTATATAAAAAAACCCTTCCTAATACTCACGTCATTTAAAAGAGAATATGAAATTATTATTATTTTGCAGTTTCTTCACCTCAAATCCATCTTTTTGGGTTGGAGATTGGCCGGACAACTTCCGGAAGCCATCTTCTCCATATAGCGGTTAGGACAGTGCTACATTGAGGATAGGGCTGCCTTACGTCTTATGTTGATCCAGCTATGTCTCTGGGCTTGTGACTGTGGTAGCTGCTGTGGGATTTATGATCTTCATGTACTGAGTGTTGATGGCGTCGAAGGCCTCGTCCCGATGAATCATGGCACCAAACACAAGAGGCTGCAGAAATGACATAAAAAGTTAGTGTGCTTTTCACACTAGTGATTTTGGTCCATTTGACATCACAGAAAGTTTTGCAAGGACTTCAGTATGAAATCGCAGTTGGTCCGGTGTAGAAACGATTCTATTGGCTGAAAGAGCATGTAATGGACACTCAGTTTGGTGCCCGATTAGAAATCTTTAGATGGTCACATATCATATAATATAACCAATGCTATAAATACAGTAAGCAATTCACATACAGTTATTTCAGTTAGTGTGCAAGCTAAATTATTAGCCTACTAGCTTTTCCTCTTTTGGCACCTTCTTTGTTACCTAGCTAGTGGTAAACAGCTGCCTCTGATGCTCACTGTGGAGCCATGGTTTGGAGCCAGAGAATACAATGAGCAAGGAAACCTAGCAGGGTGAGAGGGTGGAATTGAACTGTGTAAACAACCTTAAAACATTTCACCTTAATATCCTACTATTATAAAGAGGAAGTAATTAATTAAAAATTAGAAGTAATAATACTGAAAAGGAAAAGTTGCACGGTTAGCTTTACAATTTAGTTTATTTATTTTTAATAAAACCTGTGTGCAACGATATTCATTATAATATCTAGCCTATGTATGCACAGTAGTAAATACACGTGTGTTTTAGTATGTAAACAATACATGTATATTATTTATAGAATGTATATGTACAAACACACACACACAAAAAAAGCCATTCCAAATATTTGCTGTTTGTTTGAAATTTCAATACTTCAAAGATCTGAAAAAAACATATCCTGGTTTACACAAAAATAATGAGCAGCACAACTGTTTTCAACCAATCAGGGTCAGAAAAAAATTCCCACGAAAACAAACAAAAATGCCCCCGAAATTCAAGGTAAGGGAAGGCAAGATAAGTCTTCACTTCAGAAGACCTTTATTAAAGGGATAGTTCACTTTGAAATTAATGTTTGATATGTTTTAGCTTACCTCAAGGGCATCCAAGATGTAGGTGTCTTTGTTTCCACAGTATTTTCAATTTTGACATGTTTAAGTCAAACCGTTGTTGTCTATCAGTCATACACTGGAGACTAAAGGGGTCCACCAAAAAGCATGCACAGAGAAGTCAAAATTAAACATGATTTAATGACACATTGATGGCCTAAGACAGGAAACGAGCGGTTTGTGTGAGAAAACGAACAGTATTTATATAGTTTTACCTCTTGTAATCATAGCCATGACAAAATGATCTGACAGCACGGGCGCTTCGGTCTGCGCATGCGCTGGAAGTGATCGGTTGCACAACGACGTCACTCTTTGTTTATACAGAGATTTCGGAAGTTTTACCTTTCACTAAACATATTTAGATATACGGGAAACCGCAATGGAAGACGATTTCGGTATATCTAAATATGTTTAGTAAAAGGTAAAACTTCCGAAATCTCCGTGTAAATATTGAGTGACGTCACACGCAAGCGATCACTTCCGGCGTAACATTAAACTGATTCAGTTCGGTTCAGTTGGACATTGAACAACTGATTCAGATCACTTGGACGTCACTGTGATTACACGAGGTAAAAACGATATAAATACTGTTCGTTTTCTCACAAAAACCCCTCGTTTCATGTCTTAGGCTATCAATGTGTACTTACATTTATGAGTCATTAAATCATGTTTAATTTTGACTTCTCTGTGCATGCTTTTTGGTGGACCCCCTTAGCCTCCAGTGTATGACTGATAGACAACAACGGTTTGACTGAAAAATGTCAAAATTGAAAATACTGTGGAAACAAAGACACCTTCATCTTGGATGCCCTTGATGTAAGCTAAAACCTATTAAAAAATTAATTTCAAAGTGAACTTTCCCTTTAAACCGCCTGAGCGGTTTCAGTAGTGTAGAGCACTTTTAGCATGGATGGATTTGCTTTTATGGACCCATTGACTCCCATTATAAAGCTGGGAAGAGGCAAGACATTTTTCAATCAATATAACTCCCGACTGTATTCGCCTGAAAGAAGAATGTAATAAACACCTAGGATGTACCTAATGTACCAAATGAGAGGGTTCCCACTCAGTATAGTTTCATTTCGAATAATCGGCTATTGGTATCGGTGGAGAAACTTAGTATCAGTGCATCCACACTCTCTGATATTGTGTACATTGGCTGCTGGCCCCTTACCTTCAGAGTGGATGGCGTTGTAATCGAGATCCCCATCCCAGATCCAGGCAATACTGACAGCACCTTGTACTGTTAACGTGTAGAGAATCCAGTTAGAACAAAGCACTTGCGAAAAATGAGTTAATCATCCACAAAACCTTTGGCAGACCTTCTGAATATCTGTGATGTCGTGGAGCTTGATGACTTTATTTTTTTTCGAGGAGGTTGCCCGGGAACTGGAACTCTCGAAACACAGGTAACTAAAAACACAAAACAGTTTTATCATGAAGGACTGCAGTGGGCCTAATAATTCTCTCATACAACTCTTGTGCCTTATTCAAATATGACAAAACATTAACAACTTTGTTCAGAGTGAATGCAATTGCTAAAATTGCCAGTTAATGGAAAAATACTGCTGTCCATCTTGCATACTTCTCTGTGACATAGAGGACACCATTGCGGATGTAGTCAGTTGGCATTTTCCTGTCCCTGTTGATCAAGCAACATCGCCATCCGTTCTCACACACTGGGAATCAAATCAAACATTCTTTTACAATTTAAAGACACAGTACAGATTAAAAATGTTCAAAGGCTACCGCAGTTTCCCTTCCCACCTGGCAGGGGGCGCTCATTTTCAGACAAGTTAAAGACTTCATGAAACGGGCCTCTCTTGGTGTTGTAAGCCCGTCCGCTTTCCTCCTCACGGCCAATCCCGCATGACATCCCAGCCGATTGAGCGCCACGTGGTACCGTTGGCTGGATCTGCTACGGGGAACGAGCAAAATGATTGATTTAGGAGCAGGGTGTGTAAATAAAGCCCCAGACCAGCAAGGTTCCTGTGTGCCAATGAAGGATCAATACTATCTTTTAACTTCTCACCAGACAGAAAAAAAAAGAATTGATCCTAGATCAGCACTTGAGGGCCCCAAAAACAGCACCCATGTGGGGGAAGCTTGTCAATTGTCATTGTCAAAACCAGTGAATGCCATTGAGCCAAGCAGCAGTGTTGACCTATAGCACAGTGAATGATGGGTCAGTGGCTCAGCTGCATGTGGACTCCTGGCGACAGACTCGGTTCTCTGGGTTGGGTGCCAAACAGTAGCGAGGGATGCCTGGAGGAGGGTGCTGCTGAGGACTAGTGCAAAGCTCAAAGCCGGCGTTAAACAGCCACTTATAGGTATTAATACCACTCAACATACTATTACCAAGGGATTCATTCAATTACGGAATGTGTTAGAGTTTGGGACTGAGCAAGACAGATGTCATCTGATAAATGTTCATGGGCATTTCTTCAACTACGGGCACTTTTAGGTCGTAGGAGATGATTTATATTAACATTAGCAGAAGAGCTATTGGTTATACACTATACAATTCATTCAGAATTCAAAATATAATTTGATACATTTTCAATGCCATCATGAGCTATTTTTGAGATTTTCTAATTGTCTTATGACTACATTTTATTGTTTAGGTTATACAAATCAATAATAAAACTATACACACACTGTGCTTATTTTATGCCATCAAATTTTTAATGATGATTTTGATGATAATGATACTAAAAATAAAGATCAGTCATTTAAAATATGCTTTAAAATATCAAAATGTTTATTTTACTTTATTTTATGGTTTAGTGTTGTTCTGGATGTCCTGTAATGTGTATCTTATTATCTTCATTTTTTAATTGTTTATTTGTTTCTTACTCATTATTTTGTCAAATAAAAACCCATAAAAAAAAAACTTTTGTCAAAGTGTATGAGGCAACAACACTAGCCTAAATAAATTGACCGTTCTGATGTCAGAAAAAAATAAAATAAAAAAATAATTTTATATAAATTTTATTTTAAATAAAACATGCTTTAACCATAATATGTATTGTTGTTATTATTAGTTCAGTTTCATTATTTATTGTTAATTATTGTTAGAGGTTTATGATTTAAAGAAATTAAATCTATACATATCTATTAATTTTTTTTATAAAAAAAACAGTAAAAATTTGTTTAAAAAGGTAAAATTAACATCTATTGTGTGAAAATTTGTCTATGTTTTTCTCATGCGCATCATGTATATCCACTTTTGACTTTGTTAGCAGACAAATTATATTAATCACTTTTGAGAGTGAGAAAAGTGTATGTTAAGGGACTTTTTTAAAAAATCTACAGGACAAGTAGCCACAGTTGAAGAAACCTTATATTTGCAGAAAACAACTTCTTCGTGCATAGAGAGTACGTCTGCAAATACAACATATCCGCAAAAGAAATGTTGAACTGACACAATTGACTACTGTAAATGTGGCCACTGCTCAAACATGACAAAAACTTGGATCTTACAGTCATATAAATCGCATAATATGCAACATTTTCAAATAACAACCATTTTGAAAGTAAACATATGCATATATAATTTAATTTCTAATCTAATCATCACTTTACCTCTCCATTTTCTGAAAGGTAATTGTAAACTAGCTTTGGAAAATAAACACAACAAAGTGGCGACACCAGAAGAGCCAAGCTTTTCAGAATTTCTAGCCACCTACACAAGGCATTTATGTAATCATAAGGAAAAAAAAAGTCCTGCAAGTTACTGGATAAATCGAAAAGGACGAGTTTCCTTCCAAATCTCACCAAATGTCTCCATTAAGTGTAATATGTAAAAAGCTTGACTCCTCTAATGTGGTCACTGCTTCAAAATACTATTAACCTACACTAAACTATAGTATAGAGCAGCAGAGAACCTCTCAGATAAACCCCGCATGTCACACACACACACTCACACACAGTATTTCTACACGATCACCTTGTCTGATGACGATAGATCAAAAACATCCTGGTACTTTTTACAATCTTGTTTACATGCGTTTTGTGCAAATTAGTAAGATGCATTTTTAAAAAGACAGTTTTTGATCCAATTGTCGACAGACATTGTCAGTGTCATACTGCATATTCCTGACACACACACACACATATATATAAAACACACACATACGCAGCACCAGCCATTGGTGGCAAACACAGGCACTGTTGTCAAACCAAAGGCCACACTAGATCCCTACCTTTTCGAACCCAGACAGCTGAGAGAGGAAAAATAACAGAATAATCATGTGACAGACCATCACAAACCAAAACCCTGGCATTTATTAATGAAAAAGAGGAATTGCATATCCTCCATCGGTTTAATTCATGTTTAACCATCTTGTAGACACCGTTTTGATCTGTCTGTTTTTAAATTATAAAGTATTTTAATATGTTATTAGCACCAAGATAAAACTCTTATTCAAGAGTGACCTGGCTAAGATGGAGATGTAATGTAATGACTATATTATAATTAATAATTCATTCTTTTTGCCATCAAGAGTTATATTTTGGTTAAATAAAGGCTAGTAACTAAAAGGAGGAAACCATTGCTCATTTTCAGTCATAACTGACAAGTTCCCTCCTCATAAAGAGACAAAAAGGAATCAGGATTAATATTTTACAAGCTTTTTGAAATTGGAACAATGAGGTTGCGCACGCGAACAGTTCACTCACCCGTCTGCTCAGTGTGGCGTTGTTACGCTCTTTGAGCTGCGGGTCTGTGGGTAAGTTGGCCCATACAATGTAGGGTGTGTCATACTTGTCCCTCAGTTTCGGGCAACTTTTGAAGATAAAGTCAATGATGAAGAATTTGATGCCAGCATAGAACCCTGAAATAACCACAAATCAATGAAAATTTGAGACTCGAGAGGGGGGAAAAAAGCACATTAAAATTGTTGCTGCATGTCAAACTGAATTTCTTACCAATCATGAAGCCTAAGAGTTTATATGGCAGCAAACAGGAAGTGATGAACGCCATCCACAAGCCAATATACAGTTTTTGTGTGATTTCAGGCTGCACCCACATGAACAGACTGCAATGCAATCCCATAGAGAACATAATATTAGGCATACATGCATGTAAATATACATTTATACAATAAAACATGCTTAAACAAATCAATATCATTGTACTATTAATTTGATAATCAACTTTACTTATCACAATCATACAATAATTTTTCATAAACATTGTTATATTTATTTATTTGAAACTTGAATAAAATGTACAGTTAATACATAGGTTGAACTTTAATAATCAGCTTAATAAATGCATAACCACATGGCATCTGAACCATTACACAATTACTTAATTGTAACATACTCACTTTTTGATCTTTTCCAATACGTCTGACATCTTTCCAAATAGATTCTGTGAAAAGACGTCACTTGTGCGTCAACAGCTTTATGTGTGAAGCAAAACGATAGGTGTCGGGATTACATCACCACAGCTAGAACAAAGTCACAAATCACTTACCTGTGCTTTCTGTGCCACATCCAACACTAACTGGAACTTCTCGGAGACTGTAAGATCTTCCTTTGGAGGCTCCTAATAAACACAAGGCTTTTAATCAAGCATATATATATATATAGCAACTTACAGATGTAAATAATTTTTTACCATCGGTTCGGACACCTCAGGCACAATGCTCCACTGTATCCTCCAACCCCTGAAAAGATACACGCAGAACTGGTTTAGCATGCAAAACAAATCTGAGACCACTTTTTTTTTTAAATGTCATCTTTATATACTATATCTTTATATCTAAATTTGTTTTTCAATGCTGAATAATAGGTTAGTTAAAGGGATACATATGGATCAGATCCCATGTCATGCAACCAGCACATGGGTTTGTGATCTAGTTGTGAATTGAACCAGTGATAGATTATGTCGCACGTACTTTGCAATGAGGTAATTCAAGGACAACCGCAGAATGGCTAAAAATAGAAACATGGGGATAACCCAGCCATGCCAGGCAGCATTCATATAGATCTGTGGAAAAGATGAGAGGGAAGAAGACATTAAAAATGAAGGATGGCATGTCAGGCGTGTTTCTGGCAGTGTTGAAATCATGTCAGCCATCAAACAGAAACACGTGGTGGCACTATTTATCTACATTTGAGTATTTTAAGATCAGCCAACTTTTATCACACTGACCTAATACACATTAAACCATGTAACAGATTAGTTTAACCTGAGGCGGGGCTTTTCCTAATCGGGCGATGTGCAGACGACAATGAGCTTTATTTGTTTTAATTATGGTGGTAAAACAGACACTTTGGACTGGGAGGCTACATAAACAGTGATGAATCGTGTTTGAGGGGTTTGTGTGGGTGGTGGGCTGTGCTCACAATAAAGGCGATGGCTGACGTGTAGACAGAGTGCCAGCTGGATAAGGCAGAAAGGTTCCTCATGAAGTTAGTTACAGGCTTAGCACCCCGTTCTGAAAACACACAGACCAGAACAGTCAGTTTCATGGCCGTGACACAGCAGAGGTGATGGGAATTAAAATGGGGCTGCAATCCATTAAAATATTTAGCGATATGGCTTGGAGGTTTTTTTTATTTGGGCTGCAGTATGAAAACACTTACTGAGTCGTCTCATATTTTCAGTTAATCTGCAAAGAGGAGAAAAGAAAATTAATTATTTAATGAGATCCGTTGGGAGGGTGAAATTATAAAGCCAGAAATAGCATGAAAATTGAGACTGCGTATAACGGCATCCAGTTGAATGTCCTATCCAGCACGTTACACTTGCAACAATTTAAGAAATAGAAAATATTCAATCAAAAAAAGGTATAAAAACAGATTTCAAAATGGTTTTAATCACCCCTAGCATTCAATTACATCCAGGTCATTCCTATTATGCAGTCAGTACATTTTCATTGAATATATTGGATAAAATATGAAATTTAAGATTTATATGCATTTAAGAAAAATGTGTTTATATACAAGATATATTAATATTTATATACAAATATCTTTAAATCTTAAGTTTCATATGTATAAAGTGATGTGAATACGTTTGGACACCCATGCTAAAGTTGCCTAAAAAGAGGAATAATAAAATAAAATAAAAATCATCTTTTGGAAATTGCTCTTAAAGCCTCAATTACAAAAATTAGGGAAAATCCGACCTTTAAGGACACCAATTTTCTTTGTGTATGTATAATGTATCATAAATAAATAAATAAATAAATGTTCTTCCTTAAAATACAGGGTGCATAAGTCAGGACACCCCTATGTTAAATTCCCTTAGAGGCAGGCAGATTTTTATTTTTAAAGGACAGTTATTTCATGGATCCAGGATAATATGCATCCTGATATTAAAATATCCCCACATCATCACATACCCTTCACCATCCCTATATATATATATATATATATATATATATATATATTCAACCTCCCCTCAAAACCTGTAAACTAACCAAACTAATCGAGACTTTATTTGGGCTGGTCACCTTTTAGCACTTAGTGGTTCCTCAGTCTCGACTGTGTTCTCCTCAGGCTGAAAGCGAAAGTCTTCGATATAAACACCAAAGCGCTCATAGACCCATTTCCACAGCCGAGATCTTAAGGTCTCCTTCTGTTTGTCCCCTAAAACAGCATAACACTTCAATGCAGCATAACAGACATTTAACTGATTCACAATATAAACATAAAAAAGGGCTGCAATATTCTCAGAATTCAATTGAGCATTATCACAAAGATCTAAAAGAGACAAACGGCTCATAGAAAGTGACACTTCCAGTGCAGAGATACATTCAGGAATATCGTATGTTGTGAAAATGAGGAGGAAGCCTCGTTTGGCCTTTTTGGGGCCATTTCAAGAGATGTCAAATAAAAGAATGAAATGCGATATAACAAAATATCTGAAGCATGAAAGACAAAAGCTAAAAATCCGCCATCAATCAGTTGAAGCGATGGATAAACTATAATCGTGTTCCTCAAATGAACTCAAAAATGAGGGCACTGGTTCTCAATCACTGATAAAGTGTTATTTAGCGCACAGAACTAAAATTGCCACACACAATTTCAGGCAGGATAGGTGCGTGTCCAATTCAATTTATTCTTATCGTTCTAATGTTGATGAATCCGGATTATTCTTAATGAGGGACTGTGTTCCCGCAGCTAGTAATTACACAACACACATCCAAAACATCTTCATATGAAAACACAAATAGCAAAATTTAAAAACGTTTTATTTAGGACTAGACTGCATGTAATCATGTGACCACTAGTTATTATGCATTCACCAATAAAAGCTGCATTTTTGAGCAAAACACATCCAAGATTACGATGGAATGAATATCTTTTTTGTTATTAAGAAATAAGACTTGCTTAAGGCCTGAAAATAATCTGCATTTCGCCTTTCGAAGGATACTCATTTGGCCAAAAGATGTTGTTCAAGTGCTGAAGTCACTCGCACATGCAATGTTATATGCGAACTGTCTGAGCAAAAACTAAAAATTGGGACCCTCCTGATGACGAGAATTACATGGAAGTATACTTGGGCTTTAGTTATACATTTTCTAATAATAATAATGCATAAAAGAAGATCAAATGCTGAAAAATCTAAATCCAAGTATGAACCACTATTTAACATATTTGACAACAACTACCTAACAGCCTCAGTGCTACAGAAAAAGTACTCTATTAGACAAAAGAGATGGTGTGGAAAGTAAAATAAATAAAAACCATAAATGAACAATGATTTGAGTCAAAACAGCAACAGGCAAAAGTGATTATGATGATGTATTGCTATTAGAGATCAATTTCCATTTGAACGCAAGTGTGTCTCAAGACCTCTAGATCTATAAAGGAGAACAAACTAAGCGTTACCTGTTCCATTGACTGAAGGGACTTGTGGCTTTGGAGGTGGAGGTGGGGGTGGTGAATCTTCAAGTCTGGACCAAGCACACTTATTGTTTAGAAAGTGTTAACAACAAATAAATATAGAAATTGAACATTTATTAAGTATGTGATCTACTATAGATGTGACAAATGTTATTGAGGGAAACTTCTATACTGTGGAAAGCATCACCTCCCATACCTGGATCTGAGAATTTCATTTATTTTCTGCTCGAGATCGGCTCTTCTCAATTTCTCCTTCTCCAGCTCCTGCTTCAGGGTGTCGACATTTGTCTCCTCTCGTAGCTTCCTCAACTCCTCCTCTGTGAGCAATACATAAAGAAAAAACAGTTCAATGGCATGATTGAAGGACTGAGGAGATTGCTGTTGACTTCACTTGAATCCTTCAGCAAGCTTGAGGTCTTAGAGATGTCAAATAGCTGTGATACAAAGGGTCAGCTGGTCGTTGTTGCAAAATAAACCCTGGCAGCACGATCAGGATCTTGTATCACTCTCTTAAGGTTTATTTTGCAATAATGACTGGCTAAATGTTCATCTAGGCCAGAGGAGAACTGCCTCCCCGACTGAGCCTGGTTTCTCCCATTGTTAGTTTTCTCAATTTCAATCACCTGATGGAGTTTGATTTCTATTTTCCTTGCTTAGTTGGGGACACGTAATATTTTGTAATATTTATTTGACTGCACTGATACTATCAGATCAGAACAAAACGTGAACTGAGCTGAATAATGACACTTGTAGATAATGTCTTCTGTAGAGCTGCTCTATAGCTGAATTGAACTTGTTCCAGAGGGTTATGATAACAGGATCCCATCCTAAATCTCAAAGATGACTCTAAATTAAGCTCTCTCACAGGACAGGACACTCAGCAGATTCAAGACACTTCATCCTCAATGTCAGAGAACTTAATGATTCTCGAGTCAAACAAACATGTAGCTGATGGCAGAGACGGATCGGCCTTGATCTAAAAAGACGAAAATAAATTCTCACAGTTCTAACAAAGAGCATGTTTTCTGAAAACCTTTTTCCTCTGGAATGCACAACAGCCCTAATCGAGTAGTTTTTCCACCTGCTCTCTATTGCGCACAATGCCTGCTTCAAGGTTGCCTGGAACACAAGCCCATCTTCATCTATAATTCAGCAGTTCCTGAGTCTCCCGCAGAGGCGCTATAGTCATGATAAAGACCCCCTGCCGCTGACTCAAGGGCAGGTGTGCTAAAAGAGAAGACATCTGAATCCAGATGATCAGTGCAGACCGTAGGGGCCGTCGCTAAACCCGGAGCTAGCGGACGGAGGGACTGAGCAAGCTGTTTCACAGTGATAAAACAATAGATCGAAATTAATATTTATAATCATGATGCCATTCTTCACTTTACAGCGTGTTTGGAGTGTCAAGGCAAGCAAATTTAGATCTAGCTGAACAAAAGTATAAATAATATCAATAATCATAGTATAATTCATAATAAAGAACAAGAACAAACCAAAGAATACTTACAGATATCCTAATCCTCTGTAACATGTTGTGCAAAGCAAATGTTTAGGAGCTTTACATGAATAATCCCTTTGGAAACATTTGCAAGATTTGTGCCATTGTATGAGCTGGTATGCAAACTCAACCTCACTTACGGTTCCAGGGAAATTGTGGCAGAAATAATCTTGTAAGCAGATATTAATCTTTGCCATGCTACAAGCACTTTTTGTCACAATGTTGCACCACACAGATGAGACCCTGAACTTAAACGGCACTTACTGTAAACGTAATGGTAACTAACTGTAAACCAATAACCCATTAGTCAACAAGGAAATGTAATAGAACCTAATGTAGTGTTTAAACATTGAGTTGCTTGAGTTGAAAATGTCCTTTGGTTACTTTTACACTCAGGTGAAGGTGTCGTTTCTGTGCCACTAGTAGCACCAAATGGATTAAAAAAGTGTGTGTGTGTGTGCGTTTGGAATTTATGAATCATTTAAACTCAGATTTTTAAAAAGTTAATAATTAAATGATAAAGTAATTACTTATCCCATAAGCAATCAGCACATTGTCCAGGCAGTAACAATGCGGAAGGAACTTGAAATGTAAACTATTTTTATGGCTTGATAAGGACATGTTCAATGTGTTTTCCAGATTGGATCTCGACCCACTGTCCGTCACTGAAGCTGTGCCGTCTCACTGCCCTCTCTGAACTTCAGCCTTAGCTCACGTCAACTTGCTGGAGCAAAAAAAAAAAAAAAGCTAGAAAACAAAATGATAATGTCTAATGGCCCATTTACACTAAAGCAATTAAGCATTTGAAAGCCTTTCTGGCTGACAGCATCCTTTCACATAGTTCACACAATCAGCCCTGCCAGTCTCTGCCAAAAAGACCATGAACACAATGGTAAAGGCTACACAAAACCATGGACCAATGCAAGCACATCATAGAGTCATCTGATGTAATGAATACTGTACGTGAACTACTCATGTTATGCAAGAGCACCGTTTTCCTCCAGAAAGTTGAATGGGAAAAAAAATCATTAAAATAAATGATTGAGGAAGTACGATATGTTTGAAAGTTTCGACAAAACTTTAGCGATAAAAGTCTTTCATGTTGACATGGTGTATGTTCTGACGGAGCAAGGATTTGTAAAACTGACAGCTGTAGCTTCCAAAGAGTTCACGCCATATGATCCAAGAACAGTGATATTAGGGATGATAACTGAAGTATGAAGCTACGTCTTAAGACCATTTGTTACTGGACTCCGGCATTTACCAACATCACAAAACTCAAGTTAACTGGCCAAAAGCTCTTGGGACTTATTCATTTCAGTCATAAATGTTAACAGTACAACTACACTGCAATGTAATGCACTGATATATCATATATTTGATTGAAAAATTATATATATATTTCCTTATTTTATATTATACAATTCAATTAGATCCCATTTCCAGGTCTACAGAACAGTCCAGTGAAGAGGCACAAAAAGAGCATCCAAATCTTTGACCTTACCTCAAAATCTTGCAGCAGCATCATTCACAGTTTTAAATCACCTCTACACCATGTTACTAAGCCATTAGGTCTCTTTTCCCCCTTTTTTAAGCTCTGTTGTGTAACAAACTATTAATAAAGTCCAGTCTGCTTTTTTGGGTAGCAGCAGTTTAGCAGCCCAGGTCTGACCTTTTGCTGCTTTCCAGTACTGCAGTGCTCGAGGGCAATTCGCATGCTCACATACATACAAATACAAACACAGGGGCTAAAAATAGGCCGGACACTCCAAACCAACCTCATAATACACAACTAATGTTCTGTTTAAAGGAGAACTCCGGCGCAAAATGAACCTTTGGTCTAATAACACATTGGTACCTAGTCGACCGTTCTCTGAGATTTCAGATTTGTTTTCCTGATAATCAAAAGTAAAGAGTTTTATCTCTAAAAACTGTTTTGCGTATAACACTAGTAATGGGGGCATTTAATAAGCAAAAAGAAATCGCTAGTTAGCACTAACGAGGCTCAAAATAGCCCAACACTAACACAGTAACATAATGAGGGTCCATACAGTGAACTGTCTTCATAAAGTATCTTCTTATTAAACGGTCTGTACACTTACAAAGTTCTCAATGCTTCGTTTTGCATGTATGGAGCCTCATTATGTTACTGTGTGCCTTGATAGTGGTATAAACTAGCGATTTCTTTTTACTTAGTTAATGCCCCCATTCTTAGCGTCATACGCTAAACAGTTTTTAGAGATAAAACTCTTTACTTCCAATTATCATGAAAACAAATCTCAGAAAACGGTTGACTAGGTACCAATGTTTTATTAGACCAAAGGTTCATTTTGCGCCAGAGTTCTCCTTTAAGCCAATTTTATGAACGGAAAACTGAATTATCATATGGGAAACAAAAGATTATAATGCCTCAACATGCTTGAAAAATCTAAAGATATAGAAAAAGATGATACTACTCCAGAAAACGTCTGATGTATGTGTGCGAGTGTGTGTATGAACCCCAGTGGAGGGCTAATCTCTGCTTCTGAAAGTCTCACTAATTGAAAAGTGGTAGAGGTGAGATGGATCAGCAGTATACATGGTGGGTTTATCGCTGTAAGTTGCAGGCAGCTCCAGTCCTAATGAGAATGATCTCACTCCACTGCTCAGGGTGATAAATCCACAAACACAGTCAGACATCACCCATTTAGCTTGAGATATACTGCAGATCTGGAGGTCTGGGAGGACAAATCACTTTCCTGAAGAGCTGTATCTAACAAGCATCTGAGAATATGTTCAAAATATATATAATATATAAATATCCAAAAGCATTTCAAGGTATCATAGGTGTGGTTGTAAGCATGCAATCCCTAAATGCACTGCAACAAGCTCAGTGGGAACTGTGAACTGTGTTGAATGAAATGTTGATAAATATTTATAACAATAATATACTATAATAGATTAGAATTAAATATTTATAATTATAACAAAGGTTGCAAAGACCGCATATAAATATATAATATTCTTTGATTACATTATTAATAAATATGAATCACCTGTCTCATGAATATTAATTAGGTAATTTACAGTCCTAATTGACTTGCTGAAAATGGGTGCTAGTCATATTAGGATCAATGTACAACCAGTTCCATGACAGCCGTCTTAAAACACTGCTGAGTATGCAGACAGTACACAGTGATAAAGTATGAAATCCCACAGAAAAGAATAGGATGTTTATCAGGAGAGCAGTGATGATCATTTAAAACCATGCAACCATGTAAAACAGGAAATCTGCAAGAATTTTTCTGGGTTACTCACGAAGAAAGTGCTTTTCCAGTAAGGCTATCTCCAGGTGACCTTTGACCTCATTGAGTCGGTCTGAATCACACATTTTGTAGTCCTGGTTGAGAGCAGCAGACGTGGTGAGAGTTCCTGAACCAGCCTGGAGAAAATCAGTAAGAGAAGTTCATGAAGGCTCACCGCAATGACAACAATACTAGTCTGAATCAACATGCTATGAAAAGCCAAATGGTCCAAAATCTCAAAACTGCTCAGTACATTAAAACAACAACAACAGTTTTTGCTTGAACAAATGCGGAATCTGGCCATGTTCTGGTCTAATAAATGAGTGTCCATTAGGAGTCCAGTAAAAGACATTTCACAGATTTGTGCTCCAGCATCATCATGAACATAGAAGTTCAGCAACAACAGGATTCAACAAATTACGGCTCTAGTACCCAACCGGACGCCAGTGCGGCAGCTGTAACCATGGTGACCAGCTCATAAGCGGCTCTCGTAGGTGAGCTTTCCAGTGCTTATCAAATTATAAGCAGCAAATGCAATTTCTTTGAAAACGTGATTGGACAAGGCCGTTCTTTTCTTGTAAAATTTAATGTAAAAGGTCAGTGCTTAGAAACAAACGTCCACAGGAAAAGATACTGCAGATTTACAAAGCAACTCTTGAGATTTTTTTTAGACTAGAAGGATTTGGATGTCTGGGTGTGAACGATGGAGGGAAATCTCAGCTGCAACAACAGGAAGAGGTCATTTACAGAAAGAAATACAGTGAAGCAAATGGATGTTTGGGCTGAAAGTCCTTTGGGAATCTGCTGTCTGCCTCTTCATGCAATGCAAAGAACAGGAATTAAATACAGGCTGGAAGCAAGTGACGGGGAATACTTTTTTATTACTATTATTAACAATCTGTTCATTAAACTCAAAATTAATATTTGTTTAATAATCAGTTAACGCCAAAACATAAAAACAAAAAACAGTTGGTGTTTAACCTGACTCCACCCACACTGCTGAGAGCGTCGCGAGATGAATATCGTAGTTTTTATTTTCCATAAAACATTACTATTGGTCACCCTTTATGTCTGTCTGTGGGTTTTGAAAATATTTAAATCGATGAAAAGTCTTAAAAAGAGCTTGCGACTAAACCGGTCACTAAAGCCTCAACTTCACCTGTCTCAATCTTGAATGTAGTGTCGCATACAGTTTGAACAGTCTCTGCTTGTTTGCAATGCAAGGGTCAATAAAGAACTGGTTCTTTGAATAAGTAGTGTTTACTAAGGAAACATTATATATGTAAAGACTAATGCTTGATGTATTTGAGGTGCGGTAAAGAGTGTCTCCGTCTAGCACAGTGGTTCTTAAAACAGCCTCATCTTTTATATCTTTTATAGAAATTATTTTTAGGGCTGTGAAACGATTAATCGCGATTAATCGCATCCAAAATAAAAGTCTGTGTTTACATAATATATGCGTGTGTAGTGTGTATAATTATTTTGTAAATATAAATACACACAGGCATGTATACATTTAAGAAATATTTGCATGTAAATAGTTTATATATATATTTATACAAAATTAAAATTATACATAAATCTAAATATTTTATATATTAATAACAAATTTTTCTTAAATATATACATGCATGTGTGTGTATTTATATATACAAAATAATTATACACACTACACACACATATATTATGTAAACACAAACTTTTATTTTGGATGCGATTAATCGCGATTAATCGTTTCACAGCCCTAAAAATGTTAAAAATCGTAAGTTGATGAAAACGTAATGAGATGCACATATAGTCTCAGACGCGGCCATTTAAATGAAGAACAAAACACGCATGTCCAAAATTCTCTGAAATTTGCTGGTCGACAACCTTGTAACTCCATTTGCGCTTGATTTTGGTAAATTGTTAATAATATAAATGCCACATGAAAGTGTACGGCCATGTATAAAGCCACAATTGTATTTTTTCCATTTTTGGAGATACAAGGTTTCCACCCAACAGCGCTGACATGTAATATACATTTCCTTTCAATAACAAAAACACACAACAAAGAAAAAGGTGAGAAAACAGCCAATAGTGTGCACAGCCTAAGTAATTAAAGATCAAGAATCAATTTTTGAATAACATGCATCAATTAATCATTTTAAAAAAAAGGAATGGGCATAAAGAAATTAAAATAGATTTTTTTGGTGGGGTTTGAACTGAATGGTTTTTTATGACTCTTGTCATAGATGTATACACTAGACGTCACCTTGGGGTTCTAAGCATGCGTCAAAACCGCCACCATCTTGGAACAGGGGTGTTGTCAAAGGAAGTAGCTAGGCAACGCTGCTATCTCTGCCTTTACTTCGAATTAATTGATGGTAATCAATGATAAATACATGTCTGACTGTTGGAATGAACCCATAAAAACAAGAAAATCGCATTCATGAGGATTTATGGTGATTTTATATCCGTTAGACCTGTGTCTACATTAACGCTGACGCATTAAAGTGGAGGGGCTTCCTGTTCCAAGATGGCGGCTCTAATGACGCATTCGTTCTAATGAACTGCCGTAGCCAAGGTGACATCTAGTGTATGCATCTATGGACTGTTGTTATGAATTCTTCAAAATAGAGGTCTGCACCCTTTTCGAAATGGCTTATTTCACAATCATATCGCATCTCTACATTTTTCTACAGAGAAAAAACACTCAAGTTTAAAAAAGGAAAAGAAATCTTCAGCACATTCTGACAGATGCTCCCTTGATATTCCCACAAATGAAGGAACGTCACTTACAGGGTCTCGCTGCTCTTCTGTGTCTTTGATAGAGCTCCGCTGTTTTATTGGGACGTCGTCATTACATTCGCTATCAGATGCGTTGGGGGACTCGGCAAGGTCCAGGAACTCATCTCGCTTCGGTCCTCTGAACCTTATCTTATCCAGACGCTTTAGCATGTTCAACACAGAGATCTGTGTCTTTATCTTAACATGGCGGCTGGCAACCCTGTAGGGACAAAAGCAGCTTCTAAGTCATTGTGTTGACATGAAACCGTGCAGCGATGAAGAAACGTACAATTGCGCAATATCATCCTGATAAGATGCATTCTCATTTAGAAAAAGTTCTGGCTTTTCATATGTTCATTGCACAAACTGAATATGGAAAGTACCAAGATACGAATATTTACACTTTTTAAGAAACATTCTTCATATTATTGTCCAAGTGAAATCCAGAAGCGGAGTAAGACAAAGCCAGCCATTCTTAGCTCCTGCAACTGACTGTCATTCGCTTACACAATAATAGTCTCTCTGGACTGGGTATTGAGGTCTGTGAACTGGGCAGCTTGAATTTGCTGTGAGAAATTGCTACAATCTCAAAGAGATCAGCTGATGTGGGACTAGTGTGGCCCAGCACCCTGTTCATGTTTCACATGTACAGTATGTGGGTCAGAGGTAGAGGCGCCATGATCCTCACGGCCGTTTTGGCCCATTGTGAGACCCTTGTCCAGTTTGAAGTGTGAGGAAACCCAGACATGATGATAAGTAAAAGTTACTCACCTCCATGCATTAAAAAAATCTATATGAGTTCAGTAAACGAATCATATAGACAGGATTTGTGAAATGAAAAGACTGTAAAGACTGTATCTGTAATTATATATGGTCAGTACTGGATATTCAATTGTGCATGCTCAATTCCACCAACTTTTAGTGAGCGTTAAATGATGGTACTTTAAAACAAAAATTAATCTTTAAAAACACTAATTGCAAACTTTTATACAGTGCATTATAATGTTGTGATGCCTAGATTCACTTGTAGAATCTAAAAATGAGTTTTAAAAAATCTAAAAAATCTAAAAACTCGAATTTTTATTAATTTAGACAAAATTATGTTGAATGTTAAAATCAACCATTTGGCCATACAAATTAAAACAATTATTGTCTTATTGGTATAGTCTAGAATTTTAACTAAAAATATATTTTTTTACATAAATTTTCAGTTTTCATTTTAGTTTTAGTAATTTTGTTGTGATTTTGACATTCATTCATTTTTTAAAAATATTTCTATTTACAGTAGCTCTAAGATTTTTATATAAAAAATTATAAATGAAAATGATTATAGTGAGCCTTTTTAGTACTTCAACTTAAAAATTAAAACAATTTTAAAACAAACTTAAAAAATAACTTTTACCTTGACATTTAACTTAATAAACTTAATTTAAAGTTTAAGTTTTATACATTGAAATACATCAAATCATTTTTAATTGTTTTACTTAATAACAGCACATCAGTTCCTCCTCACACAAAACTAACACATGGTCTTAGAATAAACATTTTAATAACCACGTTTTTATATTATTTTATGGGGCTTTTGCATCCTTTTCAAAGCTTGAAAACGCATCACTCACGTTGATTGTAACTCTATAGAAAAAAACGCAATCAGCACATTTTTAAAAATGTTTCCTTTTGTGTTCCTCTGAAGAGAGAAGGTCATACAGGTTTAGAATGACATGAGGGTGAGTAAATGGTGACATAATATACATTTTTGATCTTTAACCTTAATAAGTGCCAATTACTACCTATTGGAAACGGAGCACTTGTCTGTTAAACTCACGGAAAGAAGCAGGTCATGAACTATTGTGCTCTTCCTCAGGCAATGTCTTAAACACCTCTTTGCATCTACAAACATTCCCTGAGAATGCTGAGGTTAAAACATGTGACTGGATTATTTATACAAAAAAAAAAACCTCTCCAGGAACCAAAGGCCCAGAGTGGGGCACAAAATAATGCCATTGGTGATCCAAACTCTGCATTCCCTGCAGTTAGTTGACCTTACAACAAACAAAGCAGGCCTGGGAACAAAGCGGCCGTATGCGTGCCTAGACACTCAAAACCTCCAACCCAGTTCTAATTTCACTTCCAGAGCTCAGACAACATGCTGTACATGATAATGATAGGACTGAGGTTTAACACCAGTCGTCTTGTTTTTAAGCAGACTGATTTTGGCTTCCTGTGAATTAGAAAGGGGCTTTTTTTTTACATAAAGCAGACGTTTCAAGCAGCTCTCGTGAGGGAAACGGAAATATATCTGCGGATGGCATTAATCACCCATTTGTCAGATTTACAATGTTTAAACTCATAAGAACGCAGCATTTTAGGAGAAATTATAACAGGGTGTGACAACTAATCACTTTCTATAAAAGCTTTGCTTGTGAAAGAGTACTACATAAGGCCTAAAGTTAAACTTCCTTTCCTCTCTTATGTTTCATAGTATAAGAAAATGATTTTAAAAGGAAGTTTACCTAAAAATGACACCTGGTGCAACACATTTTGAGGCACCTTTTAGGTTTAATTAAAATTTCAGAAACTTCCACATCTCAAATGTTTGATTCTGTAAAAAAAAATATTCAGAAGACAAACATAATAGTGATGATGAAAGCCACAACATTAAATGTCATGTTTGAGTATTTTTGAGTAATTTAAGGCATAATATAATTTAAACGGATTAGTTGTAAAAAAAATTCACCCCCCTCACAGTCGTCATGAAGGGCAAAATTAGCTATATAGACCAAAACATCTATTTGCTACCAGGCTGTAAACATGTTTTTTTCTGCTGTGAAGTTGGGCATTTTAACATGGGGGAGATACAGATATGACACACTTTTGCTGCCAGCCTCAAGTGGCCACTTGATGAATTGCAGTTTAATTCACTTCCGTGTTGGTTTCAAGAGAGGGACGGGGAGGTTGCCGCTTGGATAAAACTTCTATATAGTTCGGATATAATTCACTCACTCGTTCCGAATTCACTCACTCGTTTTCATTCACTACTTCAAGTAAACTTTATTATTGGAGTTACTAGGAAGCGTGAATGCGGGTACAGGGGGCATTTTCAAACAAATACTAAAGCATACTTTGCGATTTATAAACCGCTTGCCCCGACAAAGTGGTAACTTATCTCCGTCTTCAAAGAACATCTTTTGTGCGTAGCTAGCATTGTACTCTCTGAGGTTCTGGAAGCTGTTCTCCGTAAAATTTGCAGCACACAGATAAACGCAAGGGTTTAAAATGTTCAGGGAAAGTGTTAAAAATTAATATTTTAAATGTGTCCGCTATAAGAAGGCCAAACAAAGGGGTTTTGGAACTGGGGTGGAAAAAAAAACAGCATCTCTTCGACATGGCAACAAAACGCAGCTCGACTAGGCCTCGCCCCCTTTTTTGCTATTCCATGGGCAGGATATAGCAAACTGACATTGAATCAACGTGGAAGCATGACATCGAAACAACGTTGATCTGGCATTGTTTGGTCATCGAATTAACATTGATCCAAAGTCAGACGCGCCATTCTTCAAAACTAACTGAAAATCAACTTGAAATCAACATCGTTTCAACATTAGGAAATCAAACCAATTGCGTCAATTTTCAGTTAGTTTTGAAGAATGGCGCGTCTGACGTTCGTTCAACGTTAATTCGATGAGCAAAACAATGCCAGATCAACGTTGTTTCCACGTTGATTAAATGTCAGTTTGCCATCTATGGATTATTTAAATGAGTGACATTGTGACATCACAAAATCAGGGAAAAAACGCGTTGTAGTCCCGAACGATTCGCGTTGTCCTGCCCAACTAGGAACCTTGTCAGAACATTAGCCAACATTTTGCGAACGTTTCCTAATGGGAATATACAATTAACACGACAAAATGCGTTATAAAAGAAAACAAAACAACGTTCCATGACTGTTGTATTCCATTCAAGAGGCTCTATTGTAATTCTATATTACAATTACATCATAGGTAAACACCGACGCCCGTTTCACTATCCAGCGGCCAGGCTGATCTTATGTGCTCCCTTTACAGCGCCTTTACTGGCATTGTAGTCACTCTCCTCCAAACACCATCCGCCCCTATTGTCAGAACCTCCGCAGCCTTACTGTAGCTGTCAGCAATGTTTAGCGCCTTTTTAACATGCTTCCTCGTTCATTGAAATACCCTGTTAAATAATAAAAAGCATCTTGTTAACGAAATGCTTGCTTTATCCCAAGCATTCTGCATCTTCATTACCTCCCCGTGTAGTTCAAGTTGGATCTCATCAATAAAACATCGAGGGTTGACACAGTTACACCATCAATAGATTGCCGACTAATGCCTTGACCTAAAAAGCCTTTCGTCACTATGGAACATCTTATAGATCGATGCCGTATAGAATGGCGGCTTTCGTGTGCGTGCACAAAATTTAAAATCATTTTCTTACCTTGTCTTGACAGTAAGGGATGGTTGTCATAAAGCCATATAATATATTAATTAATAGCGTGAAATAGACATATGTCCAGAAAACGTGCTGGGCTACACAAAACTACAAACAATGTGGCACATTCGCTCGCGCTGTAATGAGTTAGAGGTTTCGAATTCGAACGCAACAATATAACAAAAGCTTCTTCAGTCTGATACATTGTAGCACGCGCCCCGCCCGCCGTGGGATTAACAACCAGAAAGGGGTTAGAAAGTTTCTTACCCACCTTGCACGGAATCCGTATTTAAGTTTCATTAACAGGAAGGCATGAATATTCGAGCTTCGCCCCGCTCCGTCGCCGCCGCCACCTGCTACCAGCTCGATGAGAAATCCTGCGTAAAATGCCTAAGCAGACACATTGATCTACCAATGTGACTCCATTAGCTGTCAGATGTTATTTGCAGCGTTGTTGCGGATTAGAATCGCATGCGATCATTCGGGGTATCTTTCAATCTGTTGTTGATATTCTGCAAGACTCACTTCACACCAGGAAATTTCGTCAATGACAGCGACAGAAGCTCTTAAAGGGGCCGATAAATGACAGTCGCCTCTTCTTATCAGGCAATACTAATTCTTTTTCGTGAATTAAGGTAGCGTTCTTAAATTAGTTTCTGTGTTTAAAATATTTTCATTAGAGCAACAACAGAGGGACTTCTGTGTCTCAACAACAACAAGTGAGGACATTAATCCCATAACTCTGTCAATCCATGCTTAAAGTTTATGCGTCATATAGGGCGAAAACTAACGCGCGGGTGTAGGCCTACATGTTTTTTTTAATTGGACTTGTTTTGACGTGAATATAAGTCTAGACAGATATGTAACAGGTCTGGTTTGACTCGTTTTTTGGGGTGCTTGCATTGCAGTTCAAGTTAGCCTTGATCGCTGGATGATTGATTGTGTGTCCACTAGGTGGGGCTCAACGACAGTTTATTTTGTTTACATTTGAAAAAAATAAAAATTATAATAATAATGATAATCTCACATTAACCTTTCTTTCTAAATGGAATTCGTTTTGTACGTATTTTATATACACTAACTTGCTTATTTTAGTCTTTATCAAACAATGGCAAAACTAGGCTATCAACAATGAGAGTCTTTTTTTGTTTTCTTTTTGGAGGTGATGGTATCATTGGTAAACTGTAAAATTTAAAAATTACAAGAATTCTTATAACAAGACCTTTTTTTTCAAATGTAATTTATTGCTGTGATACAAAGCCGAATTTTCAGCATAATTACTCCAGTCTTCAGTGTCACATGATACTTCAGAAATCAGTCTAATATGCTGATTTGGTGCTCAAGAAACACATATACCCCCAAATATTTTTTAACTGTAATGGAAATTGAAGGAAATGTCAAAATAATACAAAAGAGTTGTACTTCATTTTTAAAATTCATTTATTTACAACATTAAAATGTATTATCAGTGTGAATAGTACAAATATAAATACCTTATTTTACATGCTGGAATCTAATGTCTACGAGCTGACAAGTAATAGAGGTATTTCATGAATACACATTTAATGTGATGATATTGTTTGTTCAGTTAATGACAACCGATCAATAAATGCTTCTAAACTATAACAGGTAGTTACTGACCTGACATCACTTTCACATAGATTGAAATTTAACATGAGTAAAAAAACAAAATAGTCCCTGAATTTCTCCATCTATATATTATTTACATAAGAGGTTTGGCAGAGATAATACATGACAGGCACTTTAGGAATCCTTTGATTCTGATGGTAATTTATATGCAGAGCAAACTTAATAAAATACTGTTTTTCTATGTACAGCCCTGGAAGAGACATTAAGACATGCTGAACAAGCTGTAAAATACTGTTAGAGGAAATCAGTTTAAACTTCCCATTGAACCCAATACAGAACCCAACGACGGACATTTTCATACTAATAATTCATAAGAGACTGGGGGGAAAAGAAAACCTCAACACATTTACAAATTAAGCTACAACTGCAAAATGCACAATATATATATAAAAAAAACAATATAAACATTCAAAACAGTGCTGTAAAAATACCACAGTGAACAAGTCAAACATAAATATCAGTATTGGCATCACAATGAAACCCTAATTTACAATTTTACAAAACAACCCTATTAAATCTAAAATACAAAATGTAACTATAAACATTACTTACAAATCATAAGTCGTCTGTTTATGACTGTTTAAACTGTACAAATGCTTATTAATATCAAAGTCTTTTTTTTTGTTGCTTCAGAACAACTTTATCCATTTCGACGAAAACTTTCAGTCCTCATCCAGCAAAACTTGCTGGGACACAAAGACTCCATTTGTATTAATCGAACCTTTAGAAAATACTAAAAACAACTTCAGAGCAGGTCCATGTTGTGCTTTAATACTTGTAGGGAGACAGACACTGATTCTTCAAACCCCTTCCAGTTCATTCAATGTCCTTCACAGTGAACACTCAGATTGAAGTTTCATTGCTGCCACTAACAAGAGAAATACAGAGCGGTGTTACATTCAGAACGTGACCAAATAAATTAGGATGATCATCATTTGACATCCAACTCACTCGGAATAGAAGTCTTGGTCCGCCAGGGAGACGTGGCTGGTGCCGAGCTCCGCAGCCATCCCGTTCAGCGCAGGCTGGCGAGGTAATGGAGGTGGCTCGATGACGGTTCCTAAGCGGACGCCCTCGTTTGACCCCACCGATGGAGTCTTACGGGGGATCTGGGGTGGGTTGTAGTCACTGAGCTTCTCCCTCAAGCGGTTCTTCATGTTCTTGTCCGTCAGTGGGGGTGGGTATGTGATCTTGTTCTTTAAAATGCCTAATAAAAGTGAAGCAATAATATAATATAATATAATATAATATAATATAATATAATATAATATAAAATTAAATATTATTATTATATATTATATAATTATATATATTAGGGCTGTCAAACGATTAATCGCATCCAAAATAAAAGTTTGTGTTTACATAATATATGTGGGTGCACTATCTATAATTATTTTATATATATAAATAATATAAATACACACACATGCTTGTATATATTTAAGAAATATTTTCATGTATACACTGTATATAGATTTCTTTATAATTTATATTATATATAAATATAAATATTTTATATATAAATAATATTTTTTCTTAAATATATATGCATGTGTGTATTTATATATATATATACATATATACAAAATAATTATACACAGTGCACCCACATTATGTAAACACAACTTTTATTTTGGATGCGATTAATCACGATTAATCATTTGACAGGCCTAATATATATATATATATATATATATATATATATATATACACACACACACACACAGGTATAAGATATATAATTATTATCTATTAAATATTATTGTATTTTAATGTTAAAAAATATATTAAATACAATTTAATGTAAGCGTTTTACAGTACTAAAATGGTTTCATTCTCTTAAAGATATAAATAAATCTAAAATATATGTATGTAGCACCTCGTTGCAGTACACGAGATCCAGGGGGCGGAGCTGGATCCAGACCTAAGGGGTAGAGATGTGTAGGATTAGGGGTGGGGTTAGGGATCAGGGGGTGGAAATAGGTAGGTTTAGGTATATGTAAGGATCCAGATCCAACTCCTCCCCCTGGATTTCATGTTCTGCAGTGAGGACCTCATATTGTCGCTCACCTCTTCTGGGTAGCTGGTTGCTGTTCGGCTGACTGGGTGGACTCTCACTTTGAGACACATCTCCATTTTGGTTTAGTTTATTCCCTTGGTGAAGTTCCACGTTCACTTTAGTTTCCACCCGCAGTTTCTCAGGAACCTCCGTATTCTCACTTTCACTGGCTGTGGGCGGCTCCACAGGCCAATACTGCTTCCCATTCGCAGACACAGCCTCAACTGCAGAACAACATGGGTACAGTTATCTAACATCCAAATTTAAAAATGTTTGCTTGAATAAACCATGTAAAAGAGCAGGTCAGAGGTCACAGAAGAGGTCGCAGGCACCTTTAGGAGTGCTGTGGATGGGCATTCTCTCGTTATTCCATTTGGTCTTGGAGTGCCTGGCCTCATCCTCGCTGTCCGAGGAGTGGGAGGAAGCGTAGGAGCTGCTGTGTTCATCCACTGAGAGCTCACTATCCGAATCTGAGTCTGTATAGAAACAAGCAACTGATAGCAGTTGTCCCTTCAATGGACTGTGTGTGTTGTGTTTTTAAGTGTAATCTTCCCTCACCTTCTGCCTTTTTACTCTTATGGAAAAAGAGCGACGAGTCTCCTTCATCATGTCCCACTTTTCCACCATTAGACGATATGCTGTGTTTCTTCTCCCTGTGTGAAAACAACATTAAAACTATGTATTACATATTAAGAGTTTGTTGTGGAGTCGCACTAAAGTTATTTGATGACAGCAAGTTCACAAATATGACAACCAGGGTTTTTTCCGTTTACTTGCTAATGAAATGTTCCCTGAAAATGTCATATGCCTTACCGGTACGTTTTGCAGTAAGTAGAATGAGCGTTTGAGAGATGAATCAATGCACATTAGATTCAATATGTGATCCATGTAACACATGACACAGTGCTGTGAATTAGGACACCATTTACAATACTGAAGGGCTCTGTCAGTTATGGTAAACAAAAATATGAATCATAAATTTGGCCATTGATAGTCATAATATACTTAGTCTCATCTAAAGATTTTCAGTGGAGTGACCTAAAAACTGAATGCTCCTTTGAGACGTTTACGCACAATATAACAGGTTATAATTGGTGCAAATATGTTAGTGAAACAGCTGCAGGCAGATATGTCAATGAGTTCATATGAGGTCATAATTCCCCTTATATTTAGGGAATGTTGGAGAAATTCGTATATGAGAGAAACACCAAGGTCTGCAGAAGTTCAGATGATACATGATTCGTGTTTTAAGAGGATAAGGAGGAGGTGTGGAGATCTTTCACACAAGTATCTTAAAATAAATCAACAAATGAAAGCATATTGTGAAGTGTTACCATATAACCCATGTGATGATTCACTTGTGGTGTATTACCTGAGTGTGGACGCGAGGAAGCTGCTGCCGTGACTCTTGCCTGATCTAACAGAGTTCTCTAGAGACACAGAGGACTCTCCGATGGAGGTCCGGTACAGACCTCCATCCTCCAAGTAGACATCACCATTCAGAGAACGCTGAAACGACAGAAGAACAGATTCACTGTTAACATTTCTTCTTGTGCCTGTATGTGAATTGTTACTTTTTTAATTCACTTTTTTTTTGGGTCAAACTCACTGTGAGTAAAGTAGCCCGTGTTGTACAGGGATCTTCAGCTGGTACTTTCTTCCCTGTAAACACACTTTTCAGGTTCCTCCTCACGTCTTTATTGAGAATACAGTGAAAAAAGAAGATGCAAATGCCCTGGAAAGAAAAATTCATAACTGAATAATTACATTGGTTGATTTAAAGGTCCCCTGACATGGCATTTTCATTTTCTGAGTTTTTTTTTACATTAACATGAGTTCCCCTAGACTGTATTTGGTCACCTTGTGTCTAGAATTTTCTAGAATAGCTTTG